TATCTGGTCGATGCGTAATTCGGTATCGAAGAAGAGCCGTCGGCATTCTTGGGCGGTCCGAAGGCATCAGGCACGTCCTCGGGGGATGAAAATCTCATCTCACCGAACTCTTGCCATGTCGATGATTCGTCTTGTCCTGCAGAGAGGATGAATACCAGCTCAAATGAATTGCTTGTGGTATTGCCCACCTCCGCTCGCCAAGCTGCATAAGCATCCGTTCGAATATCGCGGTTACAAGTGTTGTTCGTCGGGCATGCTCCGGGGTTAAAGCCATTGTCTACGCCATACTGATACGACAAGGAAGGCATGCGGTACGGTCCAAATGCTGTCAGATCGACTCCATATCGGCCGTGTGAATCCTCCATCCAGTACTCATGCAGTGTATGACCGCGATTAAGGTCAGTCGGCTTGTTGAGTAAGTCGCGATAGTAGGCGGGGACATCTTCCCGGTCGATACCGGATACTATCGGAAGAGGATTACCAAAAACTGTCGAGTTGGGTTCTCGGGTTACAACGAAAGTCTCATCGGCGTAGTCCACGGCTATCAAGGCAATGTTGAAGTTGCGACCAGAGCCCTTCTTCGTCGCGTCGTTCCATTGAGTACCAGGTGGCGCTTTGAAGTCGTCCCATGTCATATCATCGGGATTCACCCAGACTTGGGGATCAATGGGCTTAAAAGGATCACCCCATGGTGTTTTCGATGCTGCTTCTGCTGGGAGGCCAAGCAGCCCGACCAAGAGCAATGATGCAAAGGCCGACGCTCCCATCACAGCACGATTAGGGATGGCCATGTTCTTTTGAAGCTGTCGCGAGACTTCGACAGATGTAATATCTTAAGAAGTCTGAAGAATCCATAATTGGGAATTCACACCGCCTTTATATACGTGGTTACCCAGGCATCTCGTCCAACATCAATCGACCCCGCCCGCGGAATCGTTGAGTATTCGAAAATCTCCATCATTGAGTGATCGCTCTACTGTTATGTTTGCTGGGTTTATCCGTTACCGTTCCCACCTGCTTCATCAGGGATAACGGCCGTGTGATTGATGCAGTGATCCAATAGGAATATGGCTTGGCAGTTGATAAAGCGCGTGGAGTTGGAGCTGTTGGTGACATTCTGTGCTAGTGAGAGCTACTTGGATAAGCATAACATAACAGTCTATTTAGTATGGGAGACAAAAGTACTTCTCATTTCCATCCGAGATACCAAAGTGCCGCTCTCTTTGGAAATGGTATGTTCTTGGCAAACATGGGGTATTGGTATTTCGGGACTTCGGTCTATTTAATATGTCTAGGCAGGTATTAGATGGTCATAGATTGACATCTTGGCATAGCACTGTTACAAAGAGTACTGTGTGTAGTGTTTCGTTTGAAATCAAGCATCATCTTTCGCTATGTGTTTCGTACGTGTATGTTAAATATATTTTATCCTTCTCTAGTAATGGAAAATCCTAATCGCTCTCTTTCATCATGTGTGATTCTTCCCCACTCCAACAATAGGCGGAACATATAGATTTGCATGTCCTCTTTTCTCAGCGCTTTCTGCGTCCACTCTCTCCCCTGCTCTGCAATCTTCTTGGCCATCTCAGGTCCTTCGCCATATTTATCACCAGCACCCCCACCGAAGAACTCCAAAATGGACCAAAACCCCGATCCAAGTCGAATGTCTACAGGAACGTAGTGGTGCCAGGCTTGGATTCTCTCATCATACCAAGTACGAAAGAACGCCGCACGGTAAGGCAAACTGCGGCTCTCCAGAAAAGGCAGAAAACGACCGCTAAATCCCGCGCCATCCATGTCCATCAAGTGCTTAAATTTCCAGTGCTCTTCAAATGGGACGCCGGGGGGAAGCTGGTTTGCTTCCTGGTCAACAACCGAATCGTTGCTCATTGCGGCGAGACCCCATTGCTTATAATTTTTCAACTCAACAGCGCAGTCCATTCCATCACATTTGGATATATCCCCAGTAAAGGAGACATTAATGTGAACAGGAGTCTCGATGCTGGATGATTGCAAAGCCACAGTCTTCTCATAAGCTTCATGCACGAATCGCGGTCGTAGAAATCCAGGCCATCGTCCATGAGCGGAGAATCCATCCGATCGCGTTCCGCGCCAGAATAGAGCGTTCGCTTTATCTTCCCACTCCACGCCACTGTCCTCCTTAAAGGCGCTCTTGTCATCGAAATGCCACGGCGAAGGTATTAGAATGTCTGAGAAGCCGCCGACGCGTGCCTGGCTGAAGATGGGGAAGAGTAAACTTGTGCCCACCAATGCGGATGGCGAATTGAGAAATCCATCCAAGTATGCGACGTCTGGCTGATGGCAAAGATCATGAGCAAGCGATACATCTGCTAATATCGCACCGCTGGTTGTAAGCAGCGAATGTGGCTTGAGACAGCCAACACAAGTACTACTCCAGTCCCACAAACGGCTATTGTGTACTGCCGATCTTCGCGGACAGGAAGCAGCAACGAAATCGTAAAACATTGGTCTCCGGATATAATTTGTAAAGAGAGGATCAATGGTATCTTTCCTGCCTTCCGTCGCCCGAGGTAGAGGCTCAGGGAAGTCTTTAGGCCATGGAAATTGGGAAAACACGCTGCTCGGCCAGCCGTTCTGTTCTATTTGGTTAGAAACTCCTCGTCTCTTCTCCTGTGCGAAGTATTTGAGAGCTTCCAAATAGTCAAATGGCACGACCATACGGCACTCGTCGGCCAGATTGATAGCTATATCCATGTCCGGTAACCACTTGGAGAAAGGCTCAATCATCCTCTGAAATGAATCCGTCATCCAATGATGCGATCCTGGGATATATGGCGACTGCTCTACCGAACCGTTCCTGATACGCATGCCGCCCATTTCCGAGCTTCCGTAGTTGAAGAGCTTTATAGTCAAATCACGTATTTGCGCAGGCTCCATCCCCCAGAAAGGCAGTAAATCATTGTTGATCTGGTCAAAATCGTCCATAACGACAGAGTTGTGCTCCTTTGCGAATTCGTACCATTTGTCGAAGTTTGGTGGGGGCGGGAGCGTGTATCTTTTCGTGTATTCATTCACAGCGTCAGCCAGTGAGTTACTGGCTGCGGCTTGTGACTCCCACGCGAATATCTCCGAAGATGCTTCCGATACGAGTGACTTGATGGCTATATCGATCAGAACCATAGTTGGGGGCCCAATAAAGAACAGCTGCGCCAATACCACCAACGCAATCAGTGCAAACCCACTAACGGACATTATTAGCCCCTTGAAGATTCTTCGTGATGCGTTGGAGTCTCCAGCATGATGAATGCTAATGGCAAGGTACCACAGGGGCACTGATAAGACAACTGCAAGAGTCGTATGCTTCACAAATTCTCCGTAGGACACAGGAGATAGAAGCGGAATCGCCTGATGGAAAGGAATCTGTAAGCCCATGAATGTGGCAGTAATTATAAGAAGCGCGAAGCATGATGGATGCACAGACGGCAACAGTGTTACGCTGGAGAGTACACCAATCATCGCAATGAAACCATCAACAGCAAAGTCTCCATTGTCGAGAGCTCGAAAAGTAAATGCCATGAGAAACTCTGAATCTGAAAGCCAAGATGGGAACGAGAGCAACAGAATGCTTCCAGCTGCGACAAGCGAGAGCTTACCCATGAATTCAGAAATGCCGATTCCATCTTCTGTAGCTGTGCGCGCCAGATGAGATGTATGACTTATGATCACGGCATCGATTATGTATTTGAAGAGCTGAGTGAGTGAGACGAAGCGCCCCCATCCAATGGGACACACTGTCCCAGTAGCAATTTTCGAGCTTTCCTCCGCTGAAATGACGAATAGTGGCCACACTGCGGCAAGAAATGTGAAGATAATCTGCGATTTGGATGGCATGGACCATTGTGCCTGTCGCTTATTGGGCTGTAGTTTGAGGAGTCCGAATCCAGGTCCTATTGCTGCAGCAATAAAGCACAACAGCGGTAGAAATGCCTGCACGAAATGTTTAGCTTGGAGAAGAGTTATGCATAGAAGGAGACCTACCTCTAAACCAGACCGCGAGCATTGTGAAGTTCGGATAACGCCCCAGTAGATCAATGTTCGCAATGCTATGCAACATAGGAGGAAAGGAAAGGACGGATGTAAATGTTGAAAGTGTTCATGCCCGATTCTGAAATACTTGACAATTGCGCTTGTTGGATTAATGACATCAGTCGAGCTCTTGTGATTTGCAACGACCGTAAGATATTGGCAGTCTGTTTGGAGCCCCCAGTAATATGCAGAACCTAACAGCCAAATGCCAGTAGAAAGGAGAGTGATGATTGTAAAATGAACAGGGCGTTCTGTAAGTCAGTCAGAACTATCACTATTTTACCTTCGCAAGGGCGTACTACATACCAAAGGAAGCACTAGTATAATACCTAGCGGATAGAATGAAGACAGAGAGACACAGGCATCTTTAACAAGGCGTCAATAAGTATCGAAATCGGGATATATCTATGGGCATACATACATGAAAGCCCGTGTGTGAGAGACGGCCCCTCGCATGCTGAAAACCCACGCGTCAATAACGCAGAAGATTATGCGAGTGCCAATCTCAAACAACTCGCATTCGAGATGCGCAAGCGAATACTTTGCGCATTCGCGAGTCACTCAAGCAGAATCATGAATCTCGACCTTTGCCTGCATCTGCATCTGAGGATAGCCGATTATGATGAGAAGAGGAGATTCTGAGGTGCCACTTGTTTCCTCAGTAAGGACCAGAAATCACCCCGTTAATGCCCCTTCTTTAGGTCTAGTCGCACCAAGTTTCGTCAGCAAAATGCCAAGCCAACACTGAACTATTCTGTAGGGATCGGCATTAATATTCTTTTCAAGTATATTCATATCATCGTAATTGCGAGATTTTTAACGGAAGAAACACTAGTCAAAACATGTGTTATAACCGCTCCGTAACTCAAACATAAATACAGAACATTGCCGCACTGCGCCTCTCAATGTCTAATACTCCATCTAGAAACGCTCTAATGCTGAAATCTGAAGTCGAGCCTCTTGTTTCCTTCATCAGTTGTCGTAGCGAGATAGTTTAGTCGCTGTTCTTCAGTCATTGCTTCCCATTTCTTTGCTCGGGACTGGTTACGCCACACATAGTACAACTTCGTGAGGATATATATGACTATGTTCATGCAGGTAATGCCAAGGAGTGCGCGATTGCCGTGAACATAACGAGGAGCATCACCTATCAGAGCTTAGTTAGTAATGTAGTATAGAAGTGGAAAGGGGAGCTGCTTACTTGCTACGTAGATGTTGGCGGACACGATGCCACCAGCCTGGACGAACATGTTGTAACACGCTGCTGAAACCGTTCGAAGTCTTACTGCATTGCTATTGCGCGAGTTCCATGCTACTTGAATCGGATGGGCTACATTGATTTGTTAGTGGGGATACTTGATATGAGCGAAACTCTTGCATTGTAATGAGCTCACCATTCGGGTATGCAAGGAGAAGTGTAACCACCACCCAGAACACCCACTTGTTCACTTCCGTAGTATTAACAACGTTGAGGTAGATTAAGAATGGAAGCAGCCAAATTTGACCAATTAGGGCCGTCAAAGTAAGTTCGCTCCAAGCTTCGGCTAGATATGTAAGGGCCAGCATCATGAAGACTAAAGCAAAACAAGTCAGTAAACGAAATCTCTTAAGCTGCATAGATATATCTTACCGTGCAGCACCGTTGATGGAATGGTGAGCAAATTTGTCTGAAAAGTGTCAAAGCCCAAGCCCTTGAGCGTAAGAGTCAGATAATTAGCTGGCGGAGTCGCAGGAACTTGGAATACAAGTCCAAGGATGTATATCGGCCTATCGCATTGGTAAACGTTAACAATACTCTTTCGATTTCTCATTTTCGCTCGAGACTCACCAGAGATCATAGTCCTTAAGACTCTGCCATAGTAACTTGGGTGTGACAGGCTCACGATTGTGCATCGAACTCTTACTGGGATCTTCGCGAATAACTCTGTTGACGATGATTTTTTCCTCCCGTTCAGAAAACCAACCCTTTTTGCCTCTGAACCAGCTGGCCGTTTGACAAGGACCAGCAGGCATGAGAACCCAGGCAAGTAACCCAACAACGAGCGTCAAGAGGCCCTAATGATATCTGTTAACATATGCTCCAAAACGTCTGATGAGCACGAACATCGCCACGCGTGACTTACTTCAATAAGGAAAAGCCATCTCCATCCAGAGCGTCCCGCAATACCTCGCATGTGCAATAACCCGTACGCGAGCAATGCCGAGCATATGTCTGCCAAGCTCAGAGCTGTCCAGAAGAAACCCAGGCGGATTGTCAACTCTGCGTGTCTATAGAAATAGGAAAGGTATAAGATGACCTAATTCTCCCAATTAGTGAATCGATCCAGGCGATTGCAGCAAGATGTAGCTTACATCTGGAATAAATCCGCCCTGAATAATTCCGAGCAAGGCTCGTGTTGCAAGGAACGAGCTTCGGCCCGACAACCAAAACTGGGCGCCTGCGACGAGACTCCATAAGCACATCTGCATCGGGATCCATCGATCCGGGCCCATCCATTTCGACACTAGCTGTGAAGGAAGCTCTGCAAGAAGAAACGATAGCTTGAACACCGTATTGCCCAAGTTGTAGTCTTAAAGATGAATCGTTAGCGCTCTTGTAGATATTGGCTTGTGGTTATCGAGCATACCATTCGTAGTCATGTGAAGATCCGAAAGGAAGTTATCGGTCAATGCTTGTGAAAGGTTGGACCGGTCAAGTTCGAGAGCCATGAACATTATACAGGCCCAAAACGTAATGTAGAGGTCCATTTTCCGGATGAGTTTGCCCTCTTCGCGCCATGTCCATCGGAAAGAAGGGTCGAATCTGTGAATATTTTCCCTGTTTAATTTCCACGTTAGCTATCTTGCTTTTTAGACAAAGTATAATTGCATTTAATTACCAGTCTGGTCTCGGCTGGTACTTTTCAGCTGTGTCTGGGTCGTCGAATACTGAAAGCTGCAGTCATGTCAGCAGATCTACATGAAACAATTGATTTGATAATAACGTACCTGCGTTGCAATGGCATCTTTGTCGACTTTTGTTCCCTTCTTGAACCATGAGCGTCTCTCAACTATCGGAGCCCCCAGAGGTGGCGAAATGCTATCTAATGAGGTTGTTGAGACCGAAGACGGGTCCTTTCCGCCTCTCGCAAGTACGGTCGCCATGATGTTTGCCGATGGGATGAAGAACGCTGAAGAGGGAAAAGAAGAGGACAACCCTTCAGTATTTACACATCGTCACTTTTTCTCCCAGGTTGGTTATATAATACTACTATCTTCAAAGTCCGCCTTGATGTGTGAATGTGGCGATCGCACGCAACGAGCCAAGGAACTATTGGAGACCCGGCAGGTGCGGGAAGGTATGATGAGAATAACCCAAGCAATTACGACGAGAGGGCTAGACTCGATGGAACCTAGGACAGCTATTATTCAGATATACCGTCTGGGGTACCAATGAGCAGCTAGTTGTTACCAATATCGAGGTGGACTTGAAAACCCGGACCCCGGTCTCCATCCCTCAGATCGCTACCCCGGAGGGATGAGATCATGCATATGCGCAGTAGATACAATTGCAGATGCTCGGCAGTATATTTCTTATCAGTTTGAACTATAATCCCAATCAGTTACGTACTTTGCCGCTCATTTTGGGTATTGCTTTGTTAGTATAGAATTCGACTAATTGTTAGAAGCAGTTGAGGCCTGCTTAATAACCAAGACTATTCTCAGTTACACATGACTTGAACTTTTTGATCACAACTTCAATTGTTTCTCTTTTTTTCAAGAGCCTGTCTGTAGAATAAAGTTTTTTCTTCATCTTTCCTTCATGGAAGCTGACATATCCAGGCGTTATGCAGCGTTATGCGCCTTATCTCCAACAATTCATTGTGCTAGTGGCGGGCACAATCACGCCATCAAGACCTTGATTCTCACCACAAACGGCAACCCGCGATTCACCAACAATCCAACACGACCCGAAGCACGCAATTCTAGGTTATTTACAGGAGCTGCCGAGATAGGGGGTTTCGGGCACATTTTATCCATTGGGGGCGCAACGCACATGTCGCTTTTGCCGCACGCGACTTTCATATGACTTACCCTCGCCTCGACGGCCTAACTAACAGCCTGTTATGCTTTGGTGTCGTGCTTCGACAACGAGTTGATGTGATCCTATAGCTGAGGGGTCTCATGCATTGCACCCCCGCGTCCGAGAAGCGCAGCTGATTGCCGTTCGAATACGCCATACGGTGAATCGCTCCGTTTGCGGTTATCGCGTATGATGCGATATTTCCAGGTTCAGAGACATCCGCACCGTCGCTTTGGATATGTGACTAGTCGTGCGAGGTCCCGGATGTTGGCCTTGAGATGCGGACTTGTCGCCATCATGGATGCCTCTACTATTCCTACAGGAGCTAGATATCATGCAATGCAACTGAACCTACAGCTTGCTGATGACCTGGTGAACCGACAGTCCGACTGAGTCCTCCAATCGCATGCTCTATACGCCGAAAGTTGGAATGACCGAGATCCCTAAATCCGTAGGGCTACATGGACTTCGATATCACAGGCTCTATTAGTGAGCTTCTCTCCCCTCACTGACGCAATTTGGGAATTGATGTCGCACAAATCGGCGTCAATTATTGGTTTCATGTGAATGAGCCTAAAAGATGTCAACATGGATGGTGGTTTGATTCCTAGCACGCAAGAAGATGGCTTGAACGGTGTTGATGGCATCCTCACAGGCAATAGACTTGGCAATACCCAGGACAGGATACGAGGAAAAGATTGGTATCCTCGTATAAGTATGGATTGAATTCCACAAAATCATATCTTGAGGAGATATCAACCTGCTGTTCATCAGATATATCGACAGTGTGCAGATCTTTGATTATACAAACACATCAGTAACAATGGCTCCCGCAGCAGTTGAAGCACCTGTGGTCATCCACGATGTCCCTATCAAGACCAAGGTTCAACAGCCCATTCCCCTCACGGGCACACTGGATCAGTTTGAGTCCTTCGACATCACCCCCGTCATTGGTCGTGAATTCCCCAAGGCCAATCTCGTAGACTTGCTCAACGCCCCCAACTCCGATGACCTTATTCGAGAACTTGCCGTCACTAGTAAGTACACTTGAAGAAAATGAAGAGCGAAATCATAATGGCTCATCTGACTATTTATAGTTTCACAGCGTGGTGTCGTTTTCTTCCGTGCCCAGGACAACCTCACCAACGACCTCCAGAAGGAACTCATCCTCAGACTTGGCAAGCTGACTGGACGGCCTGCCACATCTGGCCTGCATATCCACCCTCTATTGAACAACGAGCGAGAACTTGGTGGCAATGATCCCGAGATTAGCACCATCAGCTCCGTTCAGTTCGACAAGTTCTACAAGCAAACCAAGCCCGATGAGCTTAGCCCCAAGAAGCAAAAGGCCGCTAGCTGGCATAGTGATATCGCCTTTGAGCCTGTCCCGGCTGATTACACTTCCCTTAGACTGATTAAGCTTCCCAAGACTGGAGGTGGTGAGTACAATTGAGCAATTACATCTATCATTCGTGACACAGTATCTAATCATAAGATAGACACCCTCTGGGCCTCTGGCTATGAAATCTATGACCGCATCAGCGAGCCTTACCAGAAATTCCTTGAGTCTCTGACTGCTACCTTTGAGCAGCCCGGCTTTGGTGACATTGCTAAGCGCTCCGGCTTCGAGCTGTATGACAAGCCTCGTGGAGCCCCTGAGAACGTGGGCACTGAGCTCAAGGCAATTCACCCCGTTGTCCGAACCAACCCCGTGACCGGATGGAAGAGCATCTTCCCTGTTGGCGGTCATGTTAAGCACATCAACGGTCTCACCGATGAAGAGAGCAAGAAGCTGCTGCAGTGGTTCTTGGATCTCGTTCACGACGGCCATGACTTGCAAGTCCGCTTCAGGTGGCAGAACCCTAATGATATTGGTACGTCTCTTCCGTTTGCATTAACATAGTGTTGCCAAAGCTAATTACTTGGAACAGCCATCTGGGATAACCGGAGTGTCTTCCACACTGCCACCTATGATTACACCGGTCTGGGTGAGCGATTCGGCGCTCGCACCGTCGGACTCGGTGAACGACCTTACCTTGACCCCAACAGCACGTCGCGACGTGAAGCATTGAGCAAGGAAGCATGAAGTTTCTATACAAATAGTTAAAATTAATGAAAGTTGTTATGAGCCCATATCTCCTATGAGGATGTGCCTACAAAGATGTTGCTTTCTATTGTATGCAACACTCTTCACTAAAAGGTTGTGTGAAGACAGATATCGTAATATTTACGTCCCCCTCAATATCCCTGTATTAAAACAAACGGTCACCAGTTGTTAGTTCATGTCCTTTGCTCGTAAAACCTCCCCCTTTGACGTTTCGCTATAAACGACTACCAATAAGTCGCGAATTTACTCCCGCCATTGATCACGTCCATAAAATTCTGAGCTACTACACGGTGGACTTGTTCAGAAGGATGAAGCGAGTCATAGAACATGAACGAATCTCTATCGCCCGGTAAATCCGTACAATTTGCCGCGCCCGCCTCGCAATGGTGTATAAAGTCGAGTACATCCAGAGGTGTTGTGCCGTTTAGATACTTTTGCGGGTTCCGATGGATATCTTTAAATAAAGAGTTTACATCTAAAAGTCATATTAAAGTCAATTAGCCAATACTAAAAAGGCTTTAACGAGAGAATAAGCTCTTGCTCACCATAGATTGCCCACTTAGCACCAGGATACCTCTTGGCAACGTGTTGCTGGAACGGGACTTGGAACTTGGAGATCTCATTCACTGCACTCGTATATTCATACATCTTAAAAGAAACCTCGGTTAGGTTAGACGGCTTATTTGGCCAATCCGGTGTGCCTGGGGGAACTCCTTTTTTTTCAGGCGTCGCGTAGATCGGATGCAGCTCAAGTGGGGGAACATTCATCAACACAAACTTCCGCCCACCATTTTTATAGATGCGATCAAAAGCGGTGAACACACAATCAGTAAAAGTTGTGAGCGAAGTTCCAGTAGTCTGGCTATCAATGAATATGTTCTTCTTGCCAATGTCGTTGACGCCAATCCACATGGCATATAGAGTGTCATCGGCTGAGCCGGTGTAAAACTTTTGATGTGGTGAGACGGCACTCGTTAAATGCAACTCAGCGAGCCAAGCAGGCATCTCCGTTTCTAAAATAGCTGCAGAAAGGTCCTTGAGAGTTGCTCTGGCCTGTGGCATGATGCTTGTTGTGCCTAATCGGACGTATATTTAGCCTTCGTCATTACTGTATGTTCTCTCGCAACAGATTCTGGGTAAAGTGCAAAGGATTACCGACATATCCCGCTAGCGATGGCGTAATTGTAAAGCTTTGCGCCTGAGTATTGGCTGACATCTTTTCCTCATATGTTAAATAATTCTTCTGCATAGTAGAGTTTCAATGGGTAATGCATACACCTAGGCCAAACGCGTCCGCCATCAGAAGCATCGAGGGACTCAGGAAGCAGTAAGCCCACCGGTGGAGGCGTATTATTATGGGCTGTGAAATAATCCAACCTCGATTCATCTGTGTAACTGTCTCCAAAGACAACAAGGTTTTTGAATTTGCCTCCAAACCAAGAATGCTTATTACTGCTTGATAGCTCCTTAATCTCGGCATAATTGTTTCGAGCACTAACCATGCTAGCCGCCGCAAAAGGGAGAATAGAAAGTAACAGCATCTTGATACGATGTGTATTTGCGTACTGAATTACGAGTTAAACAAAGTACTCCCAAAATGGAATTCGAGTATAATGATGTCGAAGACACCGGAAAAGGTTGGTAAAGATCAAACAGGAAGTGTTTATTTATAAAAACCTTTATTACGATGGGTAACTCAGTTGCATATATTCTTTTTTTTTGTCAATGGTGAGGGGTAAAGGCAGAGAACTGTGAAGCTTCCAGGGTCGGCTATTTGTGTATTCTTGGTCAGTATTGCCTGCTTTCATGCGGTTAACATGTATCCCTGCAAACCTGCATTCCTGATCCAGCTCTCGCCGACGTAAGTCATGCGAGAAAGCGACCTAGACAAAATAATTTTCTAGTTTGCGATCACACATTCACCTAAGCAGGGGAAAATCCCAACCAACGATGAGTGGGACTTCCTACCATGGGGTTTGTAGCCTGCCTGTTGTAGAAGTTTCAACCGGAGATTATGTGAAGCTATGCGACGTTGTGGGGATGACACTACTCTGTTACTATATTAAGATCAAATAGCATAAGCGTTTTAATGTGTTAGGGCGACCGTTTTTACAATAGCAGGAGGAGACTATGAGGGCCTATTACCCCAAACATGACGCTCTGTCTTTCGGTCAACTGATCAATTCTTCAAAGAAGCATAATAGAGGTCTGCAGCAAACTCAACGGCAAGTTGCTAATCGTCTCTGTTTCTATTTTTCGTAAGTAGCGCATAGTGTTTGCACATAAGTGACAATCGCATGGAACTTTTCTATATCTTATTCGAATTATCATAACAAATTGAACACTCCGTGGAAAATACGGCATAGCTATTCCACAATCATTCATCCACGACAATACTCTGGCCAAACTTTTCTTTGAGCCATCGCAGTACTTGCAGATTTCCTCTGAAACGCTGCAGAGAGGCTAAATCGCCCTCTACCTTCAATCCCGCCAATGTCCTCACTCTAGATAGGGCCACATATATTTGACCATCTGTAAATGCTCGGGTCAGATTCACAACTGCGTTATCCAGTGTCATTCCTTGGGATTTATGGACAGTCAGTGCCCATGCAGCCGCTAGGGGGATCTGGATTCGGCCCAGTAGGGTATATGGCCTCGTGTCTCCATACAGGATTGACTGGCATATAGGATAGATCGTCTTTATTTGGCCGTTTTGAAAGCGTACAACCGGCCATCCCTTAGCATCCCTACATCCCATCATAAACTCCAGGATCTTTTCTTCATCCACATCGTATGCTGGCCAGTATACAGGCAAGTCCTCATTACGTATCTCGAATACTGGTAGCTCATCCTCAAATGGCTTAAAGCCTATTATAACTCCTTGAGCACCGTTGACCAAACCAGTTGATATATTGATATTGTGTAAGAGCAAGACCTGCATTCCTTCTTTAAGATTGAGTTCAATCTCGAATGCATGGTCTTTTAATTCTTTCAGAGAGTCGTCCGTATTTCTTATTCCCTTACCGCTCAAGTGCGGATGTGCTTTCTTGTTCCACAGAAATACATCCACACACTTGTAAGTCTGTATAGGAGCTCTAATGCGCCGAAACTCAGTATCGTTGACTTTTCGAACTTCATCCCGTGTGGGAAAGAGTCTCACTGCATAAGAATCCGTCGTTTTGTTACAATTGGCCAGAAGGTCGAGCTCAGAGTCGTTCATCCCCAGACCCAGTCGACATTTTTGTAGGAGCTTGACAAACTCTGGGTCTTTTTGCCGGTGCACCTCTTTCAGATACACATGCTCAAAATTGCATTCGTCCCATGCTTTGCTTCTAAAGGCCCATTTATTATCATCATGGTAAGAGGCGCCGCATTCGGTGCTTGGGCATGTGTATATGTCTTGTCGTCTGTTTGGTATAAGGTCACTGCCGCATTCGAAGCAGTGTGAGAACGGTTTGACTGGCGGCAACTGGCAGAAATCCCCTGTAACAATGATCTGAGTGCCGCCAAATGGAAGAGTAGATCTCTCATCAAATGGAGACCACGCGGCCTTCATAATTTCATTCAGTCGATCAAAATGCATGGCTTCCACCATGCTAACCTCATCGAGAATGATTGTGTCGGCGTTCCTAAACCTCTCCAGCAGGATGCGACCCGTTGAGAATTCTTTCAGCTCGGATAGACTGAATTTGTGCGTGTTAGGCGTCCATCCGGCAAAGGACCAGGTCGTCTTGCCGCCATTTGCCATTGCCACCTTGCCTGTCGGTGCCAAAACATGGACATTCTTATCCATTCGCATGAGACGCTGCCTGATTTCTCTCAGTACTGTCGATTTCCCACAGCCTGCCGAGCCGGTGTAAAAGATGTTGTGACCCTCAACTGCACGTGAAACCAAGTCTTCCTGCTCCGGCGATAGGGTTGGACCATATCCAATCTTATATGGTTGCTTCGGCACCAAATCCAATGTGGTATTAAGTGCTTCAGACAACAATGGCGACCCAATTTCTATAGACTTGGCGGTCTCTGCACCATCTGCGGCCTGTTTCTTCTTCTTCTTCTTCTTCTTTTTAGAATTTGCGTATTCTCTGGAGCAGCTTGGTATTCTAAGAGCGTAAAATGTTGATGCCGTTAGCTGCTGGCGGAATCTCAGTTGGACAAAACTCGTAGGCGCCAACACAGACAACGCCGAGCGTCGCCATGGCGCAACAAGTAGCATAGCGATGGTAATGGTACAAGGCCACTGCTAAAACCTTTTCAATATTATCGATGCAATTAGAAGTAAGTAGTGATAGTAGATGAATGAATGATGGTAGATGGAGGCAGAGAAAGCGCTTGATGTTAGGCTGTCGAGTGGGGGTACCCAACATGCATTCTGACAGCATCAGGCTGAGGTACGTACCTCGCCAAAACGACGAAGTATTCAAGCATATTTGATGTGATGTACAGATCGTGTCATTCAGAAGTAACTTATGCAACTGAACAATTTATGACAACATGGGTGGTCCATAAGGCTAAGGGCAGCAAGAGTGCAATTAGAAAACAGGAAAGTTTACTGACATAGCGACAGTCATGTTGTTGTCCGATCCCGCAAAACGAGGTATTTTCGAAGTGTATATTACAATAATATATTTCCTACACCGTACGACTGTACTAGTAATTGTTCATCGAAGAACCATCTGAAGCTGGACCGTCGAAAATGCAGATGTAGATGACCGAGCTTACGCCAGCCAAGTAGTCCATTCATGGGGCATACTCAAGGACATCATCAGTTGGAAAGTTGCTCTTTGGAGGGAACACCTGATGCGCTTCAGCTATTTGCTCTAAGGTAGTGGTGCTGATCTTAGATTCGGGATCATTGTTGACTCAAGTCGTTTAGCTTGCCTAAGTTGAGATCTGGGGAACGGCTGCTTCAGCACCGCCAGCTTGCTATTCCGCATCTCATGTCTCGAATATACAGCCAGTAATAATACGAGATACTAGAAAATTATACCTCACTCACAGTCAGGGCCCCCACGGCGAATTACACAGACCGAACAGAACGGACGCCAGCAAACAACCCCCTTCCAGACGGACAACTAAGACTGAGCCCAACGCCAACCGCACACATGATTAGCATTTCACCGGAATTCAGAGCGAAACTCCGGAACGAGTACAAAAACAATCCGGTGTGGGTGAGGATAATACAAACCCTGGACGACAACCTCAAACTCGACACAGAAGACCAGGCAATCCTGTCTCACACTTGTATTCCAAGCAGTCGCGGGAGGGTGGATGGCAAACTTGGGCTACAGAAGAGCTACTTTCTTTGTTTACCGCCGCAACCGAACATTGAAACTAGAGTAATGGGCGGGCAGATCAAAGGGGGATGTAAACAAAGACAGCTAAGCATGACTTGCGATGACCACCTATGTTCCCCCCCTTTGTGACTGAGAAATTGGATAGTCAATTATGCCACATCGATCTATAGTGAATCACTGTGAGCTGAGCATTGTTGCTGATGACTCGAGCCTCTTGAAAGATAACAAGCAGCATGACACTTATCATTCATGTCTTCGATTGTACAGGTTTCTTTTATCCCGCCTCAGGTGCCAAACGTGCTAACAGATACCATGTAAAAACATATGTCCAGGTAAGAACCCTTATCTATAAGACGGCATGTACCGAGTTCATTATATTCCTATGTCGGCATTCTAGATATTAAATGTGCCTTGTTTGTGCCTTATGGTTACAAGGGTATTATTTGCCCAAAGAAAAAACAAAGACCACCAAATTGGTCGCTCTCCCCCGATGCAGTATTTCTCCCCCCCATTCAACTCCAAGGTTTTCTCCCCTTGCAACTTTTGGTGTTCCCAAAACCGTCTAGAAATAAACCAATGCCACAAGCCCAACTCCATATTCGCCTGAAAGAAAGCATCGCTTCGAAATTTTAGAAGAGGATGTACATAATACATTTGTCGTGTGAAATGAACAGCGCGGGACGAGAAGAGAAGATCCCAGGTCAAGGGTCGTTGTGATTATCTAAGACGGGATCCCAAAGTAAGGGTCCCTTGCAGATGTTTTCTTCAGCATAGACCCGGTAGCGGTCAAGAACGTCGGTTTGCTCGATTCTTTCGTCGCCAGCTTGGGCACCGAAGCTGAAATGTGCCACAACGCCGCCACCATCAGCTACAGCATCTGTAGGCAAGTATTAGTCATTGTGAATACAACATTATTAGTTCACAGGGGGGGGAAGACATACGTCTACCAGTCTGCTCGGGCATAGTAACGGCAAAGTGATGCTCGTCGTCGGCTGCAATAGGCTTGGCCAGGTTGATATCCTTGCCCATCATGCAGGTAAACTGAATACCCATGCGCTTCAGCTGAAAGTCCCATGTTCCGAAGCGATATTGGCGCAAATTGTTGTTCTCGATGTTCTCAAACAAGCTGTAGTGCTCTTGGGCGGCGACCTGCCACTTCTTCCAACCAGGACCGAACGGGTCGTACTCGGTCTCCACGATGGGCGTGCGGTCGAGAATGTGGTCGCTGTGGCCTTTGACGGGCAGCCACCGGTGCTTCTGGTGGTCCGGGGGATTCCACTCGCTGACTTGGAAGTCGTCGGCCCCTTGCCAGGAAGGGAGCAGCGAAGGGCGCCAATTCAGCTTGCTGCCGGGCTGGGGAGCAGGATACGCCTTGTTCAATTCTGGTAGGTAGGCCTTGACGGCGCCGAGATTCCAATGTATCCAGCTGATGAGAGGCTGGTTGATGACGTTGGAGGAAACGACAAAGAATTCGGGATGCTCAGCTCGGGTCGTGACAATGGAGGGGATGGCGGAATCTTCGATATAGACCTGGCAACACATGTCAGCTCAGCAAGTCCAAACACAATGCAATTTTGGGTTGAGTTCATACAATATCGTCATCCATCTTGATATACATAACGTCATCTTGTATCCGGTCGTATGACGAGGCAAAGCCGTCTTCGTTCATGTCAATTACCCATTTTGTGTAGCCGGGCTCGCTTTCGAGAAGTTTGTCGAGGAACTTGAGATCGTCTTCGTCGGTTGTTCGCTGGAGGAAGATGACGCCGTCGAGGATGCCACCGTTCTTGACCAGATTGCGCTGTAGTTTCCACCGATTAGCACCGCCAGACGCACACACACACACCGCATTGACCGCCTTACCTTGAGATAGCAATCGAGAATGGACACGGTCGACCGGCGGCCGTAGAAAATCAGGCCCATGATCTTGCTGGCGTCGGCCGGTCGCTTCCACTTGATGCCGCCAATTTCCTTGGGCACGCAGTATGTCGAGTTTCCATGCCGCCGCGACCCCCTAGGGCACATGTCGTCATGGTCCCGGTCATGGTCTCTGTGATTGCGGAAGGCATCGCCAGGGACAAGGTGGACGTTCCAGACGTAGATGAGCAACGACACAAAGACGAGCGATGCGGCGAGCAGCGAGTGCACAATGTGCTTGTTGTTAAAGCTTAGCAGCATCGTTTCGTTTTTGGGGGGCCTCAATCTGCCAGTCCCAGCGAGGAGGGAGGAAGAGAAGAGGCGAGAGAAAGCCCTGGATCAAGATGATCAGGCTGTTGTGCGAGGGTTGAAGCGTTGCAAGTTGCGCGCGACAGGCGCTAGTAGGGAGGCGATTGAATTGGTTACCCACGGTTTTAGCGTCCGACCGAACAATTTCGACGCGACCCGCCCACACCCTCTGGAGATTGGGGATTGGAGGTGAGAGGGGGAGGGTCCGGTCCGGACAAAATATCTGGGATCAAAGGGTAATGATGGACAAAGGGAAAAAAGGGGGGTTGAGTGTACGGATAGGTATGCTCAATCCAACAACTGAATTGGCCTGTAGCTGCATCAAGTATTAGAAGTATAATACCTCTACGAGGAAGATCAATGATGATTATAATCCGCCAGCAGGGTACAATGTATGATAGATAAGCTTTGAGGAACATGCACCCGACCGACCTTGAATACCTTGTATCCCACCAATGCGACATACCCTTACATGTAACCTTTTCCAGTATCCACCAGGCCGCAGCCTCGTATTGGCGAATGCCTGCATCAGAGTGTCGACATTTAGACACTAGCTCTGTAGATTCCCATTGGGATTCGACCCCTCGATGGCCGTGGCGTTGGTGCCGAAAAGGGCGTTTGTCAGATACATTGGTATCAAGGGAGTGGATGCCACAAAGTTATTGACAATGAATGGCAGATCCAACAAAAAGGATGTCGATACTCTCTACTAAAATCTGAATTAAGTGACGGATGTTGAACTTACCAGTCACTTGGCAGACCCTTGGACAAAGGCACTTCCTTATTAGGGGTCCCTGGATGGATGGATGGATGACAGACAATTAAGCTCTGCATTAGTAATTGCTGCGTGTTAACAGGTACAGTACCCGTACCTAAATTACGCATCCGACACCAGTCTCAGGTACTTTCCTGTACATCCATCGCCTGGGTAGCATCTCTTCTTAGTCTCCCAGTAAGGAAGTGAGATCAAGACATGTGCGTCTTTAATGTCTCCCCTACCAACAGAGGTACGGAGTACTTGCTATCAGGTGCTTCGTCCTCCACAGATGAGTAAGCATCCCAAAGAGGCAGTACAACTTCCAAGTGTGCCTCAACTAACACCATCTCCGCTCATTCGGTCATTTCCCTCTTGGGCCCTGCATTGATCTTTAAACAGGGTGATGATGAGTATCACGCAGTTTTTCGCCGAGTCTCTTGAAAGAATAGAGGGAATTAGTAGCTAACAGATACTTTTATAGTGTCATCGATTGATACTTACCTGGCTTGTGTAAAGTACAAACGTTGAAGAGAGTGGTCACTTCAACACCTCAAGTCTGCTATCCGGCACACCAGCTACTAAGTGAGATTCAATTGTCAGAACAAGACGCAAAAAAAAAGGCATTTTACCAAATATTTAGTTACTTGTCTAGTACTAGGTGGGTGATAAATATTCTGCACTTTTCGTATCTGCCTGCTACTGCAACTACTTCTATGACTATTGATAACCATGTTCTTAGCCACAGTCAGCAAACGCAGAATATCTACTCGACATTGACATGTCGCGTATTCTCTAGAACAAAGAACAAAGAAAAGAGCCATCGGAAGTGGGCTCACAGAAGTGACTGTTATCTCAACAAAGCGTTAGTATCACCCAAATCAAGGATTATGATAGACATTGGGCATCACCACCCCCTTGCATCGTAGCCTTTCAGTGTCAACATTCCTTCATAATTCATGCCCTCCAACTCCTCCTGCTCTCCACTCACCAACACAAAGGTCTTCATCCCTGCCTTTACACCATATTAGCCTCGTGCTACAGTGCTGTGCCGTGAATGCGAAAGGGCGGCTATCTGCTGTCCAGGAAGCACGAAATGGAGACGGCGTTTTGATTGGGCGCCGGGCACTGTTGAGATCAGAGTATCAAGAGAACTAACATATTCTTATAAAGTGATTTCTCCCTCGTTCGCCTTGTTTTTCTCATGTGCAATATCCCTACCTGAGGAGGTTGCTAATCATGGCCATGGTTAATCACCGCCGCCCGAAGCGTCGAAATTTGTGTGACTACACGGAGTATATTTGAAGTCTTACAAAGGAAGATATCGTCCAGCTCAGTACCCAAGTCTAGACCGCTTAGTGAATGCAGCCTACTGCTACACGAATTTCGTATCCTGCCGTGCCAACTAGACGCGATATGGAGTACCAAAAGGACCTCGTATTACATCGAGGCTATGCCGGATAGCTAACCTCGGTGGCCGGTTGTGCATGCGACGATGCTGCCATTTCCCACTCCTCTGCACATCCACTACTCAATATCACACCAAGAATACGAGTTACTAAACAGTACCAGGCGATACCTCATGTTTGCGGACATTCTTGCCCTTTCGTATTGACATCCAATGGGATAGCGGCAACATCTCTTTTGGGTAGGAGTGCTGTGATTCACATGCATACTGTCTTGTTACATCTAAAGCTCACACTCAATGCAAATATAGCACCCGCATCCAAACGAGTAGAAAATAGTGGCAATAGTAACGGCCACTAGAAAGAAGTGCTAAATGATAGGAGGAGATACTAAAGAAGAAGGATGTCGATCCGTATCCTATCATGTCACATCTTGGCAGGGCACAAAAAGCTTGTTTCGCAGACCCATACCATCGATCCCGGGTACACTTTTAAGAAGTGTGGGGTCATTGCAACTTTGATCATGATAGATCGTCATCGCTTCACTGCGATTAACCGAAATCACGTCCTTTTCACACATGGTCCGTTTGTATATTCTTCTAGAAAGCTGAAAAGCTGTATGTGCCAAGTCCAGCTCGTTGTGTGTCCACTCTGCACCTAAAGCTCTTGAATACTACCTGCTGCCTAGCACCCGGTTTACTTTTAATCGAGTCAAAACTCTGTGGTTTCTACAAATTTGTTCCATTTCTCCTGTAATGCATCATATTAGTAACAAGACAAAAACGTGTTTGTGCAAGCCGTTTGTCAGGTAACCTTACCCAATCAACGGTCGCTGGGCTAAGCCATCTGGCTGCCTGCAACTGCGACGCAAGCATTGTCGAAAGAGGAGTCGATGGTTCACTCTCACCAGAAAGTGGAAGCCGAAAATGGTCCGCTATTAGAGATCTAAATGAAGGATTGAGCTCCGATTCTTCAACTTTTTGGTAGGAATGCTTACTGAAGATACTTGAGAATTGTGTATGCTTTGGCGCAGATTGGGCTTCTTCCCGAAAGAGATTGGAACCTGTTGGTGCAATCATTCAGGACTGACTGCATTTCGTATATTGATTCACCATCTCGGTCCTGAAGTATAGCAGCCGCCAAAGTCACTGCACCATGGAATGCATGGAAACTCCCCAAGCCGAATCCGTACCATCGGAATTGTCGAAACTGCTGTTCATCAGACAAAAGTGCGTGGATATCCAACAGAGCTGTCGCAGATGTTATACATCTAGCCCTAGACCGCTGTAGGAAGCCGCTCTTGGCCGGTTCGCCGAACAGAGGTCGGTGGATTAGCAGGTAAATCTGATGCGCATGGCTGTGCAAAATGTTCCAGTGAACTCGCTGGAACCCCTGGATTTTGTCGCTTCGAAGGTGGCTACGATATATTTCATCCCAGTGTTCTTGCTCGCGCTCAATGGCGGCGTCAAGAGCTGCAATGCTTGCATGTGAAGGAGCCTCCACGCCGAGGATTTGGTCAGCTATCTGATCCACGAGGCTGTATAGCTTAACTTTGAGAAGCATGTAGGTCATCTGAGTTGGTCCATCTACCTGAGTTGGTAGGGAATCTGGACGTATATCATCATCGTCGACATCCATCGGTAGCTTGACTTGGAACTTTGGTAAGGCGAATAGACCGACGTTGCCGAAAGACAAAGCCTGTATCATATAGAGCACCTTTAGGCCGGCCCAGCACCGTCTTCGCTGCTCAATTTCTATGTAATTCATCCCTAGACGTTCACCATCGACATGGCAGCCCAAGGATATAGCAACATGCACAGTGAGCCCTTTGACTGTGTTAGTAGGAATCAACGACCGAGAGCTGACATGCTGAATGGCCCTGCTGCATACCTAATAGAGGCCAACTTGAACCACTCCCTTGAGAATGGTTGATGGCATATATCATCAAAACTAAACACTGTAGAGTAGAAAGCCTGTGGCGGGACATATAATTGTCTGCTTCAAGGGAGCTCATAGCAGCCTTCCTGAACCGGGTGGCGATGGCCTTGACGTTGCTCGGACCATCGGCTTCTCTACCCAGATCGTCCAATACCCAATCATCATCATCCAGTGTCATAGTCGCCAGCGACAGTATAGTAAATAATAAAGCCAGCCATGAAAGCGGGACGGATTTAGGATCTTGTAAAAAGGTTTCGTACTCGCGATGGAAAGTAGGATCGTGAAGCACATGAATGAGAGGAGAAAAGACGGCAAAAAAGCGCGACACTAAATATTTGCAATGCTGTTTGGCGGGTAAAGATAAGAGGAGATGAGAACCAGCTTCTGTATTACCCGCATTCCGATTCGTTGAATCAGACCTGTCAAGTTGTAAGGGAGCGAGGTGTGGCGATGTAGTCGATAATGTTGGGGTGCTGAGTGTTTCTGACAAACTCGGCAACGCAGATGACCAATGGGATTGCCGAACTCTGTATGTGATACACCCATTCTCATGCTGATACAACGTACCAAGGGAATTATAATTAGAGCCATTTTGTGAATTTCTCCATTGGCCGGTATTATCCGGGAAAGACGTGGACGAAGCCGATGCTCCTGGGCTGTCAGATGACGCTGCTGTGATAGCATCGCGGGCGTGTTTCCGCTGTTTCGCAAAGTAATAGCACAAATGCACCATTTTTCGATTTTTGCAGCCGGAACATGGAATCTGCCTATCGCACTTTGACTTGCGCTCCCGGCAAGGAACACAGCTCAATGCCGCTCGATTCCGACGCTTCTTCTCGCCATTGCGTTGCCGGCCTCCGGAGATAGACTGCATTGTCCACCATACCAAACTGAGCTATTATTTCCCTGTAGAGATGTGGCTGTGGGAAATAGCATGCCGAATACTTGTACTTGGACAACATAAAGAGGGAAGTTTGAAAACTTATGTCCGACAATAGGGGCCATGGGTGGTTCGTGGGCTTTATATCCGAACCCTGCAAAAGGTACCGGACTTATGGAGGGGCCCCATTAGCAAATATCAGCTGACACTGGCAGTTGTCTGCTTATTCCTGTGGGACGATTTGCTTATATCCGGCCCTTGAGTACACTAAGTATCTAGAAGGTAAAGCTAAGAAGACCTTCTCTAATAATATTCTACCACAATTCTGCACTTTACACAGTAAAACCATCAATAGGAGTTTATTATGACAAGTAGTGGCACCAAGCACACAGGGATCACTAATTTTAAAACAACAAAGCAATGTCTTCACGATCCCTGATATAGTTATCATATCTCCGGTGATTTACGTCATGTGCTGGATTAATACCCGGAACTTTGAGGAAACACCAGCCATCTGCGTGATAAGACGGAATGAGTTGAATTATAAATACTGTCAGAATCTCTTCAAGAATTGAAACATTCCTCGCCTCTCAAGCTTTCTAGATACACGCACCAGCTTGAATTAGAGTTTACGAGACAAATTTTATCTTCTGAACTGCTAAATCTCTTTACCATGTTCGAATCCACCTGTCTTTGCGGTACGAATCGCGTTTCTTTTGAGGGCGACATAATTGTGAGGGTATTGTGCTGCCTTTTGACTTCCTGTACCTGTATTATGCTGAGCAAACTGTTTTCTAGATGCGATGCCATTGCATCGACTGCCGCAAATTCTCCGGCTCTACGAATACCAACAACATCCTTCTGCCCTTTGAGGGATTCAAGGTTCTTCAGGGAACGCTCAAAACTTATGCCAAAGAAGCCGAGACTGGCAATGTTATGACGAGTTACTTTTGCGGGGACTGCGGATCAACACTGTACCGCAGGTCAAGCTTCACCGACACAGTGGCTGCAGTGATGATTGGAGGAGTTGACGGGCTGGAAACCATCGAGAAAGGCAAAGCGGATGTTGAGCTTTATGTCAAGAATCGCCCGAGTTGGATGAAGCCGATTGAAAGCGCAAACCAAGAGCAAGGCACTTGGCTTCCGAAGCATTAACTAAATTGCTGTCAATATATAAGAAAAAAGTTCATGTGGATTTTCTCTTTGCAAATGTATTTGCAAAGAAATAATACATCATTTCTGGTGCAGATATTGAAACAGCTAAACTTTCCCCCGTTTGGCACAACAAGTTGGAACAAAGTTGAACAAGGTGCATATACAGGAATTAGAGTAACTTATTTGGTTAGACAGACATTCATGTAGTGATATTTTTGTGAAGTCAAATTAATTAAATCACCGGCGAAGCTTTTGTCAGTTTACTTTCCTTGGAGGTTATACCATCGCAGTGTTTGGGCAGTTGAGCTGCATCCGAACTAAAACATTGGAGGGGCTATTCAGCACCCCAAGCTGACTATACACCATCCCGTGTCTCAAACTTAAAGCCGTATGGAGTTATGGTAGCAGGAAGTAGTAATGGTAGCGGATAGTTAAGAAACTTGTTATCTACTGCCCAGGCAGACAAGTAACTCTACTTGAGCAGTGAATAAAAGGCATTCTTTCTCATCCTGTTTCGAAACTTGAACTTCATGCAGTGTCTGTGGGCTGGATAGTTACTCTCTAAAACAGGTCTTCAAATGCAACCATATCTCTAGGAGAGCCTCTGATACGATTAGAGAACTGCTAGTAGACTATTTCGTAGCATAGCAACACTGCCTCAGCCACCCACATCGGGAAATAAACTGCTGCAATCTCGACTCTGCGATCCATAAGTTCCGCGACGTTCCAACCAGCCGATCAAAATTTGTTGTTCGTAGACTGCGCCTTGACCGTCAGCAATTAGATGAATGATCGGCGTGGCAAATCGCCTATTGGAAGGTGACATTGTCAAAATAATGGTAAACTTCAGAAGAGAGAGAAGCATAGCATAACAACAGAAGAGGAAGGTCTGATGGAAACAAAACGCGATTATGTCTGTAGCAATAAAGGTGGGACTATCTTCAGTGTTCTATTACAAGCTAATCGCATGAATTGCTGGAGTATCAATGCTAAGGTCGCGTTTCCTTTTGAGGAATGTAAAGATGATGATGATGATACCCTTCAGCGGGTGGAATTTGCGGAACCGTTCTCACTGTCTGTGCACCAAGTCTGTCTACTACCTTAGGTTACAGGAGGCTGTGCGATGCCACATTGAATGAAAGCGCTGCGGTGCTTCGGGTTTCTTAACCTCATAGGGCTTGTCTTATTGTTTTCATCGATAGGGTCACCTGGTTTCTTACCATAAATAGAACCTAAGCCAGCCATCTGCAACGACTAAATAGGACCCCTACACGTTCTCGTCATAGTACGATTGAAACAAGCCTAGAATTCACGGAGAATTGTCGTTATAGTTACCTAACCACGTCTTCAACTGTCTTCAGCGGGCATAGCCATCTACAAGGTGCGAACCATCTGCGCAGTGGGCCTTTTTGTGCGCACCATGTATCCATCCAGGGTAGAGTGTACAGCTGGATATTCAGAGTGACGTTCTGTAAAACTGCAACAACTCCAATACAGATAGAGTATTTACTATGCTGCTTTTGTTGATACAAAAACGTTTCTGGAAACTAGATAACTCTATAATAGCTCCTAAGGTCAATAAGGCTGTTGAGAACTTGACTTATATCGAGATGTTTCATCTGTCTTGAGAGACTGACCGCAGTTATAATTTTGCAAATTTGGGTATATCGCATTTCGCTAATCTCATCCACAATGCCACCATACTCCATGAACCTATCTCCACATGCTATGTATGTACTCATGATCCATCAGGCTGACTCGCATAACAACCAGTGGATACAAAATACCCATGTGCAGCATGACTATCATCCGCAAACCGCGTATCTGTGCCATCACTGGCACGCAACCTTCCATCTCAAGCTCTTTTGCGAGCGTCTGAAAACGCCTTAAACTAACCAAAAATTGTATTCATTATAAGAAAGAGGAAACAAAAACATTGAACTTTAATAAGCGTAAGCACGCTGGACCGTGATAGTAGCTCCCACATCGGCTTCTGTCTGTATCGTCTGTGTCGTTTCTGTAGTCTGAGCCGTCCCTGTCACTTTTATCGGTTTGTCATCGCGGTCTTCAAAACTGACCCTGTAGGATTTGGATTGGTAGATGTTGAAAGCTCGGTCATCGAGGGATTCGAGCTCAATACCTCTACTGTTCCGATTCGCCAATCTTCCGAATTTCCCAGAGCCAGTCCCATGCTTTGACTCATAGTCGGATACCGCCTTGGTGCTTTTCGAACTACTACCAACGAGCCACAGGTAGAGTGGCCCAAGAGTAGGAATGCAAGCGGCGACATTGATGGAAGCCAGCTCTACACACGACCAAATGACCAAGGGAACGGTATCATCTGTATACAAGTCAGTCTCTATTTAGTACATTGACACCAATCATGAGAGGAATTACAAGTAAAATCTTGGTGCGATCCTAAAGTCCAAGTATAATAGATCTTGAGAGAAGAACAAACGGTGGCGAAGAAACCCATGCTGAGGGCAACGCCAATGGTGATTTTCTCCTTGAGTCCCATTTGAAGTTTCCTGAGGTAGAACCAGGGCAGGACGGCAAAACAAAAGTCTGTAAGGGCACCGATAGCTAGATATCATGTCAGCTTGGAATTTGAATAGCCTAATGAACGTGAGGGCGAGACAAACTGCCAGTGAGAAATCCCCAGTCAACCACGACTCTTGAATCCCAACATTTGCCTCCCGGGATAGTATGATCCCACTGGAATGCCACTGGCTGGCACTGGACCAATATCAAGACGGAATCAACGTAGAAACAGATGGCATTTGCAGCAACGAATGACCACAAGAACCATTGTAGTTTCTTGCCAGGAAAAATTCGCTGTAGCAGATATGCGATGGAGGCTTTGCCGGACGGAAATGAAGCGATGGCAAAAAACTGGCCGATGACTTCTGCTTTAATCGCCGACGTGATTTGCGCTTCCGTCAAGGCCTCGCTGCGTTTTCCATAACCTCGTTGAATCGAGACGAACATGCACACATTGTAGCCTAGAATAATGAACTAAGACGACAAAGTCAGTTGACGTCAACGAGACATTTTGCGCCGAGGAGCGCTTCCGATACATACCCAAGTAATGACTATGAGGCCATCGTCCCAACCAAAATGTGGTCTAATGACTGTGCGAGTGAGAACGCGAGTGAAGACGAGGATGCCTCCCACAGCCAATGTGGTGATGATGACTGCGAGACAAAGAGGGCCTTTGTCGCCGCCTACATCGGCCATGATGGAGCGTGATAGAAACAACTACAAGAAGACAGTACAAGAAACAAAAGAAAAGAACGAAGAATTTCCACAGTCGAAGCACTAACCGAGGATAGGTCTACGACTAGTAATAGAGGAATTAAAAATTAAAAAAACAGAAAAAAATGACCGCGTGGGATGACGAGGCTAAAATTGGGAGTGATCAGAGATGATGGCGCTCTTGGCTCAGTGCATGCAGCAGTTCGCATCCTTGTCACTGTTCGCAGCGTGGATTCACGAAGATCGATCAGAATCTCTACATATGCGGCCCTCCTCCCCACCATATGGCTGAACGAAAGACATCACACCATTACGGCCCCCGTCCACACAGACGAAGATTGCTTCGACGCAACACAGTACATGAACTCTTCAGCCAACACTATAGAAATGAGGGAAATCCAGCACATCTCTGTCTGTTGGTAAGACCAAGCCGTACTGTACATCGCCAAGGCCCCCCCCGGAGATGCGATTTGACATGCCTGCTTTCGTGGTGGAAGGTAGCAGCGGTTGTGGCTCGTGTGTGAGCAGCAGCTTTAGATGCGACATTTGAACGCGGAGCAGGCCTCGCCGAGGTGGTGCTCAAGGTATGATGTTTTCGGTCTGTTCTGGGATAGTATGACTTGGGTGTACGGACCCTGGGTGGCATCAGCTGGTCATCCTCTTTGCCTCTTTGCTCCAGCGTCGTATTAAAGACTGAAAGCAGGCACTCGGATTACGCCGTCCAGGGCCAATGGGGGCCAAGGATGTTCCGTACTCCGTATATTAATATACGAGTAGCCTTAAGCGAGCAAATCCCTCGACAGCTCTGTAGAGGGTACCATGTCAGCAGTGTTGTATGTTTGCATTGTCCTTCTGTAGTTGAAGAAGATCGACGTTTTCTGACCCAATTCTCTTCTTAGCGGCGAAAAGACAATATGACGTATCTGGGGAAGCAAAATATCGCATTGACATTGCTACGATAAGGCAGGGAAACATAATGTTTGATGTGATTAGTATCAGCTTTTTCTATTCAGCCGAAAGGCGGGAAAAGAAAAAACTTTTCTCAGCTGCATGTAGACCTTGCGAATAGGGGGCTCCCTCGATCCTGGCAATAATATCATACCTATTGCATACCATACTGGTCTGCACATGCATTAGGCTCCTCGATAAGATATTAATAAAGATTCAGCTTCGCTTTACAAGTAAGTCTAGCTGGCTATTTGATGAGATGGTGGAGCCTGGCGTCTGATTTTTGCCCCGGCTGCAAATCTCGTCCCGTCTCGTCCCGTCTTACTAGTACACACACAAGTGCTCCTTTGATAGACCAGGTTGTGTGTCATGAAACGCCATTCCCGGCCCACTCGGCATGGGGTAACTCTGTTACAGCATTAGAATCGGTGAGTTTCTCTCGAGGGAAAATCCAAATCAGACCTGCTTAATTAAGACTGCCGTGATAGTCTGTTCAATGCGCTTCGGCTTCTGGATATGGGGCATCACCGAGCCACATGAACCTCCGCTCCGTGATCCGGCTTGGCCGCCCTTCGCCTACGGCCCAGGTCAAGCCGCTTTGCCGTGGAAGGATTTCATCCAGCTCCGCACAGTATGAAGTGAATCATGTCAGACCTTTCGACGGCATTGTGTCTTTAGCGCGCCTGGGTATCTGACCGGGATGTGGCTCTCGTATCCGCAAATGATCAGGTTTAACTCAGAATAGGAACTCGATCCCAAATGAGCTCAGCTGGTTCTGCTTGGCTATCGAAAAGGTGGCAGATCATCTATGGCAGATATGGATTAGATCGCCAAAGCTCGGTAAACGTGGCTGCTGCTGTTTGTGATATGTGACTGCTAAGCAGACTCAGGGTTGTCCCTTGAAGAGCTGTCTTCGCTCATCTTGCATAGAGTTCTGCTATGTGTATCAGTATTGTAGGGCATTACCTTGTTCCATATTGAGTGAACTGTTTCAAGAATGTCTTCCTTGGTATCATTGGCAGAAGAACTGCTGGCTCAGGCAAAAGAAGTTGAGCAGCTCCTTGAGCAAAACAATCTTCCACCCACATCTTTCGACAAAGACACTCTCGAGTTACTACCAGATAGTGCTCAAAAGCTACGATGGGATCTCCTCGATACTAGCCACACAATTACGCAACTCCTCAGAGGTGCTAGACTTTCTGGACTCGATATAGCTTTTGGGGTATTAATTCCCATCTCTCAATGTACAATGAATACGGGAATACCATTGCTGATCCATATGTGAAACAGTGGACGGACCAACTTATCCTGCGTATAATATGGCGATACAGGCTAGCTTCTGCCATACCCCTCGACGGGACGGCAACCTACGATGAGATTTCGGCTACCAGCGGACTGGGAAGATCTCTTGTTACTCGAACAATTCGATCAGCCATGACGTTGAACATATTTGACGAACCAGAGCCGGGCCATATTTGCCATACCGCTATATCCAGGCTGCTAGCTGCAGACAATGGCTATTACAGCGCTATAGGCCTTCAACTTGAGGACATAGGTCCTGCGAGTTTGAAGCTGATTGAAGCCTGGCAGAAGTTTGGTGACGATGCTGGAGAGCCTGATCAGAGTGCCTTCAGTCTCCAGAACGGCGGGCGATCGCTCTTCAAAGTTTTGGCTGAAGAGCCGGAACGTGCTAATCGCTTCGACGGGGCGATGAAGTACTGCGTCGAAGACAAAGACTTTAACTTCTTCGACATCATCAACGGATTCGACTGGTCAACGCTGGATAAACCTGGTGCCCGACTGGTCGATCTTGGCGGTGGATATGGGCAAATTTCCCAAGCCCTGGCCAAGAAGACTCAAAATCTGTCTTTTACCATTCATGATCTTCCTCATGTCGTGGAAAAAGGTCGAAAATTACTCCCAGCCGAGTTCAGCGAACGAATTTCTTTCCAGGAGCAAAATTTCATGGAACCTCAACAGTCAGAAACCCCGCCAGACGCGTATTTGATCAGCCGATGTCTTCATAACTGGAGTGATCATCACAGCGCAATCATTCTTCGAGCTCTCATTCCAGCCTTGAGACAGGGCTCCAAGATCCTTATTTGGGACTCAGTCTTGGAGGACAGGCCTGTCAAGAAGCTGTCCGGCAAGTTCAATTTCCAGCAGGACTTTATCATGGCAACAATCTCCAACGGTAAAGATAGATCAGCGGAAGAATTTAGACGCGTCTTGGAGCTAAGCGATCCACGGTTCACGATGGAAGGCGTACGAAGACCTGAGGGTTGTAAGCTCGCAATGGTTGAAGTAACTTGGAACCCGTAGCATCAGTCTCTAGAACAGTCACGAATCACGAATTGTATCTAAATTCTCGCATCAATGGCATATATTGAAGTGACGATGTGTTTTATTTGACCTCTTAATTTGCTGCTTCAGGCGGAGCAAGAGTGCCGAATATGTCATACTCGGCAAAGTCAAGTCTAGGAGCGACGCCCTCCAGCTTCCAAACCCCGTCAATCTTCTGGTACCAATGAGTAGTGACACCGTGGCCATGCCCATGGTTGATCACCTCTGCGAGAGTCTCATCGGCATATCGCTGATGGGCTGCTCGGATCTGCCACGCGACGCGGACAAGACCGTCCTTCTGGAGCTCCCATTGTCCCGCGCCAAGGAAATGCTGCGTCTTCAATCGCTTGTCTCCGATCATGCCAATGAGGATTTTCGAGTATTCTTCCGGGTTTAGGTTCTCATGGTATGCTCCACGGAGACTGCGAAAGTCTAGCCGGACCGAGGGTGCAAGGCATTCTTTCAGACGGCCCCAGTCCTTAGTGTCGTAGCTCTCTGCCCATTCAAAGGCAACATTGCGGATGCTAAGATAGTCTAGATCCACAGTCATCAGCATTGGATATGCCTGTCGGTGAGGTGAAACGGGGTGGTTCATACCTGAGATCGAGATATCGACAGACATTTTGTGCTACGGGCGAGTAATCGAGTGGCAAAGAGGTCCTCGTTTTGCAATTGGCATGTGCGAATTGCGTTCAATATGCTATTATATACAGAGGTTTCACCAGCGTCCAACGGTTGAGGGGATTTTCAGAAGATCCTGGGCGGAGGTTGCTCCGATGCAGCGTCTGCATCGGAGCGGGTTAGGATTGACTGGGATTCAATTCCTCCAGTTGGGTCACCCCGGTTTCAGTCTGATCTTCGCTAGGTCCGTCCGTAGTGGTATATGTGGCTCGATTGACACCGCTGTGCAACTACTACTTCGAGTATTTACTATCCATCAAGAACCCAGTACAGGAACGGTTGCTATCATACTGCTTGTACTTCATTTCAAATACCCGTCCTAGTTTGTCAGGCAAGTGCCGCGTTAGCATACTTGTATCATTTAGCCACCAATACCGTAACGGCACGGAGCGACCCTCGGTGGAACCGACTGGTGCTGATATCAGCGACAGGTGGTATTGCATACAAGTTGGTTCGGTTGGCTAGCACAAACCTGTGACAAAAGTCCTGGCCGGTGTAACTCGGAGTCTTAAGATGTCAAAGTCTTGTGGCGCCACCTGAAGCCAGGGGGAGTGTCAGCACGATCTATGAACTTGCAAGGGCCCCCGCCTTGAGGAAATCATGTCTTATCAAAATGATCCATCTCTTTTACGCTGATGGACTAATACTTAGTCCTCGGGACTAACTGGTTGACACGAGGCTAGTATTTGCCGGGTTCCTGGCCCTGGCGAGAGACTTCAACGGTGATCAGGACCCTGTATCTCAGAGCATGATAGAGCAGGATAGGATCAAAACCCGAGAAAAGCACACAGTGCTTGACAATTAGCGCCTTTGAACCCATCCCACTTGGTCGCAGCCGATTTACCGGGGGTAAAATCTACACGGCCCACGTCAACCACTTAGACCGGTTGCTAAATATGCAATACCACCTGTCGCTGATATCAGCCCCATGTAAAGCCACCAGGAATTTTCAGTCTTCAGCCTGTGAAACAATGTGATTTGTTATTGTAGCGGCCGAATTACGGTCACTTCGCATGTGCCAACATAGCTATGGAGTTCAGGAAAAGACCGATGAGGAAGTGTTACTTCCCCTTTTCAGTTAAGAGACCGCTGATCGCGAGACTCGTTTAATTGCCAGCTTCCTTACGTTCACATTCGCATAGACCGGATATAAACTGGATATGAAATCGTCTGAAGTGGCAGCCTGAATCACTGGTAGACAAGCTTGCTTATTTATTGTTTGAGCCACATTGACTCTTTTGTTGTTATTGTATAGTTTATGTATGGGTTTTCAGCAAGATGTCCAGCATCTAATACATATTCTCAGCCCCAAACTATCTTTTTCGGTACGTATGCCAGCATCCAACATTTAAGTTCTTATTTAGCTCACACGTTACAAGGATTTTGGAATAAACGTCTCGAGTAACGAGCTGACCCACGCCATTCTGAACTGGGCTGCCCGCAGAAATGGCCGTTCATGATGGGATGGGCCATGGCTCGTCCACCCAAGGCATGGATAATGCCTGGAGCAACAAGAATGGGAACGACACCTTGGAGGGTGGAAACCCAGAGACGGATGCATTTCCCTCCCTACCATACTCTGAAGACTCAGCCGTTGCCGTAACGGGAATGGCATGCAAGTTTGCCGGAGCTGAGTCTCTGGAGCAACTATGGCAAATTCTCGAAACAGGAACAACACTATATCGTGATCTCCCCAAGGACCGTTTCCCAGACGCCCGTTTCGTACGTCGATCATATGAAAGGCCGTTCAAGGCCAACACGATTGACGATGTAGATGCTTTCGATCACAAGTTCTTCAAGGTTGCCAGCCGCGAAGCCACTTTCATGGATCCTCAGCAGAGACTGGGGCTCCAGGTCACATACCAAGCTCTGGAGTCAGCAGGCTATTTCAGCCGTGACACCTACACAACGGGGACAGAGCGGGACATTGGCTGCTACTTTGCCACATGCACAAACGAGTATGCTGAGAATGTGGCTACCCATCCACCCTCAGCATTCTCACTTACCGGGTCAATCCGGCCGTTTATCGCGGGAAAGATCAGCCATCACTTCGGTTGGACTGGCCCTGCCATCATGTATGACACAGCATGTGCAGCGTCAGGTACAGCTATCCATCAAGCCTGCCAAGCCGTTGCAACTGGAGACTGCAACGCTGCCATTGCAGGGGCCACGAACATCTTTGTCAGCCCTGATACCTTCCAGAACCTTGCCAGTGGCCAGTTCACAAGTCCGACAGGGGCATCTAAATCCTTTGATGCTGCAGCTGATGGATATTGTCGAGGAGAGGGTGTGGCAGTTGTCGTGCTGAAGAAACTTTCTGCCGCTATTCGAGATGGCGATCCTATCATGGGAGTTATCGCTGCTACCGGCGTTAATCAGAATGCAAATGAACACTCCATCACAGTGCCCCATGGGCCTACTCAGATGAATCTGTACAGAAAGGTTCTACGGCGTGCTGGTATGCATGCCGAAGACATTTCGTATGTCGAGGCTCACGGAACTGGTACCGCCCTTGGAGATCCAATTGAGTCTCGAAGCATACGAGGCGTATTTGGCAACCATTCTCGCCCTCACGGTGATAAAACTTACTTGGGTTCACTGAAGAGTAACATTGGACATACAGAAGCTACTTCTGGATTGTCGGGACTCATCAAGGTTCTTTTAATGATGCAAAAGGGAATAATCCCACCACAAGCATTATTAAAGAACCTTAATCCAGCCATTGGACCCATGGAACCCAGTGGAATGGCCATTGCTACAAGCAAGGTTCCCTGGAACGCTCAATTCAAAGCTGCATGCATCAATAATTACGGCGCATCGGGAACCAATGCCGCAATGATCGTTGCTCAACCACCGAATATCAAGAGCCGATCTTCGTCCACATCGGTGGCGACCTATCCCGTGTCATTAACGGCTTTCAGCCCTTCAAGCTTGGCAGCATATTGCTCCGAGTTGCTGAGTTTCATCAGCCAATCAGACTCACCCAGCGATGACTTGGCATTGGGCATTGCTTACCACTTATGGCGTCGCAGGAACCCCAGTTTGCCATACACTGCATGCGCAACCATTTCGTCGCTTCAAGAGCTCAAGGGTTTTCTCTCATCTACAATGTCTACGGCACCTCTTAAGAGTGAAAACAAGCAGCAGCCGGTTGTGTTGTTCTTTGGAGGGCAAACTGGCAAGATGGCTACCGTCCCTCGGTCTTTTTACGAGTCTTCTGCCATCTTCCGCAAGCATCTGGATGATTGCGATGCTACGTTGCGTGCACTTGGATCTCCGAGTGTCTTCCCGGATGTATTTGAGTCAGGTCCACATGAAGATGTTGTCCTCCTCCATTCTATATTATTCAGTGCGCAGTATGCGAGCGCCATGGCTTGGATAGACTGTGGGCTTCAACCAGCTCGGCTTGTCGGTCACAGCTTTGGCCAACTCACAGCTCTCTGTGTATCAGGAGTATTATCGCTTCAAGACAGCTTGCAACTGATTACTGGACGTGCCAGATTGATCAAGGAGCACTGGGGAAATGACTCTGGCTCAATGATTGCAATCGAAGCGGATCTGGACACGGTAAAGAGTCTTTTGGCGCAACATGCTCATCTCGGACTCGATATCGCTTGTTATAACGGGCCGCAAAGTTTCGTTATCGCAGGTAGCACTTCTTCAGTTGACGCTCTGGAAGCCTTCTTAAAGTCTGCACCCCAACCATTCCAGGCGAAACGATTGCGAGTCACAAATGCCTTCCACTCTTCCTTGACAGAGCCCCTACTCCAGCCTCTTCAAGACATTACCGAACAATTAAACTTCCACTCTCCGAGAGTCCCCTTGGAGACTTGCTCTGATATTGGAACTTGGGAGACTGCCACTCCAGCTCTCGTCGCGTCACACATGAGGGATCCAGTATACTTCCACCAGGCAGTAGAGAGGATTGCGGAAGAGCTTGGCCCCTGTACATGGGTTGAGGCTGGCTCAGGCTTCGGTGCACCCATGGTACGGCGAGCTCTCGGAACACGAGCATCTGCAAACAACATCAAGTCCATGAGTTTAGAATCTGCGTCACCCATAGAGGTCCTGGCAGAAATGACAGCGCAGCTTTGGGAACTCGGTCTGGCCATACAGTACTGGCCATTCCACCACAGCCAACAACAGCAATATAAGGTACTGAATCTTCCTCCATACCAATTTGACAAAGCCCGTTTCTGGCTTGAATGGAAAGATTTGGCCCCTCCAGCGATCGAGGTTCCAGTTCCAGTCTCAGAGCCAGCATCACTCCTACAGCTGCTACAAAAGACCAATGATGGAGGCGAATTTCGCATCAATACTCACTGCGAGAGTTGGCAAACCATCTGCTCCGAGAACTACATTCTTGATGTTCAGATCTGCTCCATTTCTTCGATAATGAATTTAGTCTCCAAAGCTATTGACACAATCCAAAATTCTCCCGCCCAAAAGAACAATGTTTACAATGTGGAATACTTGGCACAACAGAGTCCGATACCCGCCAAGTCAGAGGATAATCTCAGTCTGACAGTCGCCAGAGTCAAACATTCGCAGTCTTGGAACTTTACGATTACGAACGCTGCCAATTCCAATCGAACGTACGTTTCTGGTATTGTCTCCGCTCCTTCAGTGAGCAGTGAGAGAGTCAAGGCGGATTTTGCTCGCTTCCGTAGACTCATTGATACTACTCTTATCAAAAATCTTACGAATGACGACGAAGCGGATTCCGTCAAGGGAAAAGCTGTCTATAAGAGCGTTTTGAACGTCTTCCAAATCCCAAAATCTGGGCAGTCAGTCAAGGAAGTGTCTGCCAAAGGCAACGAAGCTGCAGGCTACCTGGTGTCTTCATTCAATAACAAGTATGAAGCCATTGAGCATTTCATCCAAGTTCCTCTGCTCTGCTTAAACGGCTTGCAAGACCACGAAGACGATGAGATTTATGTCAATATGGCAATGGGACAAGTCATATTTCAAGATTCTCTTGATTTGTCGTCTGGTAAGAACACTTCTTGGGCGGTATATCTCAAATTCTTCGGACTTGATGGCCCAGAGACGACTTGCGATATTTTTGTATGCGATACACAGAGTGGTCAGCTATCTGCGGTTATTCTGGACGTAACATTCGCCAAATTACAGGTTGAATCCCTACGACAAGCTCTCGGTGGCTCTACCACGGTTACAACCTCTCAGTCTAATAAGCGGGCTACAATTACACCTCCTCAGTCCAGCAGACCTATTGCAATCGCAACCCCACAGCCTACCAGGCATATTACCATTACTGCTCCTCCTTCAAATGCGTCTTCCACTATTCCATCCCCTCAATTCACTCCGAGACGTCACTCAATTTCATCAGAGGAGGTAATTGAAGACGTTGAACCCGCCACTACACGACCTCAAACTCCGGATTCATCCGTGGACAATGAGTCAATCCTGTCACCAGACTTGCCGGATGTTTCAAAATTGCTGTTCGAGTTGCTTGGCCGCATTGCTGACGTAGATGTTGGCTGCCTTCGCAGCGACATTTCCATTTTTGACCTCGGCATCGATTCATTGATGGGAATGGAAGTTGCGGACGAGATCAGCAAAGTCTTCTCTATCAAAATCGGCGTACGAGAATTTGAGAGTGCCCACAATGTCGGCGCTTTGTGCAAACTCATTGCGGAGCGAACAAGTGGCTTCTTTTACAATTCGGAAGTTAGTTCAAGATCTCCATCTGATCCAGATACGACTGGGTCCAAGAACACAACACTAACTTCCGCTACGTCTAGCATGAAGGTTTCAGGCCATGAGGATCCACGACCAACTAAGGAACTATCCACTGCGGCTCACAAAGCTTTCGACCTAATACGTGAGGAATTCGATGTTATTGCCCAAGAAACGGGGTGTGACAGGTTCTGCTCAGAAGTCCATCCCTCTCAAGCGGGCTTGATTGTCGCCTACATCACTGAGGCATTTGCCAAGCTTGGGTGCGACCTTTCCACCATCAACGCCAGCCAGAAGATTCCGAATATACCCCACTTACCAAGAAACGAGAAGCTCATGGCTCAGTTAATGCGCGCTCTTCGGGATGATGGTCTCCTCACTCAAGTTCACAACGACTGGGTTCGTACGTCTAAAGCTGTGGCTCTTCAACCAACTTCATCCGAGAGATATGACCGAATAATTGCTGAATTTCCACAATTTGCGCCTGAACACAAGCTCCTGCACGTTGTTGGCTCCAAGTTGGATGAGTGTCTCTCTGGCGAGTTGGATCCACTTGTATTGCTTTTTGGTAGCCCAGAAAAGCGCAAGTTGATGGCAGACCAGTACCTCATCGCCCCCATACAGTCTTCTGTATCTCAGCAGCTTGTGAGCTTCATCAAGACATGTTTCGGCTCACAGACACTACCCCAGACTGTCCGGGTGCTGGAAATCGGAGGGGGCACCTGTGGGACTACTCTTCCTGCAGTCAAGGCGTTTGCTCAGCTTGGCATCTCTGTCGAGTATACTTTTACCGATATTTCATCTTCTTTCATTACAGCAGCTAAATCCAAACTACGAGATCACACGTTTGTTAAATTCAGAACCCTTGACATTACGCAAGACCCTTCCACGGATATAAAGGGCTATTTCGACATGATCATTGCAACAAACGTCATGCATGCAACCCCCGATGTTTGCAAGAGTTCATCAAACGCTCGCCAACTGCTACGTGCAGGTGGATTCCTCACTCTTGTGGAATACACTTGGAGGAATTATTATCTCCTTGATGTCATTTTTGGACAGCTAGATGGATGGTGGCTCTTCAACGATGGTAGAGACCATGCTACTATGGACGTGAGTGACTGGAAGAAGACCCTTCTTCGTGCCGGCTTCGGGGAGGTAGATTGGACAGAAGGACAAACTGAGGAGTCCAAGATCTGCAGGATCATATTAGCTTATTGAATCAGCGTGTTTGTAGTCGTATAATGTTTCGTATATAATCTTTTGTAATTTCAGACAGTAATACAGCCAATATTCTACGATATCACGGGTGATCGTTCTACCGCGCAACTCAGCTGTATAACCTATTAAAGACGGGCGCCATCCTTGGCTGATCCTAGTGAAGCTCAACAGTTGAGCTGCAAACAGGACAAGGATCGTATATGCAACGATATCGCGCTCTACTGATTGGTGCAGCGATGCAGAGTTGCAATCTCAACGAAGCCTCATCAGCTCTAGACAAAGTTAATTAGACGAGTTACACGGGCGACGGCGCATGCAGGTCCATCAACATGGCTGTTGATCGTGATATCCCGGCTGCAACACAATACATGTAGTTTGATGACAGTGATATGCCTAGCTGGTTCATGCAAGCCAGCCAAGGGTAACATTCCTTCAACCGCGGTTCAGCTATATTAGTGCCCTTTTTATTTACCTTTATTTAGAGGCGCAGCCACGTATGACCCCAAAATGGCTGATGTAGGGAATTTTCCCCCTCTTTGGAAGACAGCCAGCCGCGGCTTTTCGACACCAGATCCGCGGAATTATCGTGGTGGCTTCATCGCATATCGGTGAACGCAGTATGAAGAAGAATAGAGAATTCATGGTTCGCCTTTTGAGCTGATCCCTAAGTCCGATCTAAAAAAGAGTCTACTCGTACGCCCTTGCACAATGCCGTCCAGCCTAGTTCATGCTCGTCCTAGGAGAAAATCGGCCCAAAAAGTCTCCGTCGCACGAGACGAGCTGCTTTCCCCGAGACGCGGTCCGGTCGACGCTGATTGGTCGCACCCAAAGAACTGAGAAACTCGTCAATCGTACGAAAGATTCGGAAACCCGGTGGCTAGTCGATGTCGTTCGGCGGCGTCCCGACTTGGCGAAACTCGTTAACTGGCTGGCCAAGATATCTTGGCTGCATTGCCGGAAAGAAACGCCACGCTTCAGCGTTCAAGATGGATGGTTCGTTTTCATTTTTGGCGTGGAAAACAAAGAGAATGAAGTTGACAAAAAAAACGCCAGTGGCTTTAAAATTGAAGCGCTGCTCGGCAATAGCCCCGGGAAGGAAGCTGGCTAGACTGCTTCTCCTCATTTTTGATGGAGACGTGCCTCGGCTCAGATTTCTCTAGTGTCTGGTGGCTGTCGAACAACTTCCCCATGAGTCATGGATTGGTGATGCCGTTGCCTCCAATCAACCACCCAAGTCCACAAGTCAGCGGAACCAGGCAGACGTCCGTTGGCTCGCCAGAAACGCGGGGGTGGACCAAATGTCGTTTAGCACAAACGGTCAAGCCCGTTGGACTCAACGGAATTAAACTATCAGATAGACAACTGCGAGAACCTGGAGTTTGTCTTGGGGTTTGTGTGGGGGGAATGAGATGAGGTGAGGTTCAGCACAACGGACAAGGGTCTCCCCACACATCCACCATTCCGCAGTACGGGGTAAATTCCACGGGCGATCTGGCCAAGAGAGCTTGCCGACAAAATTCATCAAGATGGGCTGTTTAGTCTGGACATGCAGTAACAATGTTGGGGTGGCTAATAGTCTAGTAGCAACAGGGCGCTTCTTTCGCTCTTTTAGCCTCCTGCCTGTAAGTACCTTGCATTCTCAGGTTGACTTTGGCTCGCTAAGAAATGAACTTCGAGGAGTTCGAGGAGTTTACACCGGTTGATCCGCTTTTGGCAATTGGTGCCCTAGTTTCTGCTGGTAATGGGGGCGGAAGACAAACAAAGACGGAGAAGAACCAAAACAAGTTTCCGGACGGTCACGCCCTTTACGCATCGCGACAGAAGTCAATAAAAGGAAAAGGCCACTTCCGCATACAATTGTCCACGTAATGAATTTGATAGCCCTAGAACACTTGCCCAATTCGCAGCCACCAGTTGGGCTTTGTTAGTCGGGCAAACTAATGGGGCCGCTTTGTAGTTAGATACAGCCAGGAGGCGGACTTTGTTGATATATCCGTCTCAGTTCGTCTTAGTCCTCGTCTCGCAGCGGGAACCAGCTGCGTGACTTGCCTCGCAACCAGCTCGTACTTCGTACTCCCGCTGTTAGGGCTAGCGACAATCCGTCATGCAACCCGGAGAGATGGCCTGAATTATCGTTAGACTGCGGGGGAACATGGAGGCGAGGAGGGGCCAAGGTGGGCACCTGTCCGGGGTAAAGAAGCAAGACAAGGAGTGGGCGTTGTTGCGAAAAGTCGCCTCCAATGGGCGGCCGGCCGAAAGAACCGTTTCATGTACAAGTTCAGCCACCTGGTGGTAAGGGGGAGATAGTCGACGCAACTCCTGTCAACTATCGAAAGCAAGCGATCCAATGCCACCAACGTAGATTCAAAGCTGGGGGCGTCTATTTCTGGGGAGGGGGGGCGGACAGGGTTGGATCCCGTACGGAGTGTGCGAAGCTTCCGACAGGGTCTGACCGTACATTCATGGTAGTTTGTGCTGCTGATGCTTGGATGCGTGACGTGACTACGAGCATCTTGTCGGTGCCCTGCATGAAACTATATAGTCTCATGCCTCTTCCTGTTGTGACGATCCTTTCTTGTCTTCTTCCTCCATTCAAGCGCCTAATTGGCTTTTGATATACACAGCAGAGGTGAAACATCAAGTTACTGTTACACAAGTCAAACATCATGTCGTCGCCAACTGAGCAGCTGAATCGCCTGCACACCCATGACTGTAAGCGTTATGTCCTTCCTCTATTGGCTTTGAGTCAAGCTCTCTTGTCAATCTCAGTGCGGTCAACTAACACTCCTTGCAGTAGAGCTGGGAACAACTGATGCAGTCCAAAAACATATCAGCCGCAACGTCGTACCCCCAAGACGCGTCTCGCAGCGCCGACTCGACTTTGAACACCGGCGTCCTCGCTGGCTGCGTGAATGCATAGCTGAAGCCACCGGAGTGTTCATGTATGTGCTGCCCGGCATCGGTGCCATCACTTCCTTCACGATCAATGCTACAAACCCCATCGGCTCCACGGCCTTTGGCAGTCTCTTCTCCATTGGCTTTGCCTTTGCATTGGGCATTGCCTTTGCCATCATTACATGCGCACCAACCTCTGGAGGCCACTTCAGCCCGGCTGTCACCATTGCGCTGTGGTTTTGGCAAGGCTTTCCCCTCAAGAAAGTGCCATACTACATCTTCAGCCAGCTTCTCGGAGGTTTCATTGCCGCTCTTGTGCTCATGGGCATCTACCACCAGCAACTCGATGAGATGAAGCAAGTACTTCTTGCTGCCGGCGAACCTCTTGTTGCAAACGGTGCTCCAGCCAGTGTCTTGTGCTCGTTCCCCAACCCTGGCCAATCAATGGGATACGTATTCATGACCGAGTTCTTTTGCGATTGTTTCGTCGGTCTCATCATCTGGGCCTGCCTCGACCCTGCAAACCCCTTTGTCTCTCCATCTCTCGCTCCTCTTGTCATTGGACTGGCTTATGGTGCCATGGCTTGGGGTTTTGGAGCCAACACTCTCACCATGAACATGGCTCGAGACTTTGGTCCCAGAGTTGTTGCCGCCATCTTCTACGGCAGGGAGGCCTTTTCTTACATGAATTACGCTGCCATTGGAATCTTTACCAGTATCCCGGCTACGCTGGTTTCCAGCGCCTTTTATGAGTTTGTTATGCGAGATAGCCTGAGCGTCATTGGAACGGGCCATGCTGTCCACGCAGACGGAGATGAGGCCTTGGTGAGGCACATTACTAGAACTACTACTGTCGATGGCATTGAGGAGAGGAGAGGCGAATATAAGTCTTAGGTACCTATAGCTACGTAGAAAATTAATGACATATAGCTACTGAAATAGCTTCTTGAATAAGATAACTGCACATGAACACATTATCTGCCTTATACCTAAAGTGACATTACCGTGTACACAACTCATTAAATTATGTCTTCTTAGTTGTTGACTAAGCGCAACTAAACCTCCTCTTCCTAGTGCCGTAATCGTATACAAGTGGCATGGCGATATAACTCTACACACAACCCATATTCAAAAGTCTTTCCACAACATCTCAACCATGTCGTCAATTCTTGATGCTTATTCATCTAGACTATCTCAAAACAATAGGTTTCTTACTAAGATAACCCCCACCCTTTCCGTGTCATTAAGATTTAATGTGACGATCTGCCGGTACCTGCATTTCTGATTATTAAACATGGATCTCAGTATCACAGGGTTTTACCTCGGTCAAGAGCTAGGCTGGACTTGGCCACGCGATACTACTTCAAGACGAGCTTTTTATCAAGGGCATTTGCCTATAAAGGAAACAGGGGGATTTTCCTATTGCAGCTTGATCTTGTTCGGCGGTATTGCGAGATGCAACTGATGATTCTCGGATTAGTAATCAGTCTCAACCGTTCAAGTGAAGATATTCACAAACTATGGCAGCCGCGGATTTATCTGCCAAAAAATCTCAAGTAAAAGCTTTGTAAGATATTTATCGATCATGAGGCTACTTATAATGGTATTTGCCTTCATCAGCATTCTAGTTATTGGAGCCTCTCGTTGGCAAGCCATGGAAGAAGTCGCCCAGGGACGATTCAAGCACCCGATTCACATCCAAGGGCTATTGAGATCGATAACGACGTCGGGTGTCATTTCACTGTGGTTCACATGATTTCTCTTATCCATTTCACGTCTTTCGTGGGTGAGTTATGGACCTTACTCGTTTGGATGGGGTATAGGCCAAGATGCTGTTTCCACGGCCGCTCCTTCCTACTTGTGCTATCCATTGAGATAAGCTAAGCGAGCACAAAACAAGCGCACAGCCAGTTGAAGGAATATTTTCTCCCAATTCACTCTCGGCATCAATTTTCCGAGCTCCAAACATTCGCCATGGAGACTTATAATGATAGGTACTGAAAGCTTCTGGCCGGAGATGTGTGAGGGACTGCCACCACCATCGTCAAGTCCCCCTGTTCCAGCGATGGCAGCGATGGAAAGACAGTCAACTCCCTGTACATATTGCCTCAATCCAAAAGAATACTCACAGGTACTGACACAAACGCAGGGGAAACGCTTCAAGCGTTTGAAGACGAACGGCTCTCCACAAACAGTTCGGTCATGAGAGAGTCCCTCTATGGACCTTTTTATGCTCACCTGCCCAACGTTTACCTCGATTGGGAGCTCGAAGGCTATGTTTGCCGGGTTCTGGGGAGCAAATGCTATGGCCTCAAATTGCCAAAGCCAAGTAACCTCATGAAGCATCTCCGGAGTCCATACCACTTGGTAAGTAAAGTCCTTACGACTCGGATCCGTGTAGATTAGTAGTTTCCCTTATGATTTCTAGGGGATTCTACTGATTTATATTGCTATCTATGAGATTCTACTAATTTATACTGCTATCTATGGGATTCTACCAATTTATACTACTGATATATAACATTTACCGATATCCTCAAGAGACATGACGAGATGCGAGCTCCCCGACGGCAATCACCACCCCCACGGACAAATGATGTCCGTCAAAATACCAAGGCTGTACCTGATGAAGTGACAACCACAAACCGTCAATACATACCTACCTGCAGAAATTGAAGATATTCAAGCTAAAGATCTTTGGTCAGAAGTTTCTACTTCTATCCGTCAAAATACCAAGGCTACACCTAATGAGGCGACAACTCCTGTCGAACTTCTGAACACTCGATACATACCTAGAGTTATCGAAATCACAGAAAGCCAAACTGGAGATCTTCGGTCAGAAATTTCTACTCCGTCTAAAATTGAAGACAGCCAGGTTCTTCTAGAGGAAATCACTGCTACCGAAGCTTTGCTATCGGAAATTGAAGACAGCTAGGACGACATGCAATCGCTTTTGACTGTGTCTCCTAGTATCAATGGACAAGAGAGCGATGAGGGAAGTGATACCAAGAGCATGAAAAGCGTCATATATGTAAAGCCATGTGAGGTGCCCGATTGTGAAAAATGTGCTTTGGACTTCACAATGTTGTAGACCTATAATAGATACATGAAAAGCTACGTAAAGCGAAAATTTATTTGAGCAATCAGCTAGATAAAAGCAAGTGTGGTCAAATCAAATCCAACGCAAATCCACCTAATGATGTACGCCAATAATCCTCGTCTAAATTCCCACCACTCATATCTACCTCAGGGTCTATCTCTTCCACTAGATCTGTCTCTTCAATAGACTACGGCTCTGGAAAAAGCCCCAAGAACTTCTCACGATGCTCAGGGGATTGAAAGACGCCCTGGCTTCTGGTAGAGTGAAGCGCTAGGAAGCGGAGTGGTCCGGTTGGATACAGGGCGAGAGGAGATCTCGGTCCCAAAGCTGGAGGGGCATATCCCCAATGATCAGCCAATTCCCTTCGTCTTGTAAAAGTTCAGGGTCGATTAAAGAGCGAACAAAGCTTGCAAACGTTTCCATAAGGGGAGGAATCATCCAGTATGCAGGCAAGCGGAGGACAGAAACATCGAGACTGAGAAGATTTCGAACACTCACGAGTTAAATCACACGCCTACAAAGGGAGTAGCTGCTATATTTCCATTTCCCCAATAACTGCTACTATATCTTCATTTCTCTAATAACTGCTACTATATTTATATTCTCTAGTAATTGCTGCTATATTTATATTTCTCGAGTAATTGCTGCTATGTTTATATTTCTCGAGTAATTGCTACTATATTTATATGATAAAATCTGGGTGCTAGCTGAATACTAGTAGGCGTTCTTCTACAAAGGCACTACTCGATGAGTTAATTAGGTGCTTGTATTACTGAGTGTATATACTTATTCATTTTGCGGTCTCGCTTTTCCTGACCTTCCTTGGCAGGGCATAATGACGCGTGCTGATGAAAGAACACAAAGGTCGCATTTAGTTCAGAATTTAGTACCGTCTTCGACTCCAAGAAGCGGCATAGGTCCCGGTGGGAATAAGCGGCGTCTTGAACACGAAGATCGAAGCATGTGCGTGAGAGTTGAAAGGTGAAAGAGGAAAGGGGTGATGATCTGGGAAGAAAAGCTATAATAATATATCGAATACTGAGGAGCTCAATCACGTGCGAGCGGGCATTCACCTTGAAATCACAACGACAACAATGAATCACAGTTGAACCCTAAGCTCACAAGCGTGCAGCAGTGAATCATCTTTAATAGCAGATGTGTTCTATCAGAAGGCGTTTCCACAACGAGAGTAATCTCCAAGGTTAGTAATTTGAGTAAAAGAAGCTTCAAGATACTACGCCGAGGTGGGTGGTGCCTTTCGTGAGAAGTGTGGTGATGGTCATAGGCGCCTGTGGCAGTCAGTAGAAGAGAAGAAGAGTCAATTAGATGTAAACGTTCGAATATCTATTTCCATTTAGCACTCGATAGCTTTTTGCACTTAGAACTAGTGTAATAATCGCGGTGTATTTCTACAAACCCCTCCCGCGCACGAGGCTATATAACTATAATGGTTGTCGTAATCATATCTCATGCTGCCCATGCCCAAAGCCGGTCGACTAGGTTTTTTGGCTTCTCCTCATACTCTGTAGATTCATCTAGTTGGCGTCCAGTGTCAAGATCAATCTCTTTGGCGTGGCGGAATTTGGTCTTCTTGATAATCTTCCATCCGAAGAAGAGTCCGAAAAAGAGGCTATGAGAAAGTCAGTACTGAAGTAAGGAGAGAGAAGATGGACGTAAGAACGTACGGAGCCCCAATATATGATACTACAAAGTGTTCGCTGTCCCAGTGGCCGTGGATAAACGTACTGAAGCCGTTGAAGATCAGGACGATGATGAAAAACCCAAGACTGATATACGAGAGGTAAGGTTGGAAGCGACCACCAAAGGCCAATTCTTCTTTCCGGTTAATGCCTTGAGCACGAAGTGCTCGGTCAAAACCCATGTAGGCAATGCAAATACTGCACCAAGTAAATAGAGCAGCAGTTGTGACGAGGTTGGCGAACCAGGAAAAGACCTTGGCGCTGTCAGAGCTAACAGCCATGTAGGTAAGAGGTGCGAGAGCGCCCGTAAAGAGAACGCAGTAAATAGGAACTCCCCTCTTAGTGCATTTAAGCAAAAACTTCGGGGCTTGGCCACCTTCAGCGAGGGCAAGGAGATATCGGCTGCCGCTGTATAGCAACGCGTTTCCGGCCGAAGCGGCAGACACGAGAACCACAGCATTGATGATGTGAGGAAGCACCTTGATGCCAGCACGGCTAATACCAATTACCCAGGGTGAGCTGGCAACACCAGCACCGCCGTTTAGAAGCCTGTCATCAGTGTATGGGACAAGCACGCCAACAGCAAGTGTTCCAAGGACGTAGAAGAAGAGAATACGCCAGAAGAGTCGGTTCACTGCCTTTGGAATGTTGTGTCGAGGGTTTTCTGTCTCTCCTGCTGCAACGGCAATCATCTCAATACCCGCGAAAGCAAATCCAGCGTTGATAATGGCGTTGAAAAGTCCGAGGAAGCGTCCGGTGTCGCCACTGACGATGTATTCCACCATAGCTCCGGGATTCTTCCAATAGCTATACCAGGAATTCAGGTTAATCTTTTTGAATTTATAAACGAGAACAAGAAGAAAATTCCCAATAAAAAAAAGCACTTACCGGAATCCAAGTCGGTCGTGGGTTGGACCACCACCCAGATCGATGACAAGGGACAAGATGAGAAGGCCAACCAAAGCCACAATCTTAATGCAGGAGAATACGAATTCGACTTCTCCGAATACTCCCACATCGATGAGGTTGAATATGAAGATTAGAACGAGGATGATGGAGATCCATACAGCGGGCTATGTATATAATCAGCATTTTGATGCACTTTCGCCATAAGGGAATAACCACGAGAGTGACCACAGAAGTACTAAAACAGAGAAGCACCTGAGGACTTACCGAAATGGTGTCATTCCAAAATTGGATAACCGCAGCTGCGGCCGATATCTCTGCGCATACAGTAATTGCACAGTTGTACCACTGGTTCCAACCAACTGCAAATCCCAATGCCTCGTCAACAAAGCGAGAGCAGAATCTTGGTGTAGCACCAGGAAGTGGTATCCAAGTTGTCATCTCTCCCAGACATCGCATCTGAAGATGGAGTATGTTAGCATTACCATAACACCATCCCGCCAACCACAGAGCCTTATGTAAGGAGGAATCAGATGAAACTCACCATAGAGAATATAAAGACACTAGTAATTGAGTAACCCAACAAGAGAGACAGGGGACCCGCCTGGGCGAGGCCACCACCAATACCCACGAAGAGACCCGTGCCAATGGTACCGCCAATAGCATAGAATTGCATATGACGCGATTTAAGCTTTCTCTTTACCGTCTCCCTCTCCACCACTGGGATATTAACCACTCCCTCATAATAGGTTATATTGTTGATGGAGGCATGTTCTGACAAGTCGGATGGAGTTGCAATCTTCTTCTCGTCCATGGTAGTTGCAAGGATTGAAACTGTTTACTTGAGTGTTGTCGAGTATGAGTTTCATTGAACAACTCCATTCGTATATGTAGTATTTGAGAGGACTTACAAGGTCTTTTGAATGCCTGTTACTGTTATCACAAGAGTCGGTATCGTGAACTAGGATGATACGCATTTCCCGATTTTGCCGATGGTCAGGTCTCAATATGCCGACGAGCCATGCAGGCTGACCCACGCTAACATTCAGCGCTATAAGCAGCATTTACCGATGCCAGATGATTCCCAATGCCCGAAAAGACGGCCCCGATGCACCTCCAAGGCTGGGAAATGGGAAAGGGGAAGCTTTTATATACAGATAAGGAACGCCGCCATGGAACTGGCCTAGTTTTGTGGCTTAAGACTTGGTCCCAGTGTGCAGCAACTGTGTTTGCATATATCGCTTGGCTTGAACAATGACTCCTGTACTATTGGAAGACCAGCCTGTAAGTCTCGGTTTTGCTCGAATACCCTGGCCCATTCTTATCTACTATTGACTTAACTTGGACTGACTGTTCGCCTCTAGGTCTGGAATAGGTTAATTAGATTTGAAGATGTTAATGGTCAAGAGAGATACGGTGAACCTATTGACGATGAGCTCGATGGTACGATGCATTACACTTTGATTCCAAAGCACGGGATAGTTACAGGCATTTGCTGCAATAACTAACATGGGTTTTTCGTTTAGTTGGAATTGCTTTACACCGTGGCGAAGACGTATATGCTAGGATTGTTCGAGCCGAGTCAGCTCTAGACCTATCCGCCGCCCTATCAGAAGACGTTGTGCAAGTAAAAAGGGTCAGCGGCGAAACCTATAACTGCCGGAACGTGGATCAGCTTTGTTGACGGAGTAACAGATATTGGCACCGCTTAGACCAGAGGAAGCGGGTACAATACGATGCATTGGACTCAATTACCGCGAACACGCCGTAAGTAATTGGCAAAACTCTGAGGAATAAGTTTTACATCTAATTTTATTATAACAGGCAGAAATGAAGTTGTCAATTCCCAAAACCCCGACAATGTTTCTCAAGGCAACAGAAACAATCAATCACCCTTCAGGCCACATCGTTGCCCCTCACTGCGCAGATCTACACGACTGCCATTTGGACTACGAAGTGGAACTCGCAGTTGTCATCGGAAAGACATGCAAAGATGTCTCCGAGGATCATGCCATGGAATACGTGCTAGGTTACATGACCGCCAACGATGTCACCGCACGGACACACCAGAACGAAGTCTCGCAGTGGGATCGCGGCAAGGGCTTCGACGGATTCGCACCAATCGGACCAGCTCTCGTTTCGTCAAGGGTCATTCCCGACCCGTCGGTTTTACAGCTCCAGACCGTCCTCAACGGACAGGTGATGCAGCAAGGAGAAGCGAGTGACATGATTTTCACCGTTCCCAAGATAGTGTCGTTTTTGTCTCAGGTAAGGAAACTAAGGAGAATTTACATGGTGTGTTTGCTTACGATCAGCTATAGGGCTGCACGTTGCAAAAGGGGACTATTATTCTGACTGGGACCCCATGCGGAATTGGTGTCAGCCGAAACCCGCCAGTTCGGCTCGTCGAAGGCGACGAGTTGTTTGTAACTATTAGTCATGGCCTTGGGTCGCTGACAAACCCCATTGCGTTCAAATCATCGAAGCATAATGGACACCTTATTGAGGCGAGAATTTAGACGTTTCTCTCACGAGCGTACACGTACAGGTGATAGGACAGTTAGGAACTTTGGTTTAGAGTATTTCGACGAATAGAGTCGAGTTGGAAATCTAGAATAGCATTACTATGTAGGCGTTATTGCCCAATATAGCTGTCTTTCGCAATATCTGATATCATCTGCTCCCAAGTGCTAAAGTCTGCTGCACCAGGAAATGAAAATTGGTTATCCTCCCAAACAGTTGGCCAATATATAGAGCTCATGTCCGAGGACATGGCCGGAGATTCCAAGTCTGGGGGTCGTATACGCGCAGAGCCATCTACAGTGTTGGTTCTGGTGTTAAGAGGCTCAGCCGGAGAGCCAGATGTATAAACGCTCATCGAAGTACATCTGGAATCTCTGGCCTTTGCAATACAAAGCTCAATTACCTTAAGCTCCGCCATACCAAATTCGTTTAGCCAGGGGTCTTGATGCAGGTTTTCGCAGTATGCTTCCAGGTCTTCTAGGATAGCGCCAGCCTGTGACGAATGAGGGTTTTTAACCGCAATGATTCCTAAAATCATTGCACTGTTGAATAGATTGTGGGCTCCAAAAGCCCATCGCAGGTTGTCTGCAGTCGTGCTATTCATTGTGCGAAGCCTGATTTTCAAATCTGCCAGCGCTGATGACATGCATGCCTCGTGGCTCGACCGAAATCGATCCGTGATGGACTCCCGGAGTAAAAATGGCCGATGCAGGATGATTCTTGCAAAGTGGAATGATGTGTGTAGGTAGAGTCGGTGCCATGGGAGAAATGGAAGGGCCTCGTCTCCTCCTGTGTCCGGGTTTTCTAGGCTGAAATACGGCGGTAGCTGTTCACTCCACATGACCAAGTCGGCATCGAGCTGAAGAACAGCTTCGTAGCTGGCTCTTTCTAATCCAAAACATTTCTCCTGAATCTTGCCAATGACCTTGGCAAGTCGATAGAGTAGGAATGACAAGACACTGGGCGTTGGTAGATTAAGCGGCTGAGGAACAACGCGAGCAGCTTCTTCGTCCTCCAGGTCATCCAGCCACACGTTCTCAGCCTCGTGTGTTAGGCAAAATTCGTCATTGATAGCATAGGGTCGACCTAATGCGAGGGATATCATACGGTCGATGGCGTATATATGGCTCCAAAGTCGTCTCCGCTGCTCAGTGCCTTTCCGCGACATTCGCCATCTTTCACCGTCAACCTAACACATGTGAGCTTCTCTCGTGTCATACACAATATTGGATCGTTGAAATTCTTACATGCATTCCTTGGGCTTGTCCCATTCGTGAAGCAAAGCCGATGGTCAGCCATGATTCTGAAACTCGTCGAGTATGAAGAAGATAGCGAGTGACTAGAAGTCCAGCCCGTACAATATCTGTGCTTTCTCCGTAAAATGATGGAGCAATAACAATTGCTCTCCTGGCTGCCCACTGTAAAGTATCTCGTCAGCCGCTGGGTATTTGCTATATTCACTTGCACCAGGATCAGTAAATACGTACGTAAAACCTTAGAGATGCCTCTTCTCTCTCTCGCTGAACATCCAGTGTTAGACGCGGTGGAGTGTCCAGCAACACTCCGAATGCCAGTATTATGAATAAAAGTCCCAGCCAGCGAAGATCAACGTTGGCCAGATCGTCAAATCCAAATCGTCTTCCCCAAAACTCGTCATAGCTGCTCCTAAAGGTCGCCTCGTGAACAGCATCCAAAGACCAGTTCACCTCAGCCAGGAAAATGTTCACCAGACGATCGACTGTCGACTTTTGACGGGGCAACAGACCAAGTAGGTCCCAAACCTGGGCAAAAGAGCTGGATTCATCTCGAAAAGACTGCAGCGTGTCCCGACCCCGTGAGATTCCTGACGGGAGATCATGGCCCTCTTCGCTCAGTATTCTTGCCGCTACTTGGTGTCCAAAGTAGGAAGAGCCGTAAAAGGCCCTTGAACCCCTATTTGCGAACAGTGACCCCAAACGAGGACTGATGGGTGTCTGTATGATCCTTCTCGGTCTTGGTGACCATGGCTGGGTGATGGCAACCACATGGGGGGTCTCAGAAGCCTTGGAGACTCCATTGGTCGTAGAATCGCCGCACAGGTGAGCAACTCCACGCTGCAGGCAGCGGTTGCACGGCTGATTACGATCGCACTTCTGCTTCCTCAAATGACATTGCGTACACGAGGTGGGTTTCCGGCCTCGTCTGCTGCCTCTACTGGCCGGCTTTCTCGGTTGGACCACCACAGCGTCCGTCATCTCGGGGTTTCTCCACATACACAACGGGGTTCCGGTTCCGAGGGCGATTGTTTCTGATAAAAAAGCAGTGTCGGCAATTAGAATATTGTTGGCGGGAAGGAAGATGAGCTGTTGTGTCTTGGAGGCGAATTTGCCGATATAAGAGTCTTATGACTAAAAGAGGCCTGCTCTAGATCTGGGGTTTTTTTCTGGGGGATCTGGGGAAGGATCCCCGTTCCTAGGGATAGCTCGGACGATTGTGTCGCCAAATCACCAGCTGAGGATGCTTATTGAGTCGGGGAGTTGGGGAAGCTCGACGCCATTCCGCAACCTCCGCAGGGCTTTTTGGAGAAGGAAATGCGAATGCGGAGAAAAGGTTGGCTCCATGGAGCGCCCGTTTTCAGCTTGGCCACAGGAAGAAGCCGGCACATGTACGTAATCAATCGCTTGCTGTCAATTGCTGTCATGGACAAGACGACAATACTACGGGATGCTGGCGAGAGAAGGAGAGAACGCGAGAGAGAAGAATCGAGCATACTTCGGGGGGCTTGCTAGCTATTTGCACAGTGATATCGAGTCAAATCATACGTGGAATATTATTTTGCGATCCATTTTCCCAAAAGGGTTCGCGCAGGATGACAAAACAATCACTCAGAAACCCATGATTCCACCAGCATTGAACCAACCCATGCAGCCAAGTCTATGTTACAATGCGTCATTGGATCATTCAACCCTTGCAACCGATTGATTTCAACTCGTACTTGTACTATCAACTGCCGCGCAAGTGACAAACATCAAGCAACCGCGCTCTGAAGACCACGGCCCATGTTCCATACCTGGGTTGCGGTATGCATACATGCCCTTGTCAAAGGTCTGACGCAATGTCTTATCCGTAAGATCGCCCTCCACGATATAAATCTCCTCAATGAACGTATGCACAAAGGGGCTTGAAGCCGGGTTTGTTGCGCCGGGTTGCCATCGCTGGAGTAGTGTTTTGCGACCAGTTGCTTTGTCCTCGTTTAGAACCAGCTCCTCGATTCCTGGCGAGCACTGCCGCCAGGTGGAGCGCGTTGTGGGATCATGGAATTCGAACTGCTCCATTGTCGGGATTGGTGATGATTGTCGCGTTTGCTTTGTGCCAATTGGCTTGATTGCGCAGATACAACCGTTGAGACGTTTCGTGATTTGCGTGATCGCGTGAACAGCTCTCCAACCCGACTCTTTCTCTTCTTACGGTAGCATCGACAGCCACCTTTTATCACCAGCTGATATGAGGAGAAGCTGAGTGGAACCGCCGCTGTCGGTGAATGGGCGATTAAGCCGATGCCCACACTGGGCGCGCTATTGAAGCCTCACTATGGAGCAAGACAGAGTACTAGAATGCGCTATGGAGCAATAGATTGGAACTGTGGAAAAAGCCGAAAAGCCGAAAGACATCAAAGCTGGTATTACTTCGCCTCTATCATGTCAAGCTTGTTCTTATCATTGCGTGGATAGATATTTTGAGAGTACTGACTATCATTGACAAATTCCAAGTGGCGATAGGCAAACAGTTATTCGTCAGCTATTCAACAGAGCGTTCAACGACGGTCTAATTCTTCATTAGCTGTACAGAGCCATTCCCCAAATCAACTTTCATCTTCCGTCAAAATGGCATCCACCGCTCGCAGCATTCTGAAGAAACCCGTCAAGATTGCTATTGTACAGCTGTTATCGGGCCTTGACAAGGCTGCAAATCTGAAGCATGCTGCTTCTCAAGTAGCAAAGGCTGCCTCGGGAGGATCCAAGATTGTCGTTCTCCCAGAATGCTTCAACTCACCCTATGGAACCGATTTCTTTCCCAAATATGCAGAGACCTTGCTGCCTTTGCCTCCAGTAAAGGAGCAAGCCCCTTCTTACTATGCTCTATCGGCAATGGCAGCAGAGAATAAGGTGTACCTAATTGGAGGCTCGATTCCTGAGCTCAACCCTTCTACAAAGAAGCATTACAATACCTGTCTCATATTCGGACCCGATGGTGCCTTGTTGTCGATTCATCGCAAGATGCACCTCTTTGACGTCAATATTCCCGGCAAGATTACCTTTCGGGAATCTGACGTTCTCAGCCCAGGCAACAAGGTCACTCTCGTCGATTTCCCCGAATATGGAAAAGTCGCTATTGGTATTTGCTACGATATTCGGTTCCCTGAACTTGCAACTATTGCTGCTCGCAAAGGAGCATTCGCCCTTATCTACCCTGGCGCGTTCAATCTCATCACAGGCGCTCTTCACTGGAAGCTACTGGCCCAGGCACGAGCCGTCGACAACCAGATTTACGTGGGAATGTGCAGCCCTGCACGTAACCTGGATGGTCCCTATCATGCCTGGGGCCACAGTATGATTCTCGACCCAATGGCTGGTGTCTTGGCGGAGACTGATGAAGGGGAGGCTATCATTGTGGCCGAACTGAACGAGGAGAGAATTACGGAGACACGCAGAAACATACCTTTAGAGACGCAGAGGCGATTTGACGTATATCCTGACGTTAGTGAGGGCAAGGTGGCATATGAGGATCCGGATCTATTGGGCCAGATCCGTAACTAATAAGAAGAGTCGATAAGTCGAAATTTTACAAGCCGTCTATATTCTTATTTTCCCCTGATTTAGACATGCTGCTCCGAGGATGTGATTCATTCTGATGCATGCCACTGACAACGGATGTCGCAAACTAGGCCATTTATATAGATGTATAAGTTCAATTGAAAGAAATATCCTGTCTAACTCTATACCGCGTGTACGTTCTAAATGGAGAAAAGCAATCAATCGGTCTTATAGCATCTAGTTTCCATCTTCAAGGCGTCCATGTGCCTTCAAATAAGCCGCCTCGACTTCTTCCTTATCGTCATCTCCAGGCAATTTAACCACACCACTTCGCGTAAGCCCACGGTACTTTTCTTCCTGAACCTTGCCCAAAGTGCTCTTAGCCAGCTTTCCTCCTCCCAGGCCATACAGCTCCTGGAAGGACATGATCATGGGCCGCCACTTGTCGGGATCGATACGGTTGGGATATCCCGGCATCCGAATCGAATCCACAACATGAGTTCGAAGAATCTTGAGCTCAATGCAGACGATGACGCCCTTGAGATCCGGATAGTCCTTCATGACTTGATGGGCCTCGGCTAATTCGCACTCCATCTGAACAGGACATTCCAAAATTCGACGCGGGCGAACAAGATCAGATGTCTGGGGCGTGAGGTCCGCGCAGGTCCATTTGTCCTTGACATAGCGGTATCCTCTGTCCTTCTTTGAGTCAGAGACATTCTCGGTGCCAGTTGTATCGGCCAGCAGGTTGACATGGCGAGCCATGCTGTCGTCGGGAAGATTGACGACACATTGGCCAGTTCGAAGAATGTTGATTGGTGTCTTGCTTTCGGCTGCAAAGCCAAGGATGCATCGATGTCCCAGCCAAAACGCAGAGGAGATGGCACAGATGTTTTCAGACCCATCTTCGTTCTTGGACGAGACAAGGACAACGGGAGTGCCCCAATAGAGGATAGCCGGGGAGATGATGGAGTGTGACATGGTCAAAATAGTTTAGAGTGTGGCAAATTATTAGATGTTTGAGTTGTTTGATCGAGTCAGGGAATAGAGAATTAAAGTAGGAGGGATCAGGGCGTTTTAAGCTGTGGTGTTTGTCCTTTCTATGACTGCGCTTGTTGTAGTGCTTGTTGTGGTGAATAAAAATTGTCGAAACTGAGAAGAAAAGCACTGTCTTATAATCATTTCAAAATGCCAACTTTACTATCTGTCTCGGTTTTCTTCGTAAATAATACCCTTGAATTGCTTTCAATGCTTATCAACTGTCTTATTGCCTGATTTAGCACTCAAGCTTGAATGGCCATATCAAAAGCAATCCAGCTCCGTAGTGGGGCCATGACCGGCAACGGCTGATCTAAATCTGAGCTCCGGCAGATTCCTTCCGGCAGCTCATTTCAATAGTCTAGCGTAAAGCTGACTTTTGCTGGGTGTCGCGGAGATGTTCTTTTTCTCCCGTAAGTTACTTCGCGAGCAACAGCGGAAATGCCGCGGAAATGCTTCATCTATCATTGCGGCTTTGTGTGAGCAATTGGGTGTTCACCTGAACTCGGTGAGCCTTGACGACCGGGATAAATAGCACCCTATTGGTGGATAATTGTGACTAGGTTTGAACAATTGAAGCAAGTTGTATTGTTTATGTTGCTTGAGAGTTGAGCTTTTGCCTTTAGAATTTTACGAACGCTAGGATTGCGATGACGACTGTCAGGACAACTCACTGTGTTAGTACTTAGTAAGGCTGCTTCCAAGATGATTGCATGAGTAGAGAGCAATTACGCAGCCGAAAAAAATTAAGATGATAATAGCAATAGAGAAACTAGTTGAATTCATTTCCTCCAAGGGTCATAAGGGTCATTATTTGAACATATTTCACTGAAACTTATGGAAACTTGGATAATGTAGGGTAGGATATTTGCCGTGTCGCAAGGCTGGAGACTCTCAAAAGTGTGGCTAATACTGTCGGTGGCTGGTGCTTCAGCCACAGCGGCCTGCACAAGGCTGCAGATTGGCTTAGGCAAAGTTCCAAAGTGAGCTTCTGCCAGCTGAGCGATCGTCAACTTTCACAGCACCTTGACCCTCGTGTTCCCACCGTCAAAATGGTAAGAATCTGTCCTTTATTATGGCGAAAATCTGCTCATTTATATTCTACAGGCTCGAAATTCGGAAAAGGCCCAGTCTATGCTCTTCCGCTTCCGCGAAGCGCAAGCAGCAGACCTGGGCATCATCGACGCCGGACGAACTCGCCGCCCCAAGGTCATCACCGAAGTCGACTCAATCCCGTCGTGCGAAAGATGGCGTGGCCAAGTGCTCAAGGAGATTTCGCGCAAGGTCTCGAGGATCCAGGACCCCGTGCTCAGCGACTACCAGATCCGCGATATCAACGATGAAATCAACAAGCTGATGCGGGAGAAGCACATGTGGGAGGTACAGATACGGAATTTAGGCGGGCCGAATTACATGAGAGGAGGCGGGAAGATGTACGACGAGCAAGGCAGAGAAATACCGGGCGGAGGGAAGGGCTACAAGTATTACGGACGAGCCCGAGAGCTGCCCGGCGTCAAGGAGCTCTTTGAGGCGGCCCAAGCGAAGAAGCAAGAGGACAAACCACTCGAAACCAGCAAAGACTTGAGGAAAATTGTAGACGCAGCGTACTACGGCTACGCTCCCGGCGAAGAGGACGACGCCCTGCTACAATACGAGGCAGAGAAGGAAAGGGAGGCGGCGGAGAATCTCGTCAAGACAGGGCCTCAGGGAGTCCCCGACGGCTGGGAACCATTACCTGGGGATAGTGGGGATGGTCATGGGTGGGCATTGCCAACGATAGAGGAGGTTCAGATGGAGCTTCTCGAGAGAAGAAGACGGAAGCTCCTCGACCAGCTTTAAGTCGACATTTCCTTGCACGGCTTGGGAATACGATGGAGGTTATTGCATACGAATCGATGACGGAAACGCAATGCCTGGTATAGGAGTACCGCCCGACAGAAATACGGGGATGCCAGCATTCAAGACATTACCGTCTAGGCGAATCCTTTTCTGCGTCATGGTTTTATGGGAACTTGGACGAGATGTAAGCCCTACTGATTCGCTACGTGCGGGCTACTGCTAGGAAGCAAGTATCGTATCGCACCGGCATTTCAATACCCGCGAGTGCTTGGTTGTCTGATCATCTTTGGCAAGGATCTCAAGGACGAAAGGGAAAGGGAAGGGTCAGTCGGCGCTGTGAGCTTGGGAATGGGCGGCTGTTGCGATGCAGTGGAGATAGGAGATGGACTGTCTTTGACGATGTGGGTTTAAGATGCTGGCTATGATAGATGGGCAAAGTTCGATGGGATCTTGATGGCGTTTTAGGGGAACTGTCTTGGCTGCATTTTGGAATTTTGATGCGATTTTCCTTTTCACTAGCGCAAGGGGAATCATACCGCTGTGTTCTCGCCACTGGAATATTGATTAATTGCACGTGCCTTCATGTTGTCTATCTATCTGACCAATATTGGCGGGCTGGTTTGGACAACTGCTTGATAAGGTGGACTGCTCAGCTCCGACCATAAGCTGCCAAGTCTCGAGTACAAAGTGCCACTGTAAGCAGCGAGTTGCTGCCGATGCTAAAAACGGCTCTCGCCTAGCCGAAGCTGACGCGTGGACGGAGTACAGAATACATTGAGAGGATGGCCGATGCTTGTGCTCTGTGCTGTACGTGTACGAGTACTCGTACGGCATATTCGTGCCTAGCACAGGCTGACCCCCGGTGAGATGAATGTCTACCGGAACGGTGGTGGACATTAAGATGACCTAATATGGCCTCGCGGTTGAGTTGAACCGAGTCTCACCTGGCCTTGAGTCGCCGCCAAGCGAGCAGCGGTGCAGAGTACAGACCAGACGCAAAATCACATGTTGATCCATTCAATTCAATAATTGGATCGCGTTTGTTCAATGTAACTGTACCACCTGGCTAGGTACGAGTACTCGTACATGTATCGAATACTACAGAATTGGTACTTGCGTAGTCCTAAACCGGAGCATTGCCTGGCTGAGAAAACGATGGAGCCCTTGTCGGATTTGGCCGGCCAAGCTCACTGCTTATCGCTATCGGTACATGTACCTATTCTTGTACAGAGCACTGATACAAGTTTTCCATCTCTTAGCTTCCTCTTTCTCCCATCATGTTTTTAGCCATCATGCCCTTTCCGCCAAGTTTTGCATGTCAACCTCAATTCTTTCCACCCCCATGCAGGCCATGTGCAAAAACGGTCGAGCCGCCAAAGACGTGCATTAGCTTCAGGGGCAACGCGGGCACTGGCCAACCACGGGAGGGGGCAACTGCAAGGGACCCATGGCGCTAGAAGACGGCGGACAACGTTCTTTTTAGTGGGCGCTAGCGGTGAGGTGAGGGAGCTCGTTCTTTGGCTGGGTGTTTGGAGGAGGGTCTCCAGGGCTCAGGTTTGTTTTCTTGGTGCTCGTACCTGACATGCGCATGTACAGTAAGCAGCAGCAGTGAGGGAACAATGCCATCCAATCCATTGATGTTCATGTTGCTTTAATTGCCCGCTCGGGCGATTTATGCGAACCGGCAACATTTGATCCATTCGGGCTTCTATTCGCTGTTCTATCATCAGCAGCTACAAGGCATCTACTAACGTACATGTACCTCATCCAGGACGGACAAACTCCCCAACCCACCCCCTGTTCGGCTCTGCACAGACATTGACCACTGTTTGTTTGTTTATGTCTTTGCTCTTCTTTTCTTTCATCCTTTCCTTTCATCCTCGCCTCTGTTTGCTGCACTACAAAACAAAATGGCTCGAGGGATGCGCTTTTCAACGTTCCCTGCGTGTCGCCATCGTTGCAAATGGCATAGCGCTGTCTAGCGCGCGGAGCTGCCCCAGAACCCCCTGGCCTGCCAATAGCGCCAGCATGTCGCCGCTTCATTTTGCTGGTGAACACCAACAAATTGCGAGGCGCGATGCCACGATCCACCAACGTCTGGTCCAGAGCCGGGGGCCCTCCAGTACCTGTACCTGGACGAATCACTTGTGTGGGTGCGTAGGTACAGGTACTCGTACAGGCATTTGCTCAACCCTGGCCGGGCTAGGCGGCACGTCAATTCGTATCCTCGCTTCCCCGTGCTCGACTCGTGGAGAGCATCCAAGCCCATCTCGACCAGTCATTTCTTTGCAGCCAAGGTACTGGTACGTGCGCCCGCTGGCACCTGGACCTGTACTCGTACTGCAGGCACTGCGCTGGCCAGAGGTCTGGTCGCATTGAAGTGGACGGATGCTGCTCTCTATCCATTCAATCGGCGCTCGTCCCTGGGTCTGTACCTGTACCTGTACCTCCACCCTTACCTGCTGGTACCTTGCAGCCTTGGTGCTTGTGCTACCGCACGCTTAGGGTCTGGTAGCGTTAGCAGACAGTTCGCCTGGGCTGGACTCAACCGCCTCCTCCCCTCTTCTGTTTGACATCAATCAAATCTCTGATCGACCGGCGACGGCCTCTGAGACTTCGTTTTTCCGTCTCTATTTTTGTATGCTGAATCTGCGGCTGGTCGCGCGCTTGCACATCCCTCGTTTTTCACTGTTGCCGTCGCCTGTGTCACACTCGACACGTCCGTTCCTTTTCGCATTTCCTCACCCAAACACAAGATCCACGACGACGAAAATTTAACACAATAGAGCGTGTCTACGAACATACCGCATACGAACCACGAAACCCTTGTACTATACCGTCCTGTTCTACTCTACGCTACTCCATTCATTGCCGTTCTATTCTATCCCTTCCTGTTGAACCCCGGACCACACACTACATACTGCTGGGGTTGAGGGGAGCCTTTCCATCTGTTCATGGCACCTTTGGGTAGCCAGGGCGGAGACGGAGACCACAGAGACTGCAAAACAAGCAGGTGATTATTCATCGGGAGGCACCGACAGTGTTGATCAAGTCGGGTAGCCAGTCGTTGCAAGATGGTGTCCTTTTTTGGCCTCAGGTTCGGCAGCGACAAAAAGAAGTCCCAGTAAGATGATGATTGCCTTTGCTTCCTCCCATTTCTAAAGCCATCCGGCTTCCCTTGCAACTGACTAATATTATTCGGCACAGGAGCAAGCAGTCCGACAAGAAGCAAGTGGCCCAGCAGCCACAGCAAACCCCACGATGGAACGGCAACGGCGATGACAGCTTCAAGTTCCCGAAGCCGCAACCGCCATCCTCGCGACCAGGCACCTCCACCTCGAATGCCCGAAACCTGGGCTGGCGTGCGACTTTCAAGGGCGTGCCAGCGGCGTCATCCATGGTTGATCTATCAGTACCTCGGAAACCCAGCGAGAGCAGCCTGCGCCATGGCATTGACGGTGCTGGCTTCAAACCCTGGATGAAGCCTAACGCGAGCATGACGAATCTTGCTGTACCGGATCCTTTTGGAGTAAATGGCAGCGGCCGGCCGGGGATGCCATCACGGCCCGCTGGCTCTAGGCAGTCGGAGTGGGTGAATCCTCTGGACGTTCATTTTAACAAGAAATCTGGAAGTACTTCGAAATCTTCCAACCGTGCCAGCAGCGGTGGTATCCAAGCTGTGGCGAGCAAGAGCCCGTTGAGTAAGCCTGACTCGAAGGCTGAGCCAGAACCGGAGCCGGAGCCAGCCAAAAGAGCCTCGGGTGGCTTGGATGGACTTGATGATTTCGGTGAACCTGGGCCCGACGTTGGAATCCGTGGTTCTGGATATGCTGGATATCCATCTCCTCCTCAATCAGTCGAAACCGAGGACCAGTGGCCCCCGATGGCTTTTGCAGGCGGAGACACTGGGGCAGAGACCGACATAGAGGCAGAGGTGGAGGCGGAAGCGGAGGGAGAGGTAGAAGTCAGCACAAACGAGTTGCAACAAAACCAATTCGTCGCTCCAGGATTCGCCAACGGCCCTGGTCCCACGATGCTGCCTAGTCCGTCATCGTCAACATCACGCAAGAGCGAAGATAAACGAGCGTCGCCTGTCGTTAGAAATGTTCAAGCGAAGCGAGACACGCTGACGTTCCTGTCACCACGGAGGAGGAGCTTCACAATGGCCATTGAGGCAGACGACCTCGAGAAACACCGGCAGCAACAGCATCCCGTAGAGGGTCTTACCGGCAACTTTTCTAATTTCGATTTCGGCGACGGGGTGACGAAGCAGCCCACCGTGGCTGTTGGGACGCTCGGCTTGGAATTGGTGGAGAGCCCGATTCAAATGAAGGGACCACATCCATTTCGAGAAGTTGCGAGAGCTGACGAGGGAGATGTTGAGGGAGCCATGAATACTCAGGATGCTGTAAGTGCGGAAGATGCGGAAGATGCGGAAGATGTTGCTAGTGATGGCTTGACTGAGCCAAGTGAAACTGCCTCTTTGGTATCGCCCATGGCGTCTCCCATCGGCTCTCCTATGGCATCGCCCATGGCATCACCCGTCGCATCACCGAGATCATCACCCAAGCAACATCAGGTATATCACCAGGCCCAGGAATCAGTCGAACAAAACAGCCCCCAGCGGCTCAAGGTGGCGATTCCCGACGAGGACTCGCAGTCCCTATCGACAAATCAGCCACTCCCATCTCCTTCTGCTGTCTCCGCTGGCATCGAAAGCCCTCGGCAAATCATCCGGCGACCATCCCAGGCGAATATCGAGGCTCCAGTCGCACTGGCCTCAGTGTTGAACCCATTCCCGCCATCTACGCCACAAGGCTTCAACACACGAATGACGTCTGATTCTCGTTCTCGTTCTCGAGGCCCTCCACAGCCGCTACAGCATGCTACACTCTCCAGCCTCGTGGCTCGCATGGAGACGCCTACACAAAGCCCCCGAAGCCCATACGGGCCTGCTGCAGCAGATGAGGACACTTATGTGCGTACGTACGAGGTACCTCGGCCGCCCATGGACCGTGTGCCACTGAGCCCCTTTGCTGCCAGAACGCCCATGGAAGGAGAGTTTCCTGTCATGAAGGGTCTTCCCCGAGGACGACAGCCTCCCCGCCCACACATCCTCCCTAGCGAGTCTCCGGAGAGACAGTCCGAGGAGCGGAGCCCTCGACCATTTTCCAAGTGGGGAGGCTTTGGCCGTGACCGCTCAGAGTCAAGAAGCGCTACGGTGCCAATGCCACGAACCCCCAAGGGCCAACGACCGAGTTCGCCAACATGGTCTCTTTCCACGCCAACGTCGGATGTAGCGCCACGAATCCCCAGCCCGACGTTCCCATCGCTTGAAAAAGCTATTTCGGCATCGAGTGAAGACTTTGCCAAGTCGTTTGAGATATCTTATGATGCTCCTCCGCGTTCGCCTCTCGCGAACGAATTCACCATCAACGATGTGCCCAGCCCCAGCATGAAGCCGAGCCCCGTCATACGCGTTGAAGCAAAGAAGGCGCCTCCACGACCAACGCCTTCACCCATCAACTTGCCGCCGTCACTTATCAGGGATAAGGGCCCGTTGACGCCGAATAACCTGTATTCTCCATCAGGATCGACATTTATCTGAAAAAGTTTTCCTTTTCCATTGCTTTTTGTCCCATTTCTTTTCTTACTCTCGCTCTCTCTCTCTTTGTCTGTTTTGTGGGTGATCATTGGGTGTACTTAACGACCGTGTTGACATGGGATGATGGAGTAGGATTTTGTTTGTGATGCTTTTTTGCAAGCGTTGACCTTTATATTTCATTCACGTCACTCGTTTTTTTTTTCTGTCTGTACAGAAGTTTTATAGATAATTGCCAGCTGGACTAGTATTTGAAGTCGATTGCCGCAGAGATTGTCAGTCTACTTTTAGGAAGGGGTGATTTATTCTTTCTCCCCTTTTTTCTTCTTCTGAGAAAGACTTGTATTAGTATGCCTGGAGGATTTTGGCGCACGACATGTATATGCATGGGATTTTTTGAAAAAAAAGGAATTATCTTTTTCTTCTTAACATTGTATCCAACAAAGTCGTCATGTGTGCTAAATACGCAAGATCATCCCGAACATACTAACTGTTGTTTCAGGAGGCAAAAAACATAAAAAAAAAAAAAAAAAAGGAATATACATTGGTTAACAAAAAAATGGCTGTTTCATGTTTCATGGTTCTATCATACACCCTGCTCCTTTTACGCCTTTTTTTAGTCGAGAAACAACCGTAAGTTCCCTCCTACGTTCTTCAAGTCTAGCAAGAACGTGTCGTGTCCGAATAAGCTCGTCTCCTCGCTCAGTTCTACGTGAGTGACGTTTCGGTTTCCACCTAGGCGGAGAGATTCGGCAATCTCACGCTGCTGCCACGCCGGGAAGAGGATGTCGCTGGCAACGCCCATGACGAGCGTGGGGATGTCGCGGAGGGGAGACAGGCCGCGGATCAAGTCGGCGGGAGGGCGAGAGGACGCGGGGTTTGCCGGTGAAGAGAGTGCCTCGGAGGCATCGCCGACTGAAGACGACGTTGAATCAGGCTGCTCTTGGTACGGCTCGTTGGGGAGCGTCAGGCTGCAGTGCGGGTCGGCGGCGGCAGATTCAGAGGGGGAATAAGAGGCCGTGGCGAGGGCATCTTCGCGAGCTCTGCGGCGTGCCTGGGTGGCCACCTGGTTCTCGTAGCCGAGGTCGAAGAGGTCCATGGCCTTGCTGACGTAGAGCAGGCTGTTGGGGTCGTACGTCAGGCACCACTTCTCGCCGGCGTGGTCGAGGTACGTCTCGATGAGGAAGTCTGGGCACAGGGCGGGTGGTTTGCTGGGGTCAGCCCTGCGACGGCCGAAGCGCTGCTCCCACTCCGGGCCGGAGCGGTACGTGACGGTGGCGATCTCGCGGGCGAGCTTCATTCCCGCGTGGGGGGGCACGCGGCCGTAGTAGAAGCCGCGGTTCCAGTTGGGGTCCATCATGAGCACCTGGCGCTGCGTGTGGCGCATGGCGATGCTGTACGGATGGCTTCTGGCACAGCCGCTGATGGTAGCGACACGGGATACGCGGTCGGGGAACAGCGTTGCTGCGGCGAGGGACTGCATGCCGCCCATGCTGGAGCCGACGCTGGCGTAGAGACGGTCGATGCCGAGGTGGTCTAGCAGGCGGAACTGGGCGCGCACCATGTCTTGCATGGTTAAGATGGGGAACCGGGTCGCGTAGTTCTCGCCGTTGCCTGGATCGACACTGCCCGGGCCGGTTGAGCCATAGCAGCCGCCGATGACATTGGTGCAGATGATGTGGAAGCGGTCTGTGTCCAGGGGTGCTCCGGGGCCGATGAATTTCTCCCACCAGCCAGGAGCGGGATTGGCATCCGTCGAATGGGCGTGAGAAGAAGCTGAAAGGCCGGTATGCAGGAGGATGGCGTTGGACTTGTCAGCGTTGAGACGGCCCCACGACTCATAGGCGATGTTGAAGGAGGGCAGGACGCCGCCCCAGTCAAGTAGCAAGGGATCACGGCAGTGGTAGTTGAGGGTGTCGCCGGAAGTGTACGAGGGCTCGGGGCCGGCAGATGAAGAAGATGAAGATGAAGATGAAAGGCCGGCCCGGGAAGCGGAGCTGGAATCGGCGCTGAGCCGTGCGGAACGGGACTCGATTGCGTCGAGGCAGGGGAAGTTGAGGGCAGGATTTGACGGTGCAGGGGCAGCTGGACGAGATGTTTGTGCTTCTGTTGCGGAGGATGAAGTTGCTGCTGCTGAAGCTGGTGATGATGAGGCCGACGAGGATGAGAATGAAGAGGAGAGCAGAATCGTTGAAGCCGGTCTCGGTGGTGACAGAAGCGGCCGCTGTAGTCGTCGACCAGCCAATCGGAGAGCCTGATGCGCCCTCATCTTGGACCTTCTTCTACTTACTCACAGAACGATTCTCACTCCAAACAAACGAACAAACAAAGCCGAAATGTTTCAAGAATGACACAAAGCAAGTGAAGCGATCCACCCTCTCAGTGAAAAAGAAATCCGGGGTATTTCATCATTTTAAAGGAACGATGGCGCGCTTTGTAATGGGACGTTCGAAATTGCTGCAATCCGGGTCATCGGCGTGGGGCGGCGGATTCTCGGCCTCGCACACCATTTCACGTGCCTCTGGCGCTATTTTCACCAGGACCTTGAAGCGGTTATTATTGCGAATGGTGATTACAGTAGAAGGCGAAATAAGTTGTCGCTGGATTTTTAGATAACTTTATTAGTAAAGTACTAGGTAGGTTAGCTTATGGCTTTTTCTGTAGCTTTACGAAATATCCCTTGTAGATGAAGGTACTCCCTACATATATGTATGAAATCTGGTATCTCCTAATAGGAGCTAGAAATGGCTGCGAATCTGCTGGAAATTTAGGGTATGCTCCACTAAAGAAATAACGACCCTCGGACAGTGCTGGTCTGGTGTTTTGTAATTCCACCTTTCTAGACTGTACCATTAGGATCCTTGCTCATCCTCCGCTCCTCGTCTTGTCAAATCAGGAGATATTGTATGTACATGTTCGTAATGAGTGATTTCAACAGCTATGGGAGCGCTCGCTACAATTAGAATCCATGCTGCCTGATCGAACGCAGTGCAAGCAAAGTCCGATGCTCTTATTAAAGTCGTCCAGACTCGAAGTACGGTTTCTCCTATATGCTGGTGCGGTATGCTTGTACCCATAGGTACATGCGGCACTTGATTCCTCAGGTATCGGATCACGCATTCTCTCTGCTGACTGTAGGGCCTCGGAGATGGAGATACGGGGTAATTTTGCTGGCCAAAGACGCTCGCTTTCCAACAGCTTTATATATGCATATGCATATTTGCTTGTCCATCCACACTTGTGACAACAATGCCCAGTCCAGTCGTTTACTCCTGCCATGAGAACATCTGCCACCCTCAGCCTTGCAGACCCTCTCTGTTCTTCCAGCAGACCTGTTCATTTGCCCGTCAGTCATATTTCCAAACCGATCATCTGGGTACTCACAGAAGACCTTCCACGGCATAGCAGATTCAACTTCTCTGCACGAGAGAGTAAGATAAGGATCTTTATAGTCAAGTATCAATGCTTTCGTGATCTCCTCGAACGCTCGTGCGTTCTGGAATAGATATGCCGCGGCAGTGAGAAGCATTAGATTGCCAGCTTCGTCTCTAAAGGGTCGAAGCCAACCATCGCTCGCAAATATCAGGGCCTCAACACAATCATACTTGTCTGCGGCGACGGCAACTGCGAGGACATCGCCTGCAGCGAGAGTTCGAGGTACTTCACTGGCCTTATGGTGAATAACAGAACACATAATCTTCAACGCAGCAGCATTATCTTCAGGCAGTGGTATCTCGGTAAGTCTATCCCCATCGAGCAAATCATGGCCTTCTTTCCAGTCTGGCCTGAACATGGCGGAGAAAGGCTTTGAGGCTGCTCTCAACAACGTAGAATCGACATGGAGTTTGGCCTCTTCTGGCCCAACTATTAGAATAAGGTCACCATCTGGAGCAATTTCGACGATTGTGTTTGTCTGGGTGTCATTTGGGTTTTCCATTCTGATTTTGATTGTCTGCCACTTGTTTTGTAGAGACGGCGTTGAAATAGCATAGATAGTTGATCTTCGGCGCCAGTCTTAAAGGCCGCCGTGAAACCCCGCATTTTACTACATATATATTCCTTAGCCTTCTCCGGCCTGGCGTTATGTGAGAACTACTGTAATACTATACTTACACAACTAATTTTCCGAAGCATTAGCGATAAAATTCGAATATGCTGATGACTTAATTGGTTCATTCGTTCGACCATCTCATCTCATCTCATTCATACCGTCTTTCTTCTTACACCATGACAACTTCGCCCATCTCCCATCTCGCCCGGTTCGTCATCCGCTGTCCCTCTCGGAATATCCCGATCCTCACATACTCCTCCACTCCCACGCCCTTCTTCTTCTTCAGCATCAATGCATCTTGAGTCATAATCAACGCCAGCATTAATTGCTCATCCTCCACAACCTCGCCATCAACATCACCTTCCACCACATCAAACATCAATGATCCATCAATCTCATCCTTCACCTGCTCATCCCACAGAAACCACCCGTAATATCCCTTGCGGATCCTCGCCTGGAATATCAACGTCTTAATCTCCAGTCTCGCACTCGTCACCGCACTAAACTCATCACTGGGAATCTGCGTCTTCACCTCACACCGCACAAGCTCCAGCAAATGCATCGTCGATCCAAACGTAAAGTCAATCTCCCCGCTGAATGACGCCCACGACCACGACGGCGCAACGTATGTAGCATGTCTGCTCGCCTTTTCCTTTGCGTCTGGCCCGTGATTCGGATGCCACAGAAGCGTCTCCCCCAGAAACTCCGTCCACAGCCCTGCAATGTAGTGCTTGTCCGTCATTTTGCTCATCTTTCGGGCAATGGCGGAGATGGCCAGTAATTTGTCCTGATACCAGCCCAGACCGCGACGGGTGTAATGAGACACGAGCGTCTGCCATACCTCGACAAACTTGTAAGATTCACCCAAGCCCGTCCAGTCGATACTCGACGTGAGTGGGTGAGACATGTTTAGCTGCGCAAATGTCCTTGAGTGTCCGACCCAGCCATCGGACTGTAGTTTCGACTCATCTGCGCGACTCCGAGCGCAGTGCCAGCGAATGTTATGCGTTCCGTACTCAAGAACCCGCGGCGATAAGATGGACTCTTGAAGACACCAGGAGCGTTGGTCGATGGGCTCCCATGCATCCGGTTCCCTCCCCTGCCAGAGTATCACAGCACTCTTCTGGCCATCTTGACAGGTAAATGGCATGCGAAACCCCTTCTCTCCAGCTACATATCGATCGTGGAGGAAGCCTTCTGGTACAGCAGTTGCTCTGGCTGCAGATATAGTTATATATGCCTGCTCATAGATCTCAGCCATGCGTGATATTTGCTCTGCCTTGTCCTGATTCGAATCCTGAATGATGCACAAAGCGTCAATCCAGAGATATTGTAGGTCTAGAGCCATTGTTACTTGAATGGCATCTTTAATTGTTTGTGGGAATTGGTCGTACGGTATGTCCATCATCCATGACTTGACGAGATTCTCCTTGAGTTTTACTGGTTGATCCCCTCCCCAGCAGTAGCTCAATGCGGCGTATTCGACAAACTTGCTAGCGGATGAGTTTTCTTGAAGCCTCACTTGGGGATGCGCAGCTTTTCCGGAGAGGTGTAAGAGGCGCCGAGGACCTGGTGATGATGCGCCAGAAGGCCGGTTACTCTTCTGAAGCTGCTGGCATTCGGTATGGGTTGTGAAGCATTCCCGGAGCCAGCCCTTGATTGTTTCTACAGTCTCTTTGGACGACGGGAATAGATTGGGAGGCCTATATGTAACCTCTTCTGCAGCCAATTCGCTTATCGTCGTCAGCCGTTGCAATAGAACCCATCTCAACATAAATTGAAGTCTCACTTTTCAGCACAAACAATCAGTTTCCGCTCCAGCGTCCCCCCATCAATGTGATCATCCAACTCATCCACCCCGTCCAGCACCATCTGCTCCCTCGAATTATGCGCGAAATAAGCCCTCAGATAGCTCTCGGAGTGTGTGTCGTCCCGTCGCAACGTAACCAGCCATTTGAACAGTTCGCAACCTTGGTCCGCCAGTGAAACGGCCTCGTCATATGCGATATTAAAGACATACGCTTCTCCCGTAGCGAAATAGTTTTCGTCTATGAGCTCGTACCAGCCTTGGTCGGAATAGTAGTTGCCAAAGGTGAGGATTAGTCTCGATTCGCACAGTTTGCATGAATGAGGCTCCGCGGGAGAATTCATCGTGTCTCAATTGTCCGAAGAGTACATAGTAAGCAGAGAGAGAGAGTCCATGGTTAACAACCCCGCAGAACAGCGAATTAGGCGGCGACATCTGAAACGAGATGCTTCGCCACGGTGCGGCCCTCTTTTATAGGCTGCTTACTGCAGATGTAGCGCAATCATCAAATATGTGACAATGTATCATTGAGTGGCATGATTGTGACTCTTCAGCAACACATTGCCAAACTTTGAGCTAGTAAAAAGTTACTAGATACTCGAGGACTATAGCTATATGGTAGCAGAAAGTAGTACTAGTAGATACGTGAGGAATCGTGTATTTCCTACTCTTTTATATACTTGTAGTAAAACAAAGGGTTTCCTTTGCATCCTATTCCTTCTCAAATTCTACGCGGTTGTTGAGGTGTTGGATAACTGACTTGGAGTGCCGAGGAGCTTTTCCCTTCATAATCGCGGAAAGGAGCATTGTCGATAGTTAGACTCCATTGCTCCTATAAAGAGTTTCATCTCTTTTTGCTACTAGCAATTGAGTCAAAATCCTAGCATCCTTTGAATAGTCAGTGGAACTGCAATATGAGCGCCAAAAATGCTCACGACGAGTTTGTAGTTAGAGTGACTGACCCGTACCGCGTATCCAGTATCACATGCATCATCGTCTCGATTCTTGAGATAGCAGCAGCAATCCAAAAGAGTCGAGGATATATGCGCACCATGTCGAGTGGTGCACATAATAATCGTATACTGCTTGAGATGAGATCTTCTCTCAACCAGTTTCCTTGGAAATATCCCTGGTATTCTCCATCTCAATACCCGGCGTGGTATCCTGCGTAGTCGCTGCTTCACTCGCAATCTCGCTCCCAGACAGTCGTTCAAATATGTCCGGATCATCCATCGCGCCCCTCATCGACGCAAATATATATGCGCTCGAAACATTCGCAACCGATGGGCGCCGATATCGCCGCTTCGTCGCCTCGGCAATCTCAAGAATAGTTTGCGCGTCCGTTACACTAGGTCTATGTGACTTCGGGTGAACTCTTCCATGCAGGATAAGATTCAACAATGGTTTCAAGGATGGAAGACAAGCTGCCTCCGTATTAGCCAAAAATTGCAACGAGAAAGCAAAACGGTAAGACATACCACAAACGGTACCAATATTCACTTCAACCCCAGTCCATTTCATCTCCGTGCATTCATCCCACGTAACATCTTCAGACGACAAATCTAGCTCGAGCACAAACACAAATCGCACAATCGAAACGACGAGTACACTGCAATACATTATCAGACTTGGCTTCGCTAGGGCATGCAAAGAAGGCAGCGAAACTCACAAGATACCCAGCATAAAGACACACGCCGTCGCAATCTTCTGCGACATGCGTAAATGCAAACCCCAGATATACGGCACCGGGAACAACAAAATGAATATGTCGGTAATAATATGAGGAACCGTCTTCCCGATAAAAAGCTTGTGAATGTTGACGCCGCACGTAAACGTCGATGGGTCCGTCGGATGAACAGGGTCAAACTGCATCCAAAGAGCAGATATCGGTACACATTGAAACGCCGAAGTAAGAATCTGCCCACATGAAATCAGCCTGAATTCTCACACACATACCCAGAAAAAAATGTCTGAGCTAACAGAAGAGAGAGAGAGAGAGAGAGAGAGAGAGAGAGCCATACAGACGCAATCGTCCAGCAAGCGACCATCCCGGCCAAGATCCAGAGCAGAAGCTTGTCTATAAACTGGACGCTAAAGATTCTCCAGTAAAAAGCCAGAATCGAAAACTTGATAAACATGAGGCTGAAAGTGTAGGTGAACTCCGTCGTGAATAGTCCCAGCGCCCAATCTCGAGTAGCATCTGGTGGGCCAGCCCATATATGCTTGCAGAACCCGTTGTTCACCACTATCGGAAAGCATTAGCCATGAAATCCCTTCCATGTAAACGAGAACCCGGTTGATTCCATCAAAACTTACTGTAGATAGTGACTGTAAAAGTGAATCCGCCAGAAAACAGCTATTAGTATTTGGCATCTCGCGTCAGCACATCTTCCCATATATCACCACAGCATAGAGCGGGATGAACGCGTACCAAAGAAGCGATAATGAACCAGTCGTCTAACCAAAACCGAATCTTTGCCAGCTTCCTACACAACACACGCAGAATAACCGCCGCCACCGCCAAACCCCATGTCGATGCCCATGTTGCAACAATATTGCTCTGTCTGCTCGCCTGGAGGTCGATTCCAGGTGGTGGAGGTCCCAGAGAGGCCATGACGCGTTCAAAGAAGTTCAAACGCCCATCTCGCCCTTAATTCGACGTCCGTTGGAGGCTTATGCCTGCTATTGCGTCACAGACTCTGGACATCGAGAGCGACTGCGTTTCGCCGACGACTTGAACGAGAACTGCCTTCACCAACTGAGCGAGCGAATGATTTGGTGAAACAAGATGAATTGAATTGATCAAATCTGCCTGCCTCTATGGAAATTTAGCACTACCAACACATCATTCGGACCGCACGGCCGCTCCAATATTCCGCTTCGGAGAAACAACCAATCTCTTGGATCCGTCGGCCAACACATTAAGCTTCACGCCATCTGAAACCATTGACAGCACCGCTTTATAATGATTCCATCTCGACTTGGCTAGTGCATCCGCTAACATTGCACTGCCGAACCAGCTCTCCGGAGTGGTGATGCGCCCAGGAGCTCTCCATTGGCTGCTCAGCCAGCCACCGCGATCGAGAGTAAGCAAGCTGTCATCTCAGCTAAAGATTGTGGAACTTGATGCCGAACATCCGCAACCGATTGGATGTATGCAATTAGTGTCTCACAGGGCCGTTGATGTCAATCGCGTCGCGAGCGTAGAAGCGCCTCTCGAAGGCCTCTCAACTCCATTCACTTCTCAAAGGCAGATCCAGGCAGCGTGTCTTCACAGCGGTTTTCGGACTCACTTGCCTCTCCCCTCAGAGGCCTACTCCATTGTACAGTCAAAAGAACAGTCCAAGTTGTGCCGGGTATAGTTTGAACAAGATCTCATGTGCAACTTTACAGTTTCTGACCCGTCGTGCCCCAGATCCAAGCACCTTATAAATAGGGGCTTCTGTTTTAGACTCCCATTAGTCGCCGGTGCTGGTCGAGTCAACGATCTGAGACCCATCGCTCGTTTCGAGTAAGTTAGCGTAAAAGCCCATCAGCTCGTCATCAGTCTCTGAGAGATCATCGGTGTCCGTCATATCCACATCTCCGTCATCGTCATCTTGTTCGGAGCCGCCGTCCTCTTCAATATCCACTTCTCCGTCATTGTAGTAGTCAGGGTCAGGGCTGGGACCCTCTGGGTCTTTAGTATCATAGTCAGCATCGGAACCCTCTGGGTCTTCAGTATCATAGTCAGCGTCGGTTTCTGCCCTTTCAATATCAGAGTGCCCCCATTCTCTCAGCTGGATATACTCGACCCTGCCCTGACTTAAAACACGATGATTACTGTCAAAGAACGATGGTTCCCGCAAGGGAGGTCCAGTGTAGTGGGTATATATGTGAAAGTCTCTGTCTTTCGGAGGCCAACGGTGGAAGAAGTTGGTAATAGTTCCGTTGAGGACACCCAAAACTGTCTCCTCCCTGAGTAGTAGGCCCGTTAAGTCCCAGTCGTCATCCCTGTCCCAGGGTCCTCTGTCCGATATCACCATGAATTGCTCGAGCCGTAACTCGGGTACCTTTGACAACATTTGCAGTAGCTCAACGGTAACAAGAGTGTTCTCATATCTAAGTATTTTCAGCGAACTAGCCACTTTTTTGATGAGATGAAACACTGCACGCGTTGAGGGCATTTCTACCAGTATCAAAGTGCGGAGACTGGAATATCTGCCATCATCTGGGAAAAGATAGGGGAAGAAATTCCACGTATGGCCAGAACATATTCGAGAACGTTCGAAACATAACCGGACTTCCTCAAGTGGCGTTGCTGCTTTGAGGCATTGGCCCAGCCACACAAATTGGCTGGCCTTATGGAAATTAGAGACGCAAAGATCTAGGTGCGTCAGATTGTCAAAGCTTTTGATAAAAGTTCCATCAAATCTCCCAGTGCATGTCCAATTGGATTCGTCGACAAGACGGAGCCTTGTGATGGGCTCGAGAGTAGGTAGATCAGCCCTATGGGCTATGTATGGAATCAGAAAGGTGCAAAATCCATCATTACGCTGGAGGCCTCTCTCCCCCATGGCTCGAAGAAACATCTGACACGTGAATGGATACTGTGATGGCGATAGTCCAAATGGCTTGACGAATTCACGCCCGGGAGGCATTGGCTGAGAGGTGAGTTCTCTTAGCTTGGGCATATTGTCGAGCGCGGCGAAGAAGTTTGGTGTAAAAGTCTGGATTGCTTCAGCTCTCTGTCTCTCCGTCTTTCGTATATTTCGCATTGTTGTGCTCTTTCTCTCGTCCTGTATATCTCGCATTGCTGATGGTCCTTGGTGGGTTTCCTCGCTTCGCACAAGGTGCTCCTCGAATGGCAGCCAGAACAATGCACGCGCCAAGGGTCGCAAAAGAGAAAATAAGTTGACATCAACGACGTCTTGGTCCTCCGAACCTGGTTTAACGTGTGTGAATGAGGTCTCATCTTCCAACATCTCCAGCCATGTCACAGTCTGGACAGCCTCTGCAAGATGCGGTCGGGCCGCGATGTTGAAGAAGGATTCGCGGTCAGATTTGAGCTTCGAAATGTATATCCTGGAGAATAAGAGGCCGGTAGCGAATGTAGAAATCCATTTCGAAGCGAGACGGAGATTTTTGAGGTCCGGCTTACTGATGCATTCGTCGGTCAGAATGTTCAGGATGATCTCGCCTGGGATATGAACCATTCTGGCGTGCAAACTTCGATGTCGTCAGCCAGAGGCTTGAGATTGAACAGAGATAGAGATGTAAAATGCTGAACAATGGTAGAAAAAGAAGATTACGCAGAAGAAGAAAATGGAGGAACACGTTGGCAGAAAAACAAAAGCGCGTGTGGTGTAGGGAAAAACGACACGACAGCTGGCAGGCAGGCGCGAAGGAGCGACATGAGAGGCAGTACATGTACATGTACCTACTAGGAGGTCTACTTCAATTTCTTCAAAGAAAGGCGGAGATTTACTCAAGTTTATCGCAGCGAGATATTTGTATTGACCGTATTCACTATAGTAGGTACATGTGGTCACCGTCGCGTTGAAATATGCAGATATAACCCGAGATATTGGATTGGCGGGTAATAGCACGACTAGAAAAGAGGAAGAAATAACAGATCTTCTTCTTCAATACATTCTGAGAGAAGAGCTTCATACGCCTCCGGTATATGATGCACCGCCAGCAGCAGCATCGAGTCCGATACACTCGCGCAGTCCGACCACCTCAAACAACGCCTTGGGCGATCCCTTGCGATCTTGCCCAGACTTTGCAGGAGCGCCATCCTTCTTCAACCCTTCCATGGCCCTTGTCACGCTTTCGAAAACAGGTTCAAGACATAGTCCAGGATATATAATGAGCTTGAAGCCCAATTCTTTAGCCTCGTGGGCCGACAAGTCGGGAGACAACCCCCCAGGCACATTGTTGTACATCACAGGCGTGGGTGCTAGATCCTCACAAATCTGCCGAGCTTGCTCCTTCGACGTGATGCCCTCTAGAAAAGCGATATCTGCTCCCACTGCAATGGCGGCCTTGAGGCGATCCCTTGCCACTTCGTAACCCTCAGACTGCAGGGCGTCTGTGCGGGCGATGATGAGAATGTCGCCAAGATGCTTGTTCCTGACTATGTTGGCAGCTCGGATGCGAGATATAAACTCGTCTTCAGAGACGATTTGCTTGTTTAGGAGATGGCCGCAGCGCTTGGACTGGACTTGATCTTCTAAATGCAGCGCGGCCACGCCCGCTTGCATGTACTGAGATACTGTTCGCCCAACCATTACAGGGCCTTGAAGTATAGACGATATACAATTATTAACCATGTATCAAGATAGGATGCGATACGCAAGAGCGTCTTGATAAAGTATTACTTACCGCCAAATCCGGTGTCTGCATCCGCGATGAGAGGCACACTTTGGTCCAATGAGGCAATCATAGAAGCCGTATCTCGCATATCGTTCAGTGTAGCTATACCTAGATCCGGCATTCCCAGCCGAGACATTGTCGTGCCGGCTCCTGTCTAATAGCACATCTTAGCAAAAGCACACTGAATACACGACACTGGACCGACCATGTATAAACAGTCAAAGCCGGCTTTAAGAGCTATGCGAGCCGTAAAGCCATCGTATACACCCGGACACACAATGATATTGTCAGGTTCTGCCAGTTGGGCTCGGAGTCTAGCTACTGCCGTCTGCTGCGTCTGATTAGCCATGGTGATGATAACGATAAGTGCGTCAATGAGGATGTTCTAGATTGAGATATCTACTTCCCCTGTTTTCTCCATACATATTTCTGTTATTTATCCCTTCTTAGACTAATACGTCGCGAATCGTCATAAACGTTCACTGTACCCAGAGCTGGCGAGATCCGGCCTGCCGAGAATGGCCGCCTCCGTCGTCACTTGTGAAATGCCGATATTCGCCGAGTGCGTAGTGCTGACACTGCATCTGGCGTTCAACAACACCGCAATATTGTCTGCTCAGGATGTCTAATAAATAAGTGCATGTTATAGCTTGAAATGATTGCTTTCTGGAACAATTAATTGAACCATTATACCCTTGAACACACTTCTTTAGCACTTCCTAGACACAGTCAATCATGACCCATACCGCTGCTGCAGTTCCATCGGACACTCCCTCCGACCCATCGAGTCAAACAGGGCAGCTTTGCACATGGATATCTTCCCTCACATATAATGATATCCCGGAAAACCTTCGTATCCGTGCCAAATATCTCATTCTAGATGGCATCGCATGCGGCTTAGTCGGCGCCCATCTACCATGGTCCGAAAAAGCAACCCAGGCTCTGATAGACCTGGAACTTACAGAGGGCTCCGCCGGCGTCATTGGCTATGAACGCCGAATCAACGCCCTCAATGCGTGCTTGCTAAACAGCTCATTCATTCAGGGATTTGAGCTGGACGATTGGCACACCGGAGCTCCTCTGCATTCGAATAGCATCATTCTTCCAGCCTTGCTTGCCGCATCTGATCATTTGTCGCTGAAGCCAAGTGCAGCTTCATCTTCTTATTCTGGATCTGGCAAGGATTTCATAGTATCATACATTGCTGGGCTGGAAGTTGGACCTCGCGTTGGCCTCGCTCTTCATGGACCTCACATGTTGTCCATGGGATGGCATTCAGGTGCCGTCTTTGGCCCTCCCGCATCCGCCGCCGCTGTAGGAAAATTTCTCGGCCTATCAGCTGGTGCCATTGAAGACGCTTTTGGCATCGCATGCACTCAGGCAGGTGGATTAATGTCCGCGCAGTTTGAGTCTGAAGTGAAGCGCATGCAGCATGGCTTCGCAGCAAGAAACGGCCTCTTGGGCGGGATCCTCGCACAAACTGGCTACATAGGGATAAAGCGTGTCTTTGAACGCGAATACGGCGGCTTTCTCAAGCAATTCACCAGTGGGAACAGTATGGAGCCGCAATACAAGGTCGATGAAATCTCCAAGGGACTTGGCCAAGAGTGGCTGATGAAGGGCGTTGCAATCAAGCCATACGCCAGCATGGCAGGCACACACAACACGGTGGATTGCTTGGCTGACTTGCGCCAAGTTTATCCCGAATTGTTGGATGATTTCTCTGGAATTGAGAAGATTCTGATTGAGTTGAGCAAACCTGCTTTTGAGCACGGAGGATGGGACACCAAGCGTCCCTTGACAGCGACGGGAGCGCAGATGAGCAACTCGTATGTTGCAGCCACATACATCGTTGACAGTGCAGTTCTTCCACCTCAATTCTCTGCTCAGGCGATTGAACGAGATGAGGTATGGGAATTGGTAGGCAAGACGACCTGTGAGCTGAACAATGATTTTGACAAGATGCGAACCCGAGTGAGTGTCTGGTTCAAGGGAAGGTCAGAGCCTATCATTGCGGATCGGCAGTTGGCAAAGAGCGTTAAGCCGCTGCTGAGCAATGATGAGATACTTGAAAAGTGGAAGAACATCACGGCTAATGTGATTGATGACGAGCGAAGGCAAAAGATTGAAGATGTTATTCTAAATCTGGAGGATTGTAGTGATCTTGGAGTATTGAGTCAGCTGCTCATGGGCAAGACGGCGAATCCGATTGGATGATTAGACATTTTTTCAGCCCTGGTTCAACTTTAGTTAATGTTAGAATAGATGGTATATCGGCATCAAAATAACTAAACACGGATTATTCTTCTTACATACATTAGGACGTATCCATCACAGGGTACTTTACCACAAGAAACAGAGTGGCTATTCAGCACCCCAAGTTAACTAACCAGTATCCGGATTATCCAAATCAAAGCGACATGTAATAATAATACTGAATACGTGAATGTTAGTTAGTAGTATCTATATCAAGTTATGTTACATAGGCCAATCAGTCATATCTAGGTTCATAGCCCAATCAAAGTCAACAAACGGTTCATCGGCAAATGGTGCTGATTGCTGAATGTCTGGCACTGCATTTACATCACCAGTTGCCGGCAGCGCATATGAAGTGACACCTTCACTTCCAACCAAGGTTTCGGATCGGGCTATATCTCATGTGAGTAAACTGCTTCTGGACAACAAAAGGCGCAATTGGAATCTTACTCTGCTGTCTATTCTCATAAGGATTGCCTAGCCCGCCAAACTCCTGTCTCCACCACCATAGGCAATCAAAGAGGGTGCTCATTGACAACCTGCTAGAGATTCGGCTAGTCAGGCTGTCAACCGTTCCATTCTTGTTTTTGAATATTGATTGGCTGTTCCATAATTGACCGAGTATGGAAGCAGCCCTTGCGCTCAGATCATTGTTTTGCAGCGACTCTTCTCGGGCAAAGAATATGGCGGCGAAATAAGCTTGCTCACCAGCCTGAAGATCCAAATGGGGCGCGAGTTCACTGCGATGAATTTTGAGGATTGTAAAAGCCGCCAGCATAACAGATTTTTGAACAACGACGGGTGCATTCTTGGCTGTAGCCCCTTCGTTCCATGACTGCTGACACGCGGTGTTGATGAAGCTGCATGCAACTGCAAAAAGAGGAATAAAGGCCTCGAGTTTGCGAGACGCTGGATCTATGAGAAAGTGGCATGAAAGAAGATGTAGACGAAAACACTGGAAATAAATAGAATCTTGTTTCTCAACCGTTAGAACTATGGTATAGTTAACCTTCCGGAAGGAATTATTCTTACCGATAGCTGTTTGCCCTTGAGACGCAGCTTTGGTTAGCTGCGCATCGAACAAACTAATACACGACAGTAGTGACGCCGCTTTTTCAGGGTCACGACCGCCATGGATTCTCCTCAAAGCTTCAGTTGCACATATCATGATTTCGCACAGCCTGAGAGGCAGCTTGGTCTCTTGTTGAGGGTTTGCATCGTCGCCACCATCTCCTCCATCTGAGAGAACTGGTAGAGTGAAGGCATCACTCAAACCTAGAGGCAAAATCCCTTCCCCAAGCCCAACGCTATGGAGAGCAAAAGAAAGTCAGTTCAGCCGTAATATTAGTGACTAGGGGCTGGAGATTCACATGTAACAAGTTATGCAGCATTGCTTCCATAACATGGCGCGATTAGCTCTTTCAAGCCGATTACCGTCCAGTATCGTCCTCGCAAAGTCTTGACCAACGCCTGCTACATGCAGCCCGATTTGCATGGCGAGGTGTAGAGCTGCACCTGCGAGAACAAGACTAATGCCCCTGTGCATAGTATTGACCGGAGTTGGCCACTGACATAGCAACAATATGCCTTGGATGGCCTGAACGGGGCTACTCCGTGATTCCAGGGATGCAAAGGCCATCGAATTAATCTTTGGGGCGAGTCGACCCAGCATAGTTGGGTCACCAGTATAGCGTCTGCTGCCGATATAAACGATGACCCAGAACAAAAAAGGAGACTGCTCATAGCATTGATTTGGATTCGGTTCTAGCTGGGAGGTCGGCAAGAATGGGACATACAAGCTAAAGAATCTGCGGTACAGTCAGTATCGGCGTTCAGATGACTGACAAGCAATCGGGAGGTATACAGATCGAAACAATCCTGAATTTTACGACCGGACACCAGTTGACCATCAAACTCTCTAGAATTGGCTATGGATTCGTTTGAATCATTCTGCAATATGAGAGACTGATGACTCCCACCCTCCTTTACTGTCGAGGGTGTCGTTGCTGGCTGTGGACTAGCAAGTGCCGCATCTGGAGCCGAAGCTGAAGCTAGGGCCGGGACAAGCAGTGGAGTCAAGAATGGAACTTCTGCCGTATCTGGGATAGAAACCGGAGCTCCAGCTGCAGTATCGACACCGGAAGGTCTCGCCATCCCTCGCCCGGAGGTGGGGCTGTCTAATACACCATCATTCTCCTCATCGGCACCAGAGCGACGTCTCATGGCCTCCAGCTCGCTTTGCAGCTGAGCTTTGGTCCGCCGAGATGCCGGAGTCCGTTCGACAACACAGGAAAGTTGCATGTGACGGCATCGCGTGCACGAAGCAGGGGGCTCGGCATCACATTTGACCTACACGGCAGCCACATATCAGCAATTGAAGTATCGTGATTTCATAATGATGATAATTGCTTACCTTTTGCACTCTACAGTCTCGACATGCTGGATGACGACGCACTCGGATTCGTTCAGGAGCCATCAATACATGTTTCGTGAGAAGTGAGTTTACAATGATATGAAAGAGGGCGAGATTGGCCGATTGGCTACAAGGGAAGTGGTGAGCGCTGGCACGTGACTTTGTAAGCTGCCCGTTGCGTGTTATTGAAGTGTCATGGAAATGCCAACGACCATAGGTGCATGTACATACAGATGAATATCTAATCACAGAGAAAAGAGAATCATTGCGATTATAGAGTAGCTGCATTTTGATTACCAACTATCCCCTTTACCATTGCATACCGGCAGCCTGGCCACCAACTTCCACAGCTCTCCTGGCGTCCTTGGTACTGCCACAGATCATGTCAAAGAGCTGTTTGCCAAACTTCTTAAATGCCGGAGTGATGCCTCCTGCTTCTACTAATTCTCTCTCCATGGTAGACAACTGAAAAGAAAACTCGGCTTCTCCAACATTAATCCGATTGTTTTCCAGGTCAATGCTGATTTCTGCACTGTCTACAGCCGCCTCGAAGAAGGCCGGATCGTCCATGGTAAAACCCAAGAGGCCGAGGCTGGGCTGATTGCGGCCGTAAATAAAAGCAAAAGATTCGGCAATCACACATTTGACTCCACATCCTTCAAAAAGTAATTATCAATACCTAGGTCAACGAAATAGAGGGGAAGAGCATGAGGGCTGTACATACCAAGTAGTGCTGATACCGCTTGCTCTCGCGAAGAGCCGCAGCCAAATGCCTTTCCTGCCACCACGACATTAAATCCTTCTTTGGCTCGAGCGCGGAACTCTGGAGTCGTATATTCAAGGCAATGAGCTCCAATTTCTTCATTAGTTCGAGATGAGACAAGGAACTGGGCCGGTGCCAACTGCTATTTGTTAGGTTCACTGCAAGCAATATGCTGTGATTCAAGGGAGGCGTACCGCATCGGTATCTACGAAATCTCCAAGTCTTTGGATCTTTCCGTGTATGGTAAGCTTTTCGCCCTTCTTCTCACTCTGGTCGGGAATCTCTGCCGCTATCACAACTGAATCCTTGGAATCATCATGTTGAGTCAATAGTGTTGCTGGCTGATTGTCGCTCAATTCACTTCCTGGCGTTGCTTCAGCAGGACTTGCTGGCTCAACCCAGTCCGGCTCTTTAACCGACAGCTTTCCCTTTATAGAACTGCGACCGTTCAAAAGCTCCCATCTTTCTGGAGGGATCATATCAATGAAATGTTGCGGGTTTGTCACTGTCATTTGAAAAGACGACGCCGCCACAGTCGCAGCCGAAGCGAGATTTCCGATGGAACCTAAAATCCCAGGATGAGTCTCATTTTCCGTCGGCTTGAATGATACTTTCACTTACCTTGACCCATACGGTTCTCAAAATTCCTATTCTGAGACGACAGCCAAACTTCAGACTCTTTCGCGCGGTCTGCAGATATACCCACACAATAGCTGCATCCTGGAACACCAATCTCAAAGCCGGCATCTTCATAAATCTGTGCAAGTCCCGATTTTCGCAGCTTATCAAGGATAGGTAGAGATCCAGGGACTACCTTTCTCTTCTTGCCGTCCTTTGCTGGAGATAGTCCACTTTTCAGTCCTTGCTCCAAGACTAAGGCGCCGAGAATGATGTCTTCTTCCGCTGTGGTGCAGGCTCCAATGAAGCATCCATCTAGCTTCATGCCCAGAACATCTGTCACCGGAACGACATCATCGGGATTCGGATATTTAGCCACAAAGGATTCAACCTTGGCTAGATCGATGACGTGCGATTCGGCGTAGACTGCGCCCTCGTCTGCACGAAAGTAGGTTGATGCGTTCCTATGTCGCGCCACTCTTCGTCCGTCAATGAATGCCTTGGTTATATGATCCGGAGTAAAAATCCCAGTTACGCCTCCAAGTTCCTAGATGTGTAAAAAGCCTTGTTAACTCAATTCGTTCCAATTGTAATGGTGTTCAAACTTACTGTCGTCATGTTGGAAATTGCAAAACGTGCATCTGGAGAAAGATAACTCAGACCAGGTCCTGTATACTCAACCACGCGATCCGAGGCCACCGTGTTCCTCTTGAGTTGCTGTAATACGTATAAAATGACGTCTTTGCCTCCGATTCCCCGACTTGGCTGTCCCACGAATTCAATCTTGACAACCTCGGGCACCTTGAACCACGTCTCTCCCGTGATAAGACCCATGGTCACATCCGCCGCTCCGAGTCCGATGGCAAGGCATCCAACTGCGCCGGAAGAGCATGTGTGGGAATCGGAGCCGATGAGGAGCATACCCGGCTGGGCACGCTCTCTGAAAAACTCGGTATGCATGATGGTATACTGAATTGCCACCAGCGTTAGCAAACTCTCATTCTAAGCATGGATATGAATCTGATGTTGGCTTGACCTACATTCATCCCCTGGTACTCAGTCATTTTGAAGACTTTGCGTGCTTTTTCAGATGACTCAATTAGCCTCTTGACTTGAGGCATGCCTTTGATTCTAGGATCCACGACGTGGTCGCCTGCAAGCCAGAAGCGATCATTGCGGAAGATGCCAGGGCTTCCCAGTCGATTATATGTTCCTTCCATACCCTTGAAAAGGATGTTAACACTGATTTATTCGTGGCTCAGCATTGACGATGGAGAAAATGGAGTTACTTACAGCCCATGACGCCTCTGAAGCCATGATCCAGTCCAGAGATACCCGGATAGTATCGCCAGTTCTTACATAGCCTTTGGAGTCGATGGCGTGCATAGCGAATATCTTTTCGGTAACATTCATTGGTGGTCTATCTTTTGGAGCTAGCTTTTGGGTACTGGCTTGTGTGGACTTCTTTCGGTCATCCGAGTTGAGTGCCTCCAGCCCTGAATCAAAAGGTCAGTACAAGGCATAAACAATGTGGACTGTATGGGATATATCGTTTCGAAAGCTGCTCACAGGCTGATATGAGAAAGCTAATCTCGTGTACATCATCTTCAGTGACTTGCGCATCCGTATTCAGCCCGAGACCTCCATAATTGGGCGAAGTTGAGGCAATTTCAGAGATCTGGGAGAATACTTGGCTTTCCCGAGAGGCTCCCTGCTTGAGGAGGACTTGGCCAACGTTGTCAAGCAGAATAAGCGGGTGTACTTGTTTGCTAGCTATATCTACTGCGTCAAGCTTGACAGCCCGAGATTTGAACAACAGATCGGACCACTTGGTCAAAAGATCGTTTGTATTGAGATTGCCGGCAGTCATTATGTAGATAACGTAGGTGAATGATAAGTTACAATGGGGAGATTAGAGTTAAACGAGGGACCAGCTTCCCGCTCTACATAGGTAGGAACTATATAAGTAAACAATATCGAGTCAATATTATTATACGTCATCGTTTGACTATATCAGTCTTACTATTAAGAGAGCATCGTTTTCGCCTATTTGCGTGGCTAAATTATCGTCCACATCTTGCTGCTGGAGGGAGTGGCCGAAAATGGCCGGACGCCGCTCAATTTCGGCGACAAGCATCACATATTGACTAACGAGCGCTTCTGGGCTAAATTCGATGCCGACTTGACAATACATCCGCACGGCCTCTAAAATGCGTAAAATATGGGTCAAAAACAATTGTACCAAACATTTGTAGGAAACAATCACTAGACTGACACAAGTTGTGAACAAGATGCTAGTAATATCAAGACCAAATTGGCTAATTCGGTATCTCCTCAATAAACCCATGTTTAATTCGACTTCCTTGCCAGAAAACCAGGTGGCAAATCGCCTTGCAGAAACTCTGAGGCCATCTCAATTGGTAGAACCAAATCTAATTGCTTGTAGGTTTTTCGTTCGGAGTCGGCTCGAGGACGTTCATCGACTGCTTCAAAAGTGCGGCGTCGGTGGTCATGACCGTGTCACGGTTTGCGCGATTCGCAATAAGATTAAGGGCTAGAAACGTTAGCGTTCAGTTTGATATGGAGAATGATGGAGAATTACCGGTGAAGTAATTGATGAGGAAGGCTTCGCATGCTTCTTGGATCGCGTCAGTTGCAGCCCCCTCAAAGCGAAGGCGACGACCGCCAATCTCAGAGGCAACAGACTGGCAAAGTCTAACGAAGGCCGTCTTGCCAATGACTACGTTTGATTTCTTCCAAAATCCATCCACCTCGAGGAGCGCAGCCCCTGAAATTGTTAGAATTGCCGCGTACTACGTGCAATAAACATGAACTTACTGCCAGCTCGGAAGCGCCGCACAGAATTTTGACGGATGGTAAAACGCCTGCGAGCAACTTTCTGTAGGATGACCTTGCGAGTTGCTGTCGCCGCGAGAGGCTTGCAAGGATCCTCGTCTCCTTCTTGTTTGACCATCGCCACCTTTCCTTGCGAGTCGTTGCCTGGGGATGCGCGAGCAGTTTCTTCCATTCGATCCATCATGTCACTCCGAAAGGAAAAATTAATCGAAGATTGTGAATGAAGAGAGAGGGCGAGGAAGGAATATAAGGTAGAGAAAAGAGGAAGAGAGGGAGTGCAGCTGTGCGTTGATATCTTATCGCCCAACTATGCAGGTATGTCGTTTGGTTTCAATCTGCCAGCTGTTGAATACATGTTCTGCCAGCTGTTTGAGTGGCAGCGCTTTCTCACTGCACTTTTCACCGTATCACCACCATCTTTGTTACAAGAGCGGCTTGGCTTATTGATGACCAACTAAATGTCCAAAGTAAGAATTCGCGGGCTTGATATCGGGTTCGTCATAGACCGAGATGAAAAGTCTTTCCAGAACTCGTGCTTTCTTTTGACTCGCATTTTACCAAGTGATATCGTTCGACTTCCTCCGGATGCTGTATATGAGAAGAAATGAGCTGGGATCAAGTTGAGATTGAGAGTTGTGCATTGGGTGGCATTTGGAGCAATTTCGCAGAGTAATATGTAATCTCTAGCTAAATATTCAATAGCAGGACCATGCATGTATGACGTGAATTCCCGTAACCACTGCATCATAATCTTGCTGGAAATCTTCAAGCCGCATATCTGCAGGAGACATGCTTCCCGCACAAACACGCACCAAATCGTCTCAATGTGGGCCGAAAATTATTCAGCGATTTTGGCTCTGAAGCAAGCCTTGACTAACTGACATACATCATGGTGGGCCATGTTGCCCTGTTACTAACTCGCAAGTGACAAATCGTCCGTTACTCAACATTATGAAGCCGCTAAATGACGGAAAGAACACGGAAAGAAGGCGGGAGATGTGAAGCTAAACCGGCCCATGTGTAAATAGTTGTCGAGGCATTAACAGGGCGAAGGGTGGGGGATTTCGGACTTCGATTCCACAGACTGTTATACCACTCTAAGCTTAAAACCATAAATCAGCCACCTTGTTCAACCACTTCAGCTCCCCAAGACAATGCAATCAACATTGAGACAGAGCTTCATCCGCCATCAATTACAGCTTGTGCCTCGCAGATTCGCCCTTGAGAAGAACAAGACACTTTACTTTGCACAGCGACAACTCCGATCAGTCAGCATGGCTACCAAGACTAACATTACGCTTTATACTGCGTCAACCCCAAACGGGATCAAAGTTCCGATCCTGCTTCAGGAGCTTGGACTCGACTACAGGGTGCGAAGAGACATCAGTTCTTGCAAACAAATAATTACATAGAATTAAGAAACTGACACACTGTAGCTGTACCACGTCAAGCTAAGGGAGAACGAGCAGAAAGAGCCATGGTATCTGGAGATCAACCCCAATGGCCGAATCCCGGCCATGACGGATGAATGGTCCAATGGACAGAAGATCCGCGTCTTTGAAAGCGGACCTATCCTTGAGTACCTAGTCGACCGCTACGACAAGGACAACAAGGTCTCATATCCAAGAGACTCCCGTGAATATTGGGAAGTAAAAAGCTGGGTACGTCTGTGGAGCTCCGGGAACTCATTATACGCCTCGGACTCCAAATGACTGACACTTCTTTTAGCTCTCATGGCAGATCGGTGGCTTAGGCCCTATGCAAGGACAACTAGAACATTTCCGAAGTGAGCTATTGTAAAGTGTAATCCCTTGATAGGCTATAAGCTAAGTAGATACTCGCAGGATACGCAGCCGAAAAGATTGAGTACGGCATCAACCGCTACGCCAATGAGACTAATCGCCTCTATCGTACCATGGACACGCACCTGGCCAAGTCTCCACACGGGCTGCTCGTCGGCGACCGCGTTACTATTGCCGATATAGCCTGTTTTGGTTGGGTTGTCAATCACGGTAAGGCCCTTTTCCTATGTATACTATGTGCCTAGGTTATCATGTTTAGCTAATTGGGATAACTCGATTTCTAGACCTGGACGGTGTTTCTCTTCAAGAGTTCCCTCATATAGAAAAGTGGCTTGAGAAGCTCCTCGCTCGCCCAAGCTTCAAGAATGGCCGAGAAGTTGTATAATCTGGGGTGATAAATAGACACTCCCTTTCTTATTTAGATATCCTTAAATTGCTTTCTGTCTATATAATACGCCTTTAAATCTTATATGTAATGTTATATCTTTGGCTCGTTAATAATAGCCAATCCCTGCTCACTCCTCCAGAAGCTTCCCGAGGGGTATGTGTATTTCTCAATCGCCTCAGGCTTATACTCTACGCTGTATCCCGATTCATGTGGTGTAACAAAGTGACCATCCTTGGTCTGGCAAGGGTTCGTCAATACCTCGCGGAACGAGGTGATGTGCTCCAGCAAGCTCTTTTCTCCTGACACGCAAAGGTAGTTGATGAGAGCAAGATGTTGCGTGTATTCATTCAGGCCAATGCCTCCGCTGTGAGGAACAATAGGCACATTGAATCTGTCGAACAGGTTAGCTATGTGAGCTTGACGGTTTTTGGTAAGTTATTTGCTTGTAGACTCACTTCTTGGCCATTAACAAAACGGCCATGACTTCGTTTACGCCGCCTAATCTGCAAGCATCGATTTGGCAATAGTCGATCGATCCGGCTTGAAGGAGCTGCTTGAACATGACGCGGTTCTGGCAATGCTCGCCGGTAGCAACGCCGACGCCATGCGGCTTCAAGGCCTTTCTAATCTCAGCGTGGCCGAGGATATCGTCAGGTGAGGTAGGCTCTTCGATGAAACTGCAAGATGTCAGTATGCTTGTCCATTACACCCGATTTGAGTGGTATACAACTCACAGTGGCTTATATTTGACAAGGTGAAGCATGTAGTCAATCGCCTCAGGCACGCTCCACACCTGGTTGGCGTCCACCATGAGCAGACGATCATATCCAATGGTATCACGAGCGATCTGCAGTCGTCGCTTATCATCCTCAAGGTTGCCGCCAACCTTGAACTTGAACTTATCCATGCCTTGATCAAGATTCGACTTAATCAGCTGCACCATCTTCTCGTCCGAAAAGCCCAACCACCCAGCCTGCGTCGTATAAGCCGGCACAGCCTTACTCACACGCGCATCCTCCAATCTCGCAGCCTTCGTCTTCTCCTGCTCCCTCAACAACGCAACAGCCTCCTCAGGAGTAATAGCATCAACAATATACCGAAAGTCAATACAATTGACAAACTCCTCCGGCGTCATGTCCGCCACAATCTTCCACACCGGCTTATTCAAGTACCTGCCCCAAAGATCCCAGACAGCATTGACACATGTACTAAGACCCAAGTGAATGACGCCCTTTTCCGGTCCAACCCACCGTAGCTGCGAGTCGGACACAAGATGTCGCCACGTCTGGCCCATGTTCTCCGTCAGCTCGGCGAGCGATTTGCCGACGAGGCGCTCGGCGATCATCTCGGCGGCGGTTGTGCACAGGTTGTTGCCGCGGCCGATTGTGAATGCGAAGCCGTGGCCCTGGAGATCTGTGTTGGTTTTGAGGATGATGTATGCGGCGCTGTAGTTGGGGCCGGGGTTCATGGCATCTGAGCCAGAGAGGTCGAGGCTGGTGGGAAATCTCAAGTCTGTGAAACGTTAATGAGTCTCTAATTTGAACTTTTTGTAAGTAGTGGGCTTGAGGATAGATATCTTACCGTGAGCTTCAAAGCCTGTAATCTTGACTTCTGAGGCGGCTGTGAAAGAGCCCAGAAACTCCCCATTGCCGTTTGTGTCTGTCCGTGAAGGCGCCATTGTGAAATTCTATTAATGCTGTCGCAATCTGCAAGTATTGACAAAGAGAAAAAGTCAACACAATGGTAGGTCTTTGAACGATACTTATACGCAGAACAAGCTACCACAGTCGCCGGATACATAGCTTTAAAAGCTCAGCGACATGCGATTAGATATATGTCGAAATCGCAACCTGCACTCCTGATATCACGGCCAATCATGGACCCCCCACCGGCACTTCGGCTCCTGGAAACTCCCGGCGGCTGAACGTTGCTGCTGGATGCCATCTTACCCCAGAAGTTGGTCGGGGAATTATCTGGAGGATCCAGTTCACGATGATCCCGTATTTGGGGGTCTCGGCTAGTCGGCCGACTAGACGAATCTGGGGTGATGCGGATGTTGTGGAGTCTGGGGTAAGTCGATGGTGCTATCCAATCATGATGCTCGTGACGGCATTTCGGGTATTTCTAGCTTGGTCGTTTGGTATATAATTGAGCTGGTGATGATGGGTGTAATTGATGTATACGATAAGATGAAGTTGATTGTTTAAGTTTATATGTCAATATGGTGAGAAAGGTAAAGATATTGTTAATCTCTTTGTTGTGTTGAGTTGAGTTGGAATGAGTTGCTGATGTTGTGATATTGTGGTGCAGGCAGTTTATTTCTATGGCATTGCGCCATGTACCGGAGGATTAGCCTTTGGATATGTAAGTGCGGAAACTATACCACGGAAAGACTATCGAAAATCTGATAACTAATTGCTTATCTTTTAGGACACGGGCTCAATGAGTGAGTTTTAAAATACACACTGAGGAAAAAAAAAGCCACGGTTCGGGAATAATATCGACTAACTCGTCACCAAAGGCGGCATCTTGGCCATGCCGCAGTTCTTGACATACTTTAAAAATCCAAGCAATTTCCGTCAAGGAGGAATCACCGCGTCAATTCTAGCAGGGGCTTTTGCTGGGTCTCTGTTGACGGGTGCGTTCCTTGCGGATAGGCTGGGAAGAAAGAGGACGATTTTGTTGGGCTCAGCAATCTTTACGGTTGGCTGTGCTATTTCGGCGGCGGCGAATAACATTGAGGCTCTTGTTGCGGGGAGAGTCATCAATGGGCTAGGAAATGGGTGCTTGACGATGATGGTGAGGAACTGTGATTGCTGCTTGTTGATCTGGTAGATGGATGCTGACTGAGTTAGGTGACAATGTACCAAAGTGAGATTGCGCCGCGAGAGTACGTCGATTCATCTTATAACCGGGAATCGTTGTTAATGATGTTGTAGGATTCGTGGCCGTATCATCAGCGTGTTCCAGTGTTTTGTCAATTTCGGTATTCTCATTGCTTTTTGGATTCAATTCGGAACAAGCCATATCAATGGCTCCGCGGCATGGAGACTTCCAATGGGCTTACAAATGATTGTAAGTTCCATCTACTCTAAAATTATACAAAAGGGACAATAATTAAAGAGTCACAGGCTACTGTCGCTCTTCACGTCACCATGTGGTTCATGCCTGAATCGCCCAGATGGCTCGTCCAGAAAGACAGACAAGAAGAAGCCCTGCAGGTGCTTGCCCAAGTCCACGCCGGTGGCGACATCAACGATCCCTATGTGCAAGCAGAACTCGCAGAGATTGTGGCCAAGCTTTCGTTTGAGAAGAATCACCCACCGCCCAGCTACTTTGACTTGCTGCTTGGATCGCAAAGGCGCCGCATGTGGATTGGTATTGGTGTCGTAAGTTCCACCGAATTTCTGGTTTCCATAACTAGAAGCTAACAAAAACAGCAATTTTGGCAATCAATGACCGGCATCAATGTGTAAGTCGGCCTTGCAACATCTATTCTCCAGGTACTTGATACTAACTAGACTTAGCATCATGTACTATGCCGTATTCCTCTTCCAACAAGCCGGTCTCGGAGCAACTTCTTCATCTCTCCTAGCAAACGGTCTTCAAGGCGTCGTCCTAAACGTCTTCACATACCCAAACATGTACTACATGGACAAATGGGGTCGAAGATGGCCCATGGTCATCGGCGGCGTTGGAATGGGCATTTCGATGATGATTATCGGTGTCCTTATGAAAGCTTACGGTATGAGTGATACCTGTTCTCGTGTAGATTTTGTCTCGTATACTAATTTGCCATTGCTAGGTGATCCCGTCTTCGATTCGCTTACCCAAAAGACCAACTTTGACTTTACGAATGCCGCGGCATCGCGAACGATTATCGCTTTTGTTTACATATATGTTGCTTGGTTTGCAATTACTTGGGCGTGCGTCGCTTGGGTGTATCCGCCCGAGATTTTCAGCATGAGCATGCGTGGTCGAGCCACGTCCATGACGACTGCGACGAACTGGTTCATCGTAAGTGGAAGTTGATTCTTGCTGTTATGAACGCAAGACTGATTGGATATAGAACTTTTGGTTTGCCTTGTATATCCCCACCGCAATGGCAAAGATCAGGTGCGCATTATTCTCCATACTTTCATCTTCTTCGATAACATGCTGACCTGTCTTGCAATGATTCCAGCTGGAAACTATACATGATATTCATGGCCCTGTGCTATCTCATGTCCGTCGTCGTATACCTATTCTATCCCGAGTCGGCCGGCAAAACACTTGAAGAGATGGACTTTTTGTTTTCCAAGGGGCGATCGCCATGGACGTTCCTTGATCGCGAAGCTACCAGGATTGGGGCGCTGTTCCAGCGAGATTTGGAGCATGGCGAGGCGCTCACTGTGTTTGATGAGGATGGTATGGTTTTAAAGGATAAGGTGAGGCAGGTGGAGGATGTGGTTGATACGAATGTTCACGGTGAGGAAAAGTAGGCTGCTGGGATTATATTTGCGGCACGTCTGGTGTGTACGAAGATTGTGATGTTATGTACATATTTTGGACGCGCCGCTTGGACGCCTCTTAGATGCCTAGTCATAAGTTGGACTAATTATGAATATGCAGCAACACATTATGCTGAGGAAAGAGACTGACTATTCAGCACTCCAAATCTAGTATCTAGCATCTCGTATCTCGATTATAATGCTAGTGATCATACCAGATACTAGAGAAATGCAACTGTAGGAAAGTAAAAACAGCAGCAGATAGTCATGGAGCTGGGTGTCTGTTACCTAGATAATTACCGGTAGTAGCAAAGAAGAAGATTTCCCTCAGCATCTTGTTCTTGCACATGAAATCCACGCAGTCGCTAGGGTGCTAAATAACCACTCCCATGAAAAATAAGGTACACTTAAGCAGATGGGAAGATGTTGTGAAAATACCCATATTCATCTAGCCAATCCTCGAAAAGTTGGAGGTTGGTGTCTGGAAGGGCAACGGCCCCAAGCCCCAAATCATCAGTGCCAAGCTCGTAAGGTACGGAAGCTTGTGTTGTGGGAGCCAAAAACCCGGTCTGAGCAGCGGAAGTAGTCGTGGCGATTGACGAGAGATCAGCAGCGCCATCGTCTCGACTTGGTGTAGCTGTAGGCTTTGTAGTATTATCTTCGATATCATCCCCTGTCGGTGTACGCCGCCGACTGGCATATTGACTGTACAGTTCTGTTCCTCTGAGAACTGGGAGCTTGACGGGCATGTGGTCGTTGAGAAATGCAACAAGCGGATCTTGCTCTTTTCCGTTGGTGTATGCTGCTGGTCCTTGTGAATGCAAGACTGCAAGCTTAAAGAAGTCGTGATAGAAGCTCGCATGCCAATAAATATCGCCAAGCTGTTCCAGCAGCCCCATACACTTATTGAATCTGTCGATATGGGGCTGCCTGCTAACTGGATCTGGGGAGGATCGCATCATGAGAAGATGAACGATGAGCGGTGGCAGGATAGCGGTTACACTGCAAAAGGATTAGCACATGTTCAGCTCGCAGCATAAGCGCGGAGAGGCAGTTACCATATTGTCGGACAATACTTGATCAAGTCTAATCTGACGAGCTCGCCAGCTAGTCGGGTCGAGTCTTCGGCGGCTGCTTGAACTTTTGGGAGTGGAGGTTGTGCACCACTGGGACGGCTCTCATCCAAAACCTGATGTGACTTGTGAAGGGCGATGACGACAATACTTTCAACATGTTAGCTATGTCAACAATTTGAGAGCAACTAAATGTTCTAGAGATTAGGGATCCGGATGAGCTCACTTGTACATGAGATGTAGGAGTGCCCTGTAGAGAGTGCAAATGCCACGTTTGTCAAAATCTCTCCCATACTCTTCGTGCAACCTCGCACTTGGGACTAAATTCAAACGCCAATGCTGGAGGGTGTCTTCGCAAAGACCAATCTGCTCCTCCAGTGATCCTGGTTCTGTAGCGATGTTGTGAGGGAGCGACAGCACTCCTTCCATGTACTGGCAAAGCTTCACAAACTCGATGAAAAATTCCTTGACCGTTCGGTCATCTTCGCTGTCGCCATCTTCCTTGAGATCGTCGAGCGTGAGCATTGGGACTGTACAATCCAGACTGTTGATGTGCATTGGGCGTCCCGTGCCGAGCGTGGTGAGCCTGTCTCTGACCAGGCATGCCCACCATAGTCTGGCCCAAAGTTTGCGCTGGGGTTCCTGAGGGGCATTTCGATGCAGCCCAACTCCTTGCGCAAGGCTGATGGCCTGGTGGATCCAGAACCAGGTGTGCTTTTGCTCAACCATGGATGGGTAGTAGTGGCTCATCAGAAGGAGCGCCTGGATATTTGTAATGTTGTCCGACTCGAAGTCAAAGTCGTATAGATACTACGAGTACGAGTATAAGCGCGAGTATGAACATGATGCTAATAACTTGACGTTGAAAGAGACTCACCCGTGCTCTTTTGTGGAGTGCGATTCTCGCCTCTTTTCGAGTTGTGAAGCCAGCGTCTCGGACGACATTTATAGGCACCGTCTATGAACCTCCAGTAAGCACACCCACTACCTTGCTTCTCGAATAATGAGTGATTACATACCGCACTGGCCGTGAATAGTATGGTCTGTAGAAGCAACAAACTTGGACCTTGAGAAAGAGATGCAGCACCACGATCGCTTCGATAGTAAGTAGCCAGAAAGTTGGACTTGTCGATGATGGGAAAGAATGGATGGAAGAGCTGGAAATAGTTGGAAATAAACTCGTCCATGACTCCCTTTGGGGGAAGACTGAGAGCACCTTTCCGTTTGAGATACTGGATATCATCTTCATCCAACCTGGAATGCTTGATAGAACCCGAGAGACGACGGGGATCCTGTGAGACAGCCAGCAAAGATGGCTGGCTGTCAGGGGCAAAGCTGCGAAAGAAGGGATAGTGAGGAACTTGGTGAAGCATGGCATGCGGTGGGATTGAGCGAGGCGACGATGGCCTTGCAGCACCGGTGATGGTCAAGTCCTGGCCCGGCGATGGCGACTGCTTGTCCATCTCATTCTTCCCGCGCCGCTTCTTGCGAGCCTGGACGACGCACTCGAAGCCATCGAGCTGGCACTTTGTGCAGGGAACGCCCGTCTTGAGCACATCGCAGCGAATCTTGCGAGTCCGACAGCATGAGCAGGCTTTTGAGGCGCGCTTCTTTTTCCTGCTGACGAGGTGGATGGTGGCCGGCGATACAGATTGCTCGTCTGAATGGTCCATCTTTAGCCGAGGGTTGGCTGGCTGTCTGACTCTCTCTTTGTCTCTCTCTCTCTCTCTCAGGGCGCGAGTGGATTCCCACGGCACAGACGATGGATCACGACTGGATGGATCTGAGGCCCCGAAACAATGGCAAATCAGTATAGATGAGGTCTGAAGAGTCCAGCATTGTCAGACACAAATTAAATGGATGGTTGCCAGGCATTTTAGTCCAGAAGGGGAATGGAATCGTGACGCTATTGCTTGCCATGGCCGGTGGCTGAAGAGCAACTTTGCCGGGAGGCGGTGCTGACTAACTGGGGTTAACGACGATATCGCAGCAGTTCATCAGTGTCATTTCTGCCATGCTATAGAAGATGTATAATCAGCTGTCAAAGAAACAAGTTGAATCAAGGACTTGAATCAAAGCATTCTGACTCTTCCCACTCCCTTGACGGCATCACCACCCCAAACAAAATTCATCGAATCTCCCCCCAAATCTGCAGCTTCAATGACCGACAGCCAGCCAGACACAGGCGGCAACGCGCCTAATCCCCCAAACCCACAGTTCCCCCTCCAGCGCTAGCGCCCCCCAAATCCCTGCCACTAGCGGTACCTGCATGCCCCCAATCCCACCCTCCCACAGCGCTAAAACCCCCATAAGCGCGTTCCCAAATCCCCCGCGCCCAACTCACCTCCTTTCAAACCACCAAAACCTGCGTGCAGCTGTCAAACCAGCATCTCAACCACACCTCACTTTTCGTTCAGATTGAACACTCCTCGCCAGCTGTCAACACAAAGTGAAGCTGCGCAACTTCTGAACGCTTCCACTGCGTTCCATCGAAAGCCGGAACAATCGCCTGGCCGGCACCCGGTTTGAAAATTTCTATAAAGCAAACGCCCTCACCACAGCTCTTCCTCCTCTTCTTCTTCCTTTCTTCATCACGCATCCCTCGCACAGCAGACTTCTTCCGCCTTCTTCCCAACTTTGTTTCCAACTTCTCATCACCACTTTGTTTTCTCACTCTGCCGATGCCCGATGCTCCTTTGCTCAAACCACTTCTCCCTCCCCTTCTCCCAGCCCATCTCAACCCGTGCTCTACCCAAACCAGCCCGTGCTACTTTACTCTACGGAGTATCCCTCCCCCTTCGCCTCGCCTCGCCTCGCCTCGCCCACACTCTTCGTAGCTTCCACTCCGCCTCTCCCCCCAAAACTTCTTCTTCAAAACTCTTTTTCAACTCCCTTTGCCTCTGCCCTCTCTCTACCCATTTGCCTCCCCCTGCGGATTGGGCATCCGACTTGTGCTCTCAGTGATGATATCTCTTCACACAATGACAAGGGAAAGCCTCCTGGTTCGGTTCTGGCTCACCCCAAAACCACCGCTGGCACCTGTCCGCCCTCCAAAGAACAGAAATCTGAGCGAGCAACCAGTTTTTTTTCCTCCCCCTCTTCTTCCTATTCACTTCCTTTCCTTTGTGTTTTCCTCTTTGTCCTGTCAGTTCCTTGTGTAAAAATCCCCGTTTGTTGAATTCCCTCGCAGTAGCCGCAATGACCGACACCTTAGCACCTCAGAGAAGTCTCTTGCCTTTCGGTCAACTTCGATCAAAAGGCTCAAACAGACTCGTGATTCTTTTCTTCCCCTAGTGGGAATATAGTTTTCAATCGGAGCAGGCTGAGGGTTCAACAGATAGTATTTTCCCTTGAGGTTCGGAACAGAATAAATGGTGCATTGGTGGGAAGTGAGCTGGGGAGAAGAAGGGGGGGGACTGGTATATTTTCTTCTTTGTTTCATGTTTGAACAAACTGAGACCACCTGGTGATGATTCAAGGTCCAAAAAGCCAAATTTGCAGACAACAGCAGCGGGTGTAAAAGCTCGTGGCTGCGAGTTGCCGATGAGAACCTAAGAGAGCTAATCTGAGGGTGCTAATGTTTGTTCACTTGTTGTTTGTAATGTCTTTGTTGCAGTTTGGTAGCCATCTAGCTCGCATTCAGCAAGGGTAGATAGGGAGATGAATGGCATTATGGTGTTTGACTAGTCAGTTATTTTCAGGAAGATCACGCACAAGCAGCCATGTGAGCCTCTTCAAAGCGCGAAAATTCTATTCCATCTCGTCTGTTTTTCGTAGTCTCTACTCTACTCGTAAAGATCCTCCCACCCCGGCGGATTTCAGTGTGCCATCCATGGGTATTTCGTGGCCCGCCAGATTGCAAATCGTACATAAAAACAAAATCTACAGCACCCCATCTCTCTCGCAAGGGCGTGTCTCAAAAAAAATCCACCGCTCTGCTCCAGTCTCTTCATCCTTCACCTAACGCTATGGTAATTCCCTTGCAACTCTTCAGTTCTTCTTACCCACGCTCTTGCCCACAGGCTTGCTGTACATCCATATCGCGCAGAAGCCAACAAAGCCCGAGACCGTCGCGCCGATGCCGGAGATCCATGGCCAAGCACCCGAGATGACGAAGCTACGAGGCCACTCGTCGTGCGCAAAGTGGCGGACGCTGACGGTGTTCTTCTCCTCGACATAGGTGAGGTAGGGGCGCTTGTAGTTGACCTTGAAGTTGAAGATTCCATGCTGGTCGGGAAGAGTAAAGGAAATGCCGTAGACGGCAGCATCTTCAGTGGTGCCGGTAAGAGCGAGGTTGAGGCGGTGGAAGGGGGAGAGCATGGAGAACTCGAGCTGGAGGACATCGTCTTCAGGAAGGGTGAAGGGCACCCACTTGTCCCAGCTGTACTCGGACAGGGAGATGGCATAAGACTAGATAATAATAAACGTCAGCCGAGATGCGATACGCTTCACCAAGATTTCATATGCAAACTCACCACATCGTTCTTGATACGGTAGATTTCCGGGTTGAGCTCCTCAGTCTCCTGCAGCTTGTGCTCAATGCTGTTGACTCGCAGGACGCCAATCTCCTGGAACGTCCAGCCAGCCACTCGTCGGGCAAACTCCTTGTTGTCAGCCTTGACGCTCTTGCCGCCCACCTTGGTAACCTTGGCGTCGAGCCACTTGTCCTGCAGCATCTCAGCAGAGCCGAGAACAGTCACACGAGCAGAGTTGCGCGCCTGCACCACCGACACAAGCGCCAGCTGCTGGCCCGCAGCGAACAGGTCATCAGCGTCAAGCACCTCGGCCTGCTCCTTGGGGTTATAAGTGTAAGCAGTGGCAGGTGCGCGAACAACGGGAGTCAGCAGAGGTCCAGCGCCAAGAACATGGCCAACAGCGTGGGGGAAGGCCAAGACACCACCAGGGACCTCAAAGTAGGACTTAAGGCCAGGGCGAACGTTGGAGGGCGCATCGAGGACGAGGACGTCGTGGGATTCGGCAGCGGAAACGGTGTCATAGTTGAAGTGGTCGACGACAGTGCCAGTGCGCTCAATGGGGAGGGAAATGTCGAGCTCTGACAGAAGAGAGACGAGCGAGGTGGATGTAGGGACGGTGGAGGACAGCGCAAGCAGGATGTTGCCCTGGGCGTTGACGAAGTCGACAAGACGGTTTGGGGTCAAGTTGGGACCGAGACCTGCAAGCAATTGGAATCAAGCAACATGTCAGCAAGTCATTGACATAGAATAGATATAGATGTAGCAACATACCCTTGACCTTGGACGGCAGGAAGAGCAAGTGGTCGTATTTCCTCTCGCCAAGATGGAACAGCGTCAGGCCCTCACTCCGCGGCGTCTCGTACGAAACATCAAAGCCTCGCGCTGTTGCAAACAGTCAGTTTCCAACTTCAATCTCCCAATGCCAAGCTCCAGCTCCATCTTCCCAACCCAATTGATTGTCCTCCCCCCAAAAAGAACGAAGCTCAAAACATACCTGTGAGATCCCCCAGAAACTGGCCATACGTATCCTTTTCAGCAACATCGTCCAGCACCACCAACAAGCGACTCCCGCCCGTGCTAACCGCCGAAGCAGCCGCCGCAAACAGCGCCGCAGCCACGCTCAGAAGCGACCACATCTTATCAACAAATAGTAGAAAAAAGAAAATGTGGTTGACAAAGGACAATGTTTGAAGCTGAGAAAGAGGTACGAATCCAGAGCTTCCCACTACCAAAGTACAGACCACTTGGGGATACGTAGCCTCGTTCGCTACTTACCCGCTGTGGGGCCCCAGAAAGACTCTTGGCAGTTCGTCACTTTACTGCAATCAGTTACAAAGGTACATCTGGTTAGGTAGCTTTTTTCTCTCTCTTTTGCCGCGGTTAAGCCGAAGCAAGCAAGCAAAGCATCACGACTCTTTGAGCGGAAACCTCATGTCACCCAAATCCGACGATATCTCGCTCTCTCGCACCTCCAACCCCAGCTGCCCTCACCCCCACAAACTCGGTACGTAACGCCCTCTATTCTATCCTTCTCTCCTCAATTTCTACAGCGAGAATCACTTACTAGCTTAAGCCAATTGATCGCTAATTCCCCATCGCTCAGTCCATCATGTCTTCTCCCCTCTTCTGGTCGCAGCCCCTCAAGTACTGCGCCTGGGCAGCCCGCGAACGTCCCGCCTACTTCTGGTCCGTCGTCGTCGGCGCCACCGGCCCGGCTCTCATGCCCATTGTTCCTCCTATCCGACATATGCTCGGCGACGTCGACCCTGCGCCTGTCCCCGTCACCTATCCCGGTACGTTCGCAAAAGCCAGTGAATCGGCTACTCCAAGGCATTTATGGGGGAGAATTCAAGATATGGGAGAGAGAGCACTTGCGGAGGCGATTGAAGACGAGAGAGAGTGTGTGTAGTCTAACTAACCTCTGCTATACAGTTCCCGCCGGTCCCCGGAAACAAGTGACAGGCTACGACGACAAATAAAAAAACGCTTCACTCAATCCAAGACAAAACGTCACTTTTCGAAAAGCCAACCAGGGACATTCTGCACCGAGTCATAAACGGCCGGAATCGCAGACTTAAAAGTCCCTGTATATACATAACACACACACACAAACAACCACGGCGTTATTCAAATCATGTAAAAACACTCTCGGGGGAAGAGGAAGGGGCCAAAAGAGCAGGGGCAGGAAACATTTACCAGAACCTCTAAATTCAACAATTGATGCAAATTATAAAAATCCGCTCTTCTTCTTTCGTTTCTACTTTGATGCCTTCCATCCAAAAAGCTCTTCTTCGCTTTCTCTCTCTTCGCTACAGCATGCAATGTCCAACTTTTGAGCGCCCCTTTAAAAAATCTAATTATTCTTCTCTCTTCCCCCCCAACTGGCCGCTGAAGCACCGCTATCCGCACAAAGAAAAATCAATTCCATCCATCACCCTTTATCCTCTCCTTCCTCTAAATGATTTACTTCATCCAGACCGCGACACGGCGCGCCGAATGTTTCTTACAGATGTTCGGCGAGGCATGCGCAGGCTCTACCTGTCTCTGCCAGCGAAATTCCACTCATACTGTATGCCCTCGTTAGCAAAAAGAACTCGCAGCCACTTGTGAATTGTAAAAGATAAACTTACTACTCGCCCGTCATCGTCTCCAGTATAGACACACATTGGCATCGGGCTAATGCAAGTAATGCCTGCCGCCGTGTTCTCTCCCTTGTCGCTCGTGTAATCAATATGATCCAGACGTCGCAGCCGCTCCAAGGTCCATTTCCCACCCACCACGCTCTTGCGCCATACATTCACGATGCCTCCGCGGTGTCCCGTAAAGATAAGATAGTTTTCCAGCCACTCGTTACCAGCACCCTCGTAAAAGGCGCAAGAGTGGACATAGTCCTCCGAGTCCGAACAAACGTTTTGTTCCAGGATAAGGCCGCCGTTGAGAGTGTACAGGAGCACGTTAGGTCCCGAGCATAGCATGATATCGCCCGATACGTTGTGTATTTGCGCGCACTCCACGTGGCGCACAAGAGGCAGCTTGCGAATAAAGGACAGTTGGTTAAGATCCCACAGGAAAGCCTGTCCATCCGACGAAGCCGTGACGAAAGTGCTAAAGGCTTTGCCCACCGCAATGGCCGTCACCGGCGTCTTGTGGCCAAAGAGGCTCGATTTGGGAATCAGCTCTACCGCTTTGCCCGGTGCCGTATGCAGAGCATGGACGGAAACGACACAGTCTTCTCCCGCAGTAATGAGCGTCTTGGAGTCGGCAAAGGCCGCGCACGAGATCTGGCCAATGTGAAGGTTCTCAAACAGACCAGCCGGCCTGCGGTTGTCGGCAAAGAAGAAACGGATGCTGTTATCTGCATATCCCCACTCCAGATACTTGTCGTATGGCGGGAGGTTGAGGCGGAATGGCGAGGCGCACAGCAGGCGGTCCAACTTTGGCGCATAGATGAGTGTTGAAACCCTCTCGTGGCTCTCCAGCAGCGGATTCGGCAGGCATACCAAGGAGAATATGGCCGTGTCTAACCTTTTAACAGACGACTTGAGCTGTTCTCGCGGCGGGTGAGGTTTTTGGAACACTTGGTGCGGCGTCTGGCCGAAATTGTGAATGACACCAGCCGAAATCGCCCTCTCGTTAACGTCCTTGATTTGATCAAGGTCGACCGAGCCAGCGTAGGAGAGGTTGTGGAAGACATTCAGATTCTCCACCGCCGCCTCACCTCGCTGCTTGAATCCAAAGACCAAATCAATCCATTTGTGCAGGCTCTCGCTCACGTACGGACTCTCCAACGCCTCGCGATGCTTGGCAATAAAGATTTTAGGGTCGCCCTTGGCCCACGGAGGTAGCTCAACGTTATTAACCTGGACACCGTTGCTCTGTCGACGTCCAAAATCGTACCCGTTGATGTTTGTCAGAAATTCGGGGAGGCAAAAGAATTCAGGAATCAGCTCTCGGACATCAGTCTTGTTGTTACAAGATGCCGAAGTCCAAGCGTCGCCAATCGATTGGAACAGTCGATCTGCGTGGTCAAAGCTATCTCCCTGAACAAGAAGATAGGACTGTACAAAGGGTGGCAGTCTGATCAGATACGAGGAGACAATCATGGCAGACGAGTAATGGGTGCCGTAGTGGAATGGCGTCTGTCCAATCTCTTCAAGCGCACTATAAGTGTCGATGAAGCCTTGAATGCGGTTAACGGTCTGGGCACCCATGGGCTTTGACAAGTCTCGAAACACTTTCGGATCCTCCAGATCAAGATCGTCGCTAGTGTAATCAGCAAGAATCCACGGAAAGACTGGATACTGGGTCAAATCGTTAAAAGTTCGCCCAGCCATGGTGTTTACCACCATGAGATAGTGAAAGTTGGAAATTTCACCCCTCTGCCACCGCTTCATGATGGAAGTCCACGGCGATGCGTTGAATAAGGTGCCGAGACGAGATCCCAGGCCTTGTGGAGAGTCCTCAAACCCCTTGAGCATATCAAACCTCCACGCATCTTCTGGATTGGGCAGCGCGTGCGCAGCGCTAGTATGCGGTGCTTTGCTCGACATTTTCGCGAATAAGCCGTCTCTAAGTCCAGTGCTAATGGTGGTAAGGAGGTAGCTTCGGCCGTCAGTGAAGAAGATTTCAATGGCAACGTCCCGGAAGAGGAACCGGCGTTTCGAGACGCTAATCACATCTTGCCATTTCCAATGTCTTGATTCTTGCTCTCGGCCACCAGCGCTCTGCCGCTTCTCAAGCGTCTTGGCACCGGTCACGATTTGCGTAAACGGATCGCGCTCTTCTGGTGGTGCTTGCCACACGTTCACGATGTCGCCGTTGGCGCACTGGAACACATTGTCCATGATGTACAGTGCGTCCTTTCCTACTATCAAAAGGCCTTCACTGGCCTCGAGGCCCGTGACGCGAGATATGTTGTACGCGGCCTGCACTTGATCGCCATGCTCCAGACGCCTCATGACCTTGCGGTTTTTATCTTCAAAATTCTCGTCACCTTCGTTTGGCTCATTGGGGTCATCAACAAGCTCAAAATCATCCTCTGCCGTGAGCCCAGGCTCTGGATTATCGGAGACTGGTTCTGGCTCCATTGTAAGAGACGCCGAATCGTTATCATTGACGCCATCCAGAATGGCGCCGGAGCGCGTAGGTGGCCGGCTCCCTACGGCAGCTGGGTCTCGCGAAGCAGGGACGGTGCTCAAAGTAGCTCCAGAAGTGGTAGTAGGAGTTGTAGCAGAAGAAGCACTGGTCGATGGCAGACTGCCTTTGGCCTTGGGCTGATATCTGTCCTCGCCAACTGGGTAGTCTGGGAGAAGACGCAGGCGCATGCGGTTTCGACCCTCTGTTCGATCCAACTTCCACTTTGGCGCCGTGGATATGCTGAACACGGCCCCGGGCCGCTGCAGATCTCGCTCCATCTTTCTATAGCCTGCCGTAAGAAAAGCCAAATCATCTTGCTGGTCTTGCATGAGACGTTGATACTTGAAATACTCGGCGTTGTATATGCTCTTCATCCACGCGCTGTTACCGATTTCATGGTTGAGAAGAATTCTATCCGCTCCCACCACTTCTATGTTCCAAGTCTTTAACTTGTCTTTGCGCTTTGTCAGGCGTGATTTAGCAGACTCAAAAGTGCGATGGTTCTCCGCGCTGACAAAATCTTCCCACGTCTTTGACATGCCGCCAAAAAAGAGCATGTCCAGCGCTGGTCTATGTTTGTCCACCCAAAGTACAAATGACTCGTCGTCTATCTCTGTCAACTTTTCAAAGTCGCGAACAATCTGCCGCTGCTCGGGTGCAGAAGAAGATCGAATCAATGCAATTGATTCTTCGGGTTTTTGCACGAGAATGATGCGGAGAAAGTTGGCAGCAGCGCCGCGAATCGAGGCTTTATCATCGATGAGTTTCGTATAAAGCTGGTACCAGAACAGCTTCAGGTACTCGTCATCGGCCCCTAAACAACCCAGAATAGACATCTGCCAGTAGGCTAGCTTGTTCATAAACTCCTTCGCCTCGGCTTCCGAAGTTTCCCGGCTGTCCAAATCCGAGAGCTTGAGCAAAATCGTCCTCAAGAGACAGCTGCGAATTGTCGATATGGCTGGGCTACACAGACGAACGCTCTTCAATCCCGCAATCTCGGGCCGCTGCAAAAACTCCAAGAGCATACCGTTAAAGTCAATCATGGCTTCTGCTCCATTTAGGAACCATCCTTCAAAAATTGCTTCGCAAAGATGGGTGCAAAGCCGGCCAAGATTTGTCAAAATCCTTGGCTCACATATGCCCTCGCGTCTCGTCTGGATTACACGTGTTACTTCAGCAATCGCTCTCTTCAAGATGTACGATTCAAAGTATGCCTGATGCTCCTGAAACCCAGGAGGCATTTTGGTGAAGAGACCGAATCCTGAAAACTCCTTGCGAACGAAGATTTGGTCCATGAAGACGTGCATTACCAAGTCAGTGATCCCATCCACAATGGCATCACCGGCGCTGCTGCCGCCAATAATCTTTTGCTGTTGAGGCAGAGGCTTTGTCAAGGGGATGGTGAGCTTTGCCTCTGACGCGGTCTTCTGGGCAGTCAGGAGAACGAATGATGACGCCCTTCTAAGAGGCGTTCCCTTTGGCGGCGTCGACTGTGGCGATGGCACGAGATCAATGTTGGTTGTTCTGACGATAGGTGCTGGCATAGAGCTACCACCCATGGGTCGGATAATGACATCGCTACCCTCAAAAGTCAGAGCAGAGTCTCGAGAGTTCAACTCCACGTCAGGAGTGACAGCATCGGCGCTGACAATGACTGGGTACAAAGCAGCCAAAAGCAGCCGAATCCACTCAGATGACAGAGCAAAGTCTCGGAATTCGGCTGACCGCTCGTGGAGATTTCGCAAAACTTGTATAGCATTTTTAAGGAAGCCGGCATGTGCCCCCACGCTTTCTCGAGAGAGTATTACTGCAAATGTGGTCAGAAAGGAGTGGTTATAAAGGA